CAATGCTAAATGCTGAACAGCAACACGCGGAGCGTGTTGAGCTGCTAAAGCAGACCTACGAAAAGGAGATAATGGCAGCCAAGGCCGATTACGAGGGGAAAGGGGGGGGGGGGGGAGGGGTAACAGCGGCAATCAAGGCAAAGGAGCCTGCGTTCGCTTAGCAGCGTGAGGTAGCCGAGAAAGTAGCCAAGGCTACTACCCAAACGTCTTTGAGGGATAAGCTGGCTACCAAGGAAACGCAGCTGGGCGAGCTGCGAGCCTCCAACGCTCAGATTGCCAGTGACCTACTGGTCAAGGAAGAGGAGACAACAAAGCTCAGCAATGAGCTACGGGAGGAAACAGCCGAGCCCATCAAGCTTGGGCCACAGTGACTGGAGTTTCCTGCAGGAAAGTCTCTGGTATAGGACAAGATCGATGGTCGTTACCAGATAGATTGACCGCAAGGCACACGTAATCAACGCCGACTCTGAAATGCTCTTTTAGCGCAACGGCAAATTTACCGACTCCCACAGTTTGATGAGAATGGTCTTCCTTGAAGGAACATTGAAGGCACTCTAAGAGGGAGAAGATTCAATCATCCGTTCATTCACCGTTCCTCCTCCTCCTCGGGAAATCCTGTAGGTGGTGGGTGTCGGAAGGAAAGATTTTTTTTAGGGGGAATAATCCTTCTCATCAGTATGTATGAAATAGCAATTAGGACGGAGTTTAATGACCGCCTCCCGGAAGCGGTCAGTATTGCCGTCGGGCCAGGACTATATGTTCTTACCCTTCATGTTTTATTAGTTGGGGAAGAGAAGAATCCATCCTAGGAGTTCAGTTTATCTCTTTCACCCATCAGTTTGCTTCAAGTCCTTTGGATCTTCCCTTCTGTCGGAAATCAGTAAAGTGGTCCATCTGGAAGGCATCTGGCAAGGATCTCTGGAGGGGAAACTGACTCGCTGAGGGTGGGTCAGGTTTCGGCCTGACAGTGGGCATGCAGAAATCGGACATCACTTGGTTTCTGACTACTGTTCGGAATGAATCGAATCAAACAACCCTGCAACTGGATCTGTCTGTTGAAACGACATCGGATGAGACTTATGCCACGGTTTGTACAGTAATCTAATCATCCTGCTTTTAAATGCTTTAAGATGAACTGCTCTAGCGCGGATGGTCAATCATTTGTGGTCCTCCAGACACCATCTCAAACACTACGCAGCAGCTACGTTGCCTGTTTACTAGGTTTGGAATTGGAACAAGAAATGCCATGTTAACGGCTTGGACTGAAAACAAAAACGCTGTGTAGAATGAAATGATCATGAGGGTAAAAAATAGCCACCACTAAATGCAAAGCAGGATGCGGGAAAAAGGAAAACCCAGGGTATATATGATCAGAACATAGAACTCCGCTTTTTTTCGAGCTTGGTGGCAGAATTTTCCTCCTTGTTGCGCCGGAACCCGAAGAAGCTGCTCTTTTTCGGCTGAACGTGAGGCCGCGACGCCGCGGGGAGAGCCCCGCTGCTGGTAGGGTGGAACCCAACCGTAGACTGTGGTCGGGGTTGCGGGCGTGCTTGCTGTGGTTGAGACTGCATCAAGAGGGTAGAGGATTGGGCTCGAGGATCCATGTGGTCCGGTGCATGGAGGTATGGGCTGTTGGCGAAAGCGGGGGCCTGTGCGTCGTGGGAATGTTGTTGGCGAGAGTGATGGGATGGACGGCCTGCAGAATGAGGCGAGAGTTGGACTGAGGATTGAGAGTATTGGTGGGAGGAAGGTTGAGGGGGTCCGGTATGTCGGGGAAGAGGGTAGGGCCTGGAAGATGGAGCTGGGGCATGCCGTGGCCTTCGTGCTTGCTCTTCTTCTTTCCCATATAACTGTTGCAGGCGTCTGGTTTCATCCTCGACTTCCGCTTCTCGCCGACGCCGTGCTTCGTGTTGCGCGGCGAGAACCTCCTGGCTTCGTCGCTCCTCTTCCTGTCTTGCGAGTTCGTCCTGTCGCCACCTCTCTTGTGGGGCTGGCGATGAGGAGTTCGGGATGTTGAGCCGAGGCGGCGATGACTGTCCCCTCATGGCTGCGCCAGGAGGTCGGGCCTGTGGGTTCTTCCAATCGAGCCTGAGATCACGAGGTGGGGCTGGCGCCACAGTTGCAGTTGGCCCTCCTGCTTGCTTGCGAGCTTGGTTCGGCCCACCGGGAGTGATGTGAAAGGCCTCCTTGGCAGGTCCGAAGAAAATATCCCGAATCGCAACGGCGGCCAAGAGCAGCACGATTTCCAACCCCTTGAAATCCTCCATCTCGACGCGATAGAGATTGGGTTCGTAAAGAGTCAGCTCTTTCAGCCCTTGAAATAGAGCAATGGTGATATCTGGCTCACGGCTCCTTGTGCGCGTGTCAGGAATCTTTGAGGTTTTGCCGTGCAACAGACATGTCAAATCCTTTGACAACTTCCCATCCTTACGCCAGCTGAACCTCAACTTTGGTGTAACATCTGCGATAGAGGGATCAATCTGAGTCTGGTCTAGCGCTGACGCGGACGGAACCCGGAATGAGTTTTGCGGCATCTCAAATTCCCACCGAGCTGGTTTGTTCCACGTTTTGGCATGATATTTTACTGTGATCTCTTGGTCGGGGTTGTAGAGCTGGATGGAGAACTCGGTGGGAAGGATAGGTTCTGAGGGCGGGACAGCGCCACCGTTTGCTCGTATGACATCTGCCGACATGCTTGGTTGGGTCCAATCTGGAGCTACGGCAACCTCGCCGTAGACAATGTCCGTCACATACGGGTCGTACAGCGCGACTCCGTAGCAATTTTGTGATGTTGGGGAGGCGGGGTCAAGGGTGCGCAAGGAGTACGCCGGTTCGGGGTCATTGCCATGTTGACTATGGTATATTGTGCTGATCTGAGGCTGCTTTGAGTTGTTCTTTAGGAAGAACGCTATCCTACGGTCAGTGTGATAACCTTGACGCGGAAGATGACGTAGCCCGCCAAGAGATGAGGGTGCATTAGTCCTTACAACGTACTGGGTAAATTGTCATCAATCATCTTGTTGGGTGTACTGGCAAGAGATTACCCAGGTGGTGCACGAAGTTATATCTCAAGCGCTTGCCGAGAAGTCTGCGCCACGGGACTTGATCGGAGCCTAAAAATAGAATCCCCATTGAAGGCACCAGCATTTGCATTCAAAGTTGCAAAGCCGTCAAGCTCTACAACATACGGACAAAGGTCTCGGCATTCTATGTATGCCATCAAATCTAATTGCCTATCACTGCGCCTAAAAAATCAGATCGAAAAGGTGATCCTCAGAAGTTCAATTCATTCACTGTTCAATATCTCATACGCCCTGTGAAATCCAAACTTGCCATGATGGGAGAGCTGCAGGGAATGACCTAGTTGCTTTTTGTTTAGTAGATAGAATTGTGTGCTATGGATTGGACGAATTATTATGTCTGGTAGAGATGCATTAGTATAGAATCCAAATCGTAAGGAGAGTAGTAAGTCTAGCTCACTATTGAGCTATACGGCTGATCGCTGACCACAGTGCATTGTCACTAATCATTGAGATGGATCTACAGAATTCCGATTAGTAGAGGAGGGGGAGGGAGGATGACTCAGCTGCTTGATCGAGAAAATATGCGATGATGTCCAAAGTAGAAGTATCGACAGGCCTATGCCTCGTTGGTGGCTTTTACAGGAAAGGTGCAACGAACTAAGCCATTCGGTTAATTCTTATCCGAATCTCTGGTTGTGGAAAAATCTTCACAGAGGACCTAATTCAGTCTGTAAGCATATTTCTGTGTATCGGGGTGACCTACTAGATGTATATGATGATGTAAGAACGGTGTACTTGAATAGGCTAGGACGATCTATGGCGTGGTAGGGAATACCTGGATCTGGTTAATAAAGGAAATAAAGGGGTGAGGGTAAGACTGATCAAAGGTCACAGGAATAAACCATAGACAGTTCAGAAGGATGCTCGGATCAGCACTCGTCATCGTCGAATACCAGTGCTCTAGTTTATGATATCTTAGCAAGGATGACTTGGCGAGAGGCCGCCCACCTGTGAGATATAGATAGGTATGATAGTAAGGGGTGTAAAGGACCCTAGATAGAAGGGTTAACGTCTATCTTGCAAGTGAATAGAGAAGATGCTCAGCGGATTGCGCAGTAGGAAGACAGGTGTTGAGCTCCGTCTTGAGCTGGAATGCTCCGGATGATGGGATCAAATGCGAGGGGCTCGACACCCATTATATACATATGGAGAAAATCAAATCTATAATTGAAAGAGGGGTTTCTTACAACTTCTTTGTCGGCATTCTTGTCGAGGCTATTGGCTGTTTTTATCGTGTCCCGAGGCCGAAGAAGGTCTTTGATCACAGCGAAAGATAGTGACAATCCAAAACGAGTAAAAGGTCTCAACAATGAAGGCATTGGTATAATGCATAGTGGTCAGCGTTGTTCTATAGTCTGTTGAAACGGGCACAGGGGGCTAAGTTGGCCAAAGGAGCTCAAGAACCAAGGAAATCAGGGTAAAGAGAGCAACAGACAATGGAGTAACGAGCGTTTAAGATCCAAGGGGTTATGTATGGTGTATGTCAGATCTATGTATATACTGGTTCTATCTTTGTAGCCCGTTGTAATCTGCGACAACCGAAAAAGCCCAATAGCCATGTCCATCAAAGCACACTTTTAATTCACTGCCCGTTTTATAACCGGACCCCATTGACTTCCTCACCTCCAGTGACCTTAGCCGCCTCCCGATCAGCAGTGCTCATCTGCAATCCCTGGTCATCCCAGCCCTGGGTTCCCTTCTTATACAGTGTCTTCTGTTCCTCCCGGCTGGGCATAGGTCCAGTCTTGCCCCGGCGCAGCCGCGAGTCAAATGTCTCCTCAAGTGAGGCATTGTCACCGTCTAGCGGGTATCCCTCCAGATCGTCTGTGTGTGTTTCCTCGCTGAAAGAGAATGTACGGTACTCGGTATTGGACCAGCCGGTACCTATGAGAGTGAAAAACAACGTTAGCGGGAGGATCCCTTGCAATCATAGTCACTTCACATACCCTGGAACTGGCTGCTGTCCTCCCAGTCTTCAGTGAAATAGTGCAGGAAGCCACCGTGCGTGACCATGACTATTTCCTTCTCTGGGCGGGCTTTCAACCAGCGACGGGCTGCACGAGCGCGTTCCTTGATGGCGTTGTTGATTGGGGCGTAACGACCGGATAGCTTTTTGGGAGAAAATGGTGAGTACACAACATGCTAGATACTATTGGAGCAACTCCCGCGCCCCAGAAAGGTGACAAATATACCTTACTATTCCACCCATCTTGCACAAGATCCAAGTCAACTCCCGTCTTGAATTCCTCCTTCAAAACGGAAGGTTCGCTGCCAGTATCACATGGAACATCCGATATCTCCTGAACATCCGGTAGGGCAATAATCTTCAAGTCTGGCCTTGACTTCAAGACAGGCGCAAAGCTCTCGAGCGCAGTGTAGAGGGTACGACGGAGGGGCGAAGCGGTTACCAGGTCAATGTGGGCATGGCGAGGGAAATTCTCGCGGAGCTTTTGGCATTGCTCGTGGCCAAGGTCAGTGAGGACGGGGTCTTGGATGACATGGTTGGCGGTGCAAACATTGTGCAGGCCCTGGAATTATCTGTTAGCTCGACTGAGCAATGAAGAGCCATGCTGCAAATCAATAGTCGAGGGCTCAGGGCGTTGGGTTGCGATCATTGTCACAGGATGGACATACTTGGGCGTGGCGGACGCAATGAATGATTGGGGCCATGCTCGGTTTTAAAGGGTATCGAATGTATTCCTGGTAAATTTCATGTTAGAGACTGGTAGGAGCTGCAGGAGTTGCAGATAGTGAAGACGCTGAGAGGGCTTATCGCGGGCGTGGGGTGATAGAAGTGGAGGGCTTGGGTAAGGTGAGCGGGTTAAGTCGGAGTGCCTTTACAGAGTAAATTTAGCCCCAAAAGAAGTCGGGAATTATAAGGAATGTGATTCAGAGATATATAGAAAAGCAAATTAATAAACAACTCCTAGAAGTCAATGTTAAAGAGTCATCGAACCCCCCCCCCCCGGACCTCAGAAGTCCGATCTGGTCATGTTAATTTGCCGAGGGCCACATCGTCAAGCGAACCACAGCTCTGTACTGGAGTCCGATGGAGATCTACTAAAATTGGATTTGTCTACCTTAATGGGGGGTCATCTTGAGATGTCTAGTGGAAGGGTGAGTTCTTCACGAAAGAATGCCAACACCATATCGATGACATATAGAACAAATGGGTATGTATACGCATTGAAATGAACAACCTTTTATGCAACGCCGAATCCTTGGGCGTTTTCGAGAGCCTTGTCAAGCTTTGTCGCCAAAGCCTCCCTTGACGAGTACTCTGGCAAAAGCAAACGTCCGAAGCACGTCAAGCTAGTAGGAAGACGCTAGAAGAACAATCAGTATGACAACCCCATTCATGTAGGTTACAGAAATTTGCAGAACTTACCAAATCTCCAACGCCATTTTTCTGAATCACAAACATTAGGCTTGAGATCCCGTTGACGGGTACTCGGTCACTAGCAGTAACGAATTCGAGTAACTGGGCCCTCTTCTCATTGGGGTATTCTTGGATAATATCCCAGAAATCACGAATGACACGATGATCAGGGCCAAATCCGCCCTCATACCGGGCATGGTTCTCGAGCTCTTCTACGTCAATTGATTGAATTCCTTCTACCACGGTTTTCAGCGCTTCCGGGGAGAATATGGATAGAGCTGATCGGTCTAGGCACGTGTTGAACCCCCTCTGGAAGGCTTCAAACTGGGGTCGAATAGACTTGTCTGTGAGCCAGAAGATGTAATCCTTGACATACTGGTGTCGGTTTGTATTGGTCACAAGAGCGGCTTCTTCAGCCGGAAGTACAGAGGATTGAAGTGGTGTGAACTCAGACACTAACTTGACGGCCGTGTCTGAGGCAGGCTCGCAGGATGTGAAATTGCTAGCCCCCTTGACTGCAGCGAGGGTTGGTGATCTCAATACCTCAGGGTTACAATAAGCAGGTACATCCATCCAGGCGCTGGAGCCCGCGATAGGAGCCGGCGCAGTGATTCTGACTTGGCTGGTGAGAGGCCACGCCGCATCACGATCAACCTTTTGCATATCGACCGTCTCTATACTTCCAAAGGTTTCGAAACTGAACTCGTAGGTTCGTGTGAAAACATCGCCGACATCACCATCTTTCCATGCCACTAATGTGTCGAGCCCTTGGCTAAGCTCCGGCCATCCATCCCGAATGTGGTCCAGATGCTTTACCTTCAGGCCCAGCATTTTGCGGTAGAAAGCAGTAGGAAGATTCACAGGAAGGGTCAGGCCGTTGTAAATTGCAATAGACATCAAAAGACCGATAAGTTCGAACTTGTAGAGAGGTTCCAGTGAGCACGGTTGGAACCAAGACATCCGGTGTGGAGTATCAACTGTGAACATGCCATAGGACGGGTCAAAAGCTTGACCCATTAGCAAACGGAAGAACTCTTGTTGAACACCACCATGGTCAAGTCCTTCTTCTCCTTCATCCATACCCATCTGCACCTTCAAAGGTCGCATCAGTTCTCGCTTTTCCCGCCGCCATAATTGGCTCAAGGCATCGGAAAGAATGTTGTCTCGGCGGATAACAAGAACAAGGTAAGTGGACATGGAGGTTTTCATGCGGGTGAGGAGTCGAGGATCATCGGAAATTTGAATAGCACCGAAGGCAGTCTGAGTGACATGTCTCGTGGTGGTCATAGCAGCCTCATAGGACTTGGTCATAGCAGAATAGTTCAAAGCACGAAAGTAGATCACGAGAGAAGACGGAGGGAAAAGGAAAGAATATGACAGCAGATGCATGGTTCGGTTGTTTGGGTGACCTCCAACCCACCCCACGGGCATATCCAATGGGTCCAGCCGCTCCGTGAGAAGAGGAGTGTGGAAGTCTTCGGGTAAAAGACCTAACCTGGTTCGTTCCTTGTACATCGAGGCTAAGATCTGAATGGCACCGCCGGCTGGGCTGCTACGAGCCATCTCGGGGTTGCCATCCCATTCGCGCAAGAAAAGAGTTCTAAGCCACTCAACAATGAGTGAAGCTGGGCTGATGGAATCAGCAGGCTCATCGCTGCCAGCAGTATGATAGGTGTGGTATTCACTCAGATAGTCAATCACGCGGTCCAGCACACTGAGTCTTCGTTGTTGTGGTACGTCTAAGCTGTACACTTGGCGGGCTTTGGAGATTTCATGGTATGCCAGTCGTGCAGTAAGAGCCCGCACGAGGCGATTAATAAGGCGGAGACCTAATTCGTGCTCGAATCTGTCCGTCACCTCGATTGCTTGCTGAGCATTCTTCGAAGGTAGCCTACGCATGTCCGACAGTGAAGCTACAGACCCAGCGGCACGCATCCGAATCACCAATTTCCAAGTTCCCAAGTCAATGGTAGGCAAAAAGCTGACCAAAGTGAACAAGGCAATCGTGGCAATGTAGGCGGCATCAGGATCCGACAAATATTCTTCACTTGTAGATTCCGACACTCGCCGGGGAACGACCGGAAGGACTGCAGGTCCTGTCATTGTCGAACTGCGAGAGGATCGGCGGGACGGCCGTCCAGATGAGGTAAATCCCCGCGGGGGAACAAATAGCTTGTCCAGAGAGCTCCACAGGCTGTGTAGTGCAATATCCCAGGGGCAAATCCTAAACAGGCGTTGCAGTGATAAGCGCAGACTGGCAACATCGAGGCGTTTGAAAGTAGTCCCGATCGTATCCGTTGACTCGCTACTAAAGGAGCGCAAAATTTGACTGGGGTTGCTGAACACAAAGAATGCACTTTGAGCAACGAACGGAAATGCTTCACGCTGACGAAGAGTTGCAAAACGCCAATCCGGCTGCTCAAAGCTGCCGGTGCACTGCATACGATCAAGTTCTTCCTCCCAGCAATAAGCATCTTCCGCAGATTCAACCATGATCTGTGACAGGCCATCGATGATTTCAGGGGTAAGATGAGTGACTGTCTGAGCCAGCGGAAGTGTGTCTGTGTGAGTTTCGATGGGGGGTTGCGTTGGCTTGCGCTCGCTGGGAGATTGGGCAACAGAAGGGGGGAGAGGGCGAGCAGGAGGCATGGGCTCCGTGCTTCTCGTGCTATTGATAGGAGATACCTCGTCTAGCAGCTTCTGGCTATCCCAGGAGACACGTCTTTTGCTTTTGCGGTGTTCCTTCGGGGGAACCGAATCGACTTCTCCAATTCTTCCGCGGTGCTTTTGCGGACGGTGCTTTAATGCTGGTGGGGAGGGTAAGCTAACAAATTCATCAGAAGAAGCCACCGGGAGCTTCTTGTTGAATTCTGGTCTCCTTTTGTCGTCAAGGCTTGAACGCGGACTCTGGCGCCAATGATCAACCTCGGAGACTGATAGTCGTTTGACATGCTGGTTCTGAAACTTGAGCTCGACCGCGGGGGGTTGAGATGCCGATGTTCGCGATGAAGGGGTACGAGGTTGAGAGTCAGGCCGGGTTGAAACCATGGAACTGCCCGTAGTTTTGATATCTCTGCCCGAAACTTTGTCGGTATGGTAGTGGTGCTTCTCATCAATGGATGAATGGTTTGTGGCTCCCGGTGCAGGTGATTTTGAAGATGGCTCCAATGTGTCAGGAGCACGGCGAAGGGGAAGCCATTCGACCATGCGGAGCGAGATTGTATCGAAGAGGTTCTGTGTAAAAGATTTGGGGTCTTTTAGTTGTTGCTCCGCCGTATGGTCAAGATTTCGAATATAGCTACCGCCGGTACGGATTTGTGGCGAAGAATCCCCATCTGTAATTTCTGACACAGCCGATCTATCTTGTGAAGAACTGGACGCGTCACGGGCCGGGTGATCTTCATCGTAGCGATCCGGTTTTAACGACCTGCTAGCCGCCGCCGTCTGTGCTTCAAGTGTGCGGGTTCGGCGCAGGGAAATCCGATGGTAATCTTCTGCTGTCAACTGCGGCGGAGGCTTAGGCACGTTCAAACATAAACCTGTCTCCGGGTCGTCTAGGCTAGCGAGATAGCATGCCAGGGTCCTCGCACTGAGCTCCGTGTATCGACGATATGGTCCTTCACTGAGTCTTCGACGATGACTAGCACATGTAGAGGTTCGACATCCGGGATCATCGCAGCCGTGAAGCAATTGAGCTTTGTACCTATCCATCCAAACCAATTAGTGTCATGCGGAGTTAGGAGGTCAAGGCTCAGCATTCGGAGTTCCACTCGCCTGCGCACTAAGCCGTTGAATTTTCTCCTTCGATCATCGCGATACCGTGGTAACACTCTTGAGGGATCAGACACCTCGATAGTGTTCTGTATGAGCGCATCCGATGCGTTTGGTGGGAGCTTTGACCGATAGCTGTGAGTTCGCCTGTGACCGGGGGGTTGCGCAATGTCGAGGTCTTCGATGGAACCTCCGCGGAGCCTTGTCATTTTTTAGCAGAGTAGCATGTCTGAGGGTCTGAAATAGCTATATGCGAAGATGAGCGCTAGTTGTTCGCTCGTCTCCACGCGTTGAACATGTGCGACCAAGAGGCTGTCATTGACAACGTAGTAAGATGACGATGCCTCAGGCAAATCATATCCACTCTTGGGCTCGGAGTTGTCGGAAGTCAAATAGTCCGGCGGACCTTGGGTTACTCAGCCGGTTGACCTTTTCGGAGATGACTAAGATGTCTATGAACATCACGCTTACTGGAATAGGATTAGTAGCGTTTCAGACGGGCTTAGTCGCTCGATAAGAAACATAATTTCGAAGGCAGATCAACCCTGGATGACGGTCTATCGAGTGCATAAAGACTCACTCGCAGGATCATTCCCTTTCAAGAATTCTTCTCTCTTACATCCATCTGGGTCTCATCACTTTCATACACTTTGATCATCAATCTGCATTTAGTTCATCAAAAAAACCATCGAATTCGACCGAAGGCAGAGCCTTCACATGTACCCCGCCTACAACAAATATTCATCCCACAAACCACAGGGAAATCCCGCCCTTTCAACCACCAACGATTCTCGAAAAACCACCGGTATGTCGTCGATCAACCAAGACGCAGCCTCGCTGCAATACACTTGCAACACCTGTCTCGTTGCCTTCCAACGCAGCGATGCGCAGAGGGATCACATGCGCAAAGATTGGCAGTAAGTCTTGAAAAAAAATTTTTAATCCATCATTGGTTCTCTATCCTTGTTGCGACTTCAGAGGTTGATTTGCCCTAGTTTATATAACATGAAGCGTCGCATCGCTTCTCTACCACCCGTCACTCTCGAAACTTTCAACGAAAAAGTTCTTGCCGCCAAAGCTACATCCAACGAGGCCGCCGCAAAGGCTTCATATGAGAAGACTTGCCATACTTGCAACAAGGCATTCTACAGCGAAAACTCGTATCAAAACCACATCAAAAGCTCAAAACACAAGCAACGTGCGGCCAGCCTACGTAAGGATGGCGATGCTGCCTCCGTCCAGAGTTCCGCTTTCTCTCTCGGCGAACCCGTGACCAAGTCCGACAATGACGTCAGCAAAGTCACCGAGGGCCTCAAGACTGCCACCATTGATGAAGAAGAAGACGAGGATATGGAATCTGATATCAAAAAAGACGGATTTTTGGCGACTCGCTGTCTCTTCTGCAAAATCGAATCAGCCGATATCCACACCAACGTGGACCACATGCGCATCGACCACGGCATGTTCATCCCCGAGCAAAAATATTTGGCGGATCTCGATGGCCTCGTGAACTATCTCTACCGGAAAATCACCGAGAACTTCGAATGCCTTTACTGTCATGCCATCAAAAACGACGCACAAGCCATCCAGACCCACATGCGCGACAAGAGTCACTGCATGATTGCCTTCGAATCCGAAGAAGAGCAAGTTGAAATTGGCCAATATTACGACTTCCGGAGCACCTACTCCGAAGATGAAGACGAGTCCACTGCCGAGAGCGGTGGCGTCAAAGTGAACGGAGATGGAGAGGACCAAGGTTGGGAAACCGACAGTTCCGCATCCTCTGTCGACGAGGACGATCTTGACTCATACCGAAATGCATCAGGCGCCTACGAGGCAGACTATGAGCTCCACCTTCCATCTGGAAGGAGTGTCGGTCATCGCTCGCTTGCCAAATATTACAAGCAAAACCTTCTCAAATACCCCACAGCCGCCGAACGAGCTGCCCGCCAGCTTGCCATTGCCAATGGAGAAATCGAGGAGGAACCGCCCCGCGGCCGCCCCAGCCATCACCGTGCCCTTATCACTCGTGCCAACGGCGGCATGGGTATGATTGGTGTCACAGCAGAACAGAAGGAAGCTGCCCTTACTGCTGAGCGCCGCGAGAGAACTCGGGCCCTCCGTCAAGAGAACCGTTACGTTGCCCGTGTCCAAAGAGCCAACAATCACCAGAAGCACTTCCGCGTATGTTCCACCTGTGCTTTTGCTTTTATTTCAAAACTAACTTCCTCCCCAGGATCCCCTTCTGCAATGATCGCTTCACCACAGCATCAACGGGAAATCACATTGATCGACCGGTTTTCAATCAAGACATCGTCTTTTCGATGTCACCAGCGAAACATTCGCCAACACCACAACACATCGACAACCACCGCAGTTCTTCAACTGCGCGTCTGTTACTCCCGTGCCGTGAGACTGCTCGACCTTTGGCAACCTTTGGGCTTCTACAAGCCCTTCGATTCAGCAACGAAACAACCAAGTGAGGTACTCTTTCCGAGCTGGGCCATTTTCTCAAATGAGTTTTTCAACCCGGTCGGTTTTAACGAGGCCTCACCGAACATTGGACAACTTAATGGAGGGACGTCTGTACGGATAGCGATTACATGTTGCACATACCTTTTGTTACAGCTGTCGTCAGTGTGTCGTCATCTCATCATGTTTTATGGGGGAGTCTTTTGGAAAATCTTTCATGTATCTAGTCAGAGCAAATCCAAACAAAAAATGCCCAACTTGTGTCTCGCGAGTCATGCTCATGCAATAATTGTAGATGTAGCCGGCTGCATGTTGGATTCATTTCGAGTCGACCTCTCCGCCAACGTCGCATTTTAAATAAACTCATGCTTTCTACAAAATCTAGGACCGAAATCTACGTCTCAAGAACCCCTACAGCAAAAAAAGGTTCCACAGGGGACTAAGATATTTCTGGCCTCTCAGTTAGCATGCACGGTTAAAAAGCCGTGCAACTATCCTTGGACGGCTTCGGGGCACTTCTACATCTCATGGATATGGGCATAGTTTTGGTACAAGAAATTCAGTTTCAATGGTTTAATTGACAAAACTGATGGCATATCAGAAGAATGGTTCATTGGAGTAACGGCTCATCCGAGTAATGGCCTATCGAAGTAAAGGCTGGTTCTCCGAGGGACCGCCATCAGACTTCGAAATTTTGCCATGCTTCTTTCGGCGGCGCTTCTTTTTTGATTTTGCCCGGCCACTGTCGGGGGTTTCCGATTTTGTGTCGTCGGTATCAAGGACTGAAACGTTGATAAGGTGGTCGTCAGGATGGCGATGATGGCCTGATGGATGGATTTCACCATCTGAAGAGCTCGTGCAATTTGCATGAAGGACAACTTTGCGAATACCATTGACATCCACGACCTGTTCTGTGATGCTACCACTGCGCGCCGGTCCGCGGTGGTGGTAAATCAAGCCTGGTGCACCTGATGATTTGATACTGCCTTCGTCACTACTAGCCTTCCGCGTCGACCCAGAACGCGGTTGGTTTTCGGAGTCGTCACGTAAAGCACCACTACTAGCCTTCCGCGTCGACCCAGAACACGGTTGGTCTTCGTGCTCCTCACGGACAGCCTCTGGAATGGAGACTTGAGGAAGGTCTTTGTATTGCTGAGCACCAGTGCCTTTGCTCACGCTGTCCTGTGAAGCCATGGTGCCGTAGCCAATTTTGAGAGCATACGCACCATCTTTGGCGTCTGTTCCAGTGGTGTTGAGCAAGCCTGCGCCTATGCCACCTTGGTATCCGGTAGAAGAAGGGATAAGCTTTTGGGAGTCGGAGGTGCTATGTCCGGACTCAAAGTCGGTTTGTCCGGAACGGGATGGAGAGGTGCTGTTGCGCTTTATTTTAACGGCATGGTAACGGGTTTGGCGTGGCCTGCTGGCCAGGTTGGAGGGACCAAGATGTTTCAAGTGTTCTCGAATCTCATCTGTGGTGCCAACTTGTGTGACTACTTCACTTGCTGAATCTGGATGGATATCGGCATTGGCTTTACGAAGTTGAAAGCGTGGAAGGGGTGCTTCCACAGAACTGCGGCGTCGAATCAAGTCGGAAGGCTTAGGGAGAGATGAAGGTTGCGTGGAATTTTCGTCAATCAAGTCGCCATCGGCGACAACAGAGGTGTTCAAAGGAGGCTCCTCGACGATCCTGCCTTTAGCGACACGAGACTTAGGTGCAGGTGTCATTCGTCGGATGGCTTTGTGGACATCAATAAAGACGTCAGATTCGTCAATGATTTCTTCTCCAATCAGTTCTTCAATGACATCTTCCAGGGTGACGACTCCAAGAGCGCCACGATCCTCACTGGGATATTCAGAGACAAGAACCATGTGTGACTTGCCCTCTTGGAAGAAATTCACAATATCCAAACAGCTGGTTTCAGGGCGCGTTTCAGGAAGTGTGGCCAAGGCAAAATCACGGACCCGTTTGCAATCTTCTGGGTCGTATGTAATAAGCATCTTGACAAGGAGCATGCCAACAAAATTCATCGGATTCTCAGGGGCGTGGATGGGAATGCGGGAATATCCTTGGGAAAGAATATGGTCCATCGTGCGTTCGTCCAAGACAGTATCGGCAGACATTGTGAAGACATCGTCCATTGGCGTCATGATGCTGCCTACTGACTTCTCTTTGAGGTCGAGAACTGCACTGATAATGGTCACTTCATCGGAGTTCAATTGCTCTCCGGCTTCACCCAAGGTTTTGTGGAGAGTGACGAGTGTTTTCAATCCGGCCTTTTTGTAGATGGTACCATGGTCCTCTCCAAGAAGCCTGTCTAGCAATTTTGCGATTGGCCAAGCGACTGGAGACATGATATACATCAAGACCAAGACGCAAGGTGCCATCCAGGCACCGATGGGAAGACCGTAACGAACGCAAATGGACTGTGGAACAATTTCACCAAAGATGACAATCAGAGCAGTACTTCCTAGAACCGCCGGCCAACCACCACCGAGGGTTCGGTCAAGAACAATGGGTAAGGTTTCGTTTGTGATCACATTGCTGAGGAGGAGCGTGACAAGAACCCAGTGTTTTCCGTGGTTCAAGAGATTGAGAACACTGGCGGCATTTTTCCTTTCGTGCCCTTCACCTGATGTCTTAATGACCTGGAGATAAACTTCATCCTGTACGAAGCAATCAAGACGTCAGCCTGGTTCATCGGGGAATTTTTAGCTGTCTTGGAAATAGCTGACCTGTCCCATTAAGGCAATTGTAAGGCCCGCAAATGCTCCACCACTCAACACAAGAGCAGCCGAAAATCCCAAATAAAGCCATAAACTCGGATCGCTCGGTTCCTTGAGGGGTTCTGTGTCGCGGGATGATAGAAAAACAGGCGAGAGAATTGGCGCAGCAGTGGTCAAAGGAAATTGCGATAGGGCAATGAGAAGAAACTTGGCCAGACTCAGCATCAATGGCCGAGCGGCAAATGAACGGTATGGCGAAGAATTCATAAGAGGAGCGTGGGTGACTAACGGGGCATGCTGTGATGTAATGGACGTCTATCGCGGGGAGATGGAATGGGTAAACTGGGCAGATAGGGATAGGGCAGATGGAAGGAAGAGGAGTAGGAGGGTGGTAGATGAAGACAACAAGGAAGAAACGAGGGGGAACAGGACCTTGGAATGGTGAGAATGACCTAGGAAGTGCTGGAAGGAGGACGACAGAGTGAGCAAGCTGCAGGATGGCGTAGATTGGAAGTCGGGAGGCCGGGACGCTTATTAAGCACCAAGCCCCATGCCTCCGATCGCCTGGTTGATATCTGCGGTCCGTAAATCTGCCAGTTCTTGGCCGAGTTCGCGCGTCTTGCCCTTCCAACACTCGGATCTCGCATACCACCTCTCAGCGTCTCCTGCAAGATCGCGACATGCAGCATCCAGTCCTTCCACATCCTCTTCAAGGTCCTCATATTCCTCAGCAAGAGTTTGATTTTGGTTCGAAAGAGCTTGATTTTCCTCCGCCAGAGTTTGATTTTCCTGTGCAAGAGTTTCATTGTCCCCTGCAAGAGTTTGGTTTTTCTCCGCAAGAGTTTGGTTCTTCTCCGCAAGAGTTTGGTTTTTCTCCGCAAGAGTTTGATTTTTCTCCGCAAGAGTCTTCTTCTCGGATTTCAAGTTCTCATTCTCATCTCGCAGTCTCTTGCCGGTCTGATTGTAATCGTCGTTCTCCTGCCCAAGCCTGATGAGCTTGGCCGTTTCCTCCCCTAGCTCATTGTAGAGCTTTTTTATCTCCTCATCCTTGACCAGTAGGTCACTGGCAATCTGACCATTGGAGGCTCGCAGCTCGTCCAGCTGCGTTTCCTTGGTAGCCAATTCGTCCCCTAAAGACGCTTGGGCAGTAGCCGTAGCCACTTTCTCGGCTACCTTACGCTGCTGAACGAATGCGGCCTCCTTTGCCTTGATTGCCGCCACCATTTTCCTCTCGTATTCGGCCTTGGCTGCCAGTATCTCATTTTCGTATGTCTGTTTTAGCAGCTCAACACGCTCCGCGTGTTGCTGTTCAGCGTAAAGCATTGTGCTCATCACCGCATCCCTCACTTGCTGCTGGACCAGCTCGTGGGAGATGTCGGGAGTCACCTGAATTTGCTGCTGGAGGCATGCGTTCTCATTGCTGAGCGCGGTGGCGGCGTCGTGAAGAGACCGAATCTGGTCGTCCGTGCGGGCCACATAGCCTCGAGCCTCGCTCTCGAACTTGACCAGCTTCGACTCCCACGCCGCATTGACGATCGCCACCTGCGCAATGGCAGTGAATTTTTTTGCCGGCCGACCACGTCCTCCCTTCCCAACTCCGTAATTTTTGGCAGGGTCCCAACGAGGACGTCCCTTCATCCCGTGAACGGGATTTTCCTGGGCCTGCTGCTGGAGGTATTCCAGGTCCTCGAACTTGCGCCGCCACTGGCGACACTCGACGATGACCCGATCCTTCGCAAGCAGGGATTCCTTGATGCCCCGGGAGACATTCGTCAGTCGAGAATCCAGGTAGCGGACCTCCTTTTCATGACGTTTCTTTTCGATCTCCCGGGCTATCTCGGAATCACGAACTTGTGCCTCCGTGCCAAGGAGCTGCTGCTCCAAAACCCCCACCAAGGCTCTCAGCTTCTTTTCAGCCTCAGTGGTTTCGGCGTGGTAGTTTTTCTCTGTTGGCTCGCAGACCAACACGGCTACTGATTGGATTAAACGAAACAACCAGAGACGGGGACTACTCTATGTTAGTTTCCAGAATGTTTCTGGATGGGTATTTGGATGGGTATTTGGATGGGTATTTGGATGGGTATTTGGATGGGTATCTGAATGGGTATCTGAATGGGTATTTGGGAAAGGCATCATTGGCTACTCTTTTGGTGTCATGAGACATAACCCTAGGTGTTGGCCATACGGAGGGCACACGTGAGAAATAAAACTCCCTAAACTTACCCGCTGAAAAAGCAAGTTCCCGCCACCGAGACGGTGAAAATAACAACGACGCTTCCAACGAGTTGGAAGAGGTCAGTGTGCCAATATGCGGCCATGGCCACAAGAAGCACGAAAAACACGAACGAATTGATACCAGGCATCGTGGTTGAATTAGAAAAAAACGAAAAAATCGATTGAGACGGTATGACAAAGATGAGGAGAGAGAAGAAAGAGAAGAGAGAAAACAAGATCAACGTTCACCTTTAAAGATGAGTCCTACGCGTTCCTTCCTTCCTGAACGACTACCCATTCAAATGATCCCCTGCCCATCCAAGGCAGCCTTCAGACATCCCTCTCCAAACGAACCGTTAGCACATTATCAATTAAGGGCCTTGTCATACAACAGTATACGTCTTAGTATCTAAATCGTGTTTTGTTGTGGAGTTTAGATTCAATAAATTAAACTTCGCGGCCCGTGTGGGGTACATACATGATGAACCTTGGAATTGACGGATCGGGTTGACGTCACAAAGCAACATGATTGCCAACCCTGAGGCTTCTCTAGGTGCCACTGGGCCGGGGCTATTCTGATTGGAAAGTAGTCCCTTCAAACAAGTGGTTTTTAACCCGCTCAATATTTTCTCGTCGATCACCGTTCCCAAGCCCGGCCTTTCGGGTACATGTGGATATCCGCCGAACCATCAATCTTTTGGACAAGTAACTTATTCTGAATAGTCTAAGCATCGTGAAACAGCAGTGGCAATGGCTCATAGGGACTGGGCTCTTGCTAAACCTCCCTTGGGCTCCACTGAACGGCAGCATAGGCATGTATCGTAGCTCGAGACGCAAGATGATTTAACACAAGTAAAACTGTAAGCCCTCCCCCCACAAATGCTGATACTCGGCTGGATGGTGTCAGCATCAACTCCAGCTATCCCATCGCAAATATTCGTCCTATCCCATTCTCTTTGGCCCCAAGCCACAGGGACCAGGGCTCTTGTGTAGTGTTCAAGGGGCGCTCTGGTAAATTTGACAGCGAGGAAGGCATCGGGAGACCTTCAATTATGGCACTGCTCTTATTTGCTCCACTGCTGATATCCTGCTTGTGTTCTCAACGACAAGGGTTGCATGTCGGCCAGTTGCATGGCAAGTCGACTGGAATAGCTGCTTATCGCGCTCAAGTCTTCCATAAATTACGGCCAGAAGGGCATCAAGCCTCAAGTTGAGGTACTGATGCGCCTCTGGTACCGCAGCTGGGGCAGGTTCCAACATTGAGTCCGTGGAAAAAAAAAGTCTCACTGACGACCGAGAAAGCGAATATCCGCACAGACCTTTATCCGCGAGCGAATGGTATTTCTCAGCAGCTTGCAGATGGGTCTGCCTTTGAATTGACTAGAAATATCCCCAAGCGCGAAATCTATTGCACTGAATGCACCGAAAATGTTTCTGGCCTCGAGTATGCCTCTGCGCGATGAACAGAAGTAGGGTTTGCGAGGGCCTGCAGCTCATTCTAGGTAACAACGCGCATGTTAGGGTCAAATCCAATCAATATAGACGTAACAATTGTGTTCACCACACTACGAACTTTTGCCGGCCCCGGCGCGCCATCGAGAATCGGGATGTCCCCTCGCCCCGTCCAACAAGTCCCGTGTCGGTTTCAATGCTCACTAGGCAGCTCAAGGATAGTTCATCGATACCGTAAGGATAGTCAGTACGGCTAGCACCCCGGATGATGTACAACTTGATCGAGATGATATGCATGGCGCGTTTGTGACCATGGAAACTGATGAAAAGGTAATTTGAGGAGAATTTGACTAGCGTTGGACTTTGACGTTCCACCTCGGAACAGACGAGACATAGCATGGAAATCTTGACGTGGAAGATGAAACGAGGTATCAGTAAGTCGGAAGTTGAACAGGTAAATGTAGGTAGTGACCTTCGAAACAAAGTCAACACCCTAGGTCTCTTCAATTACCACTGCCAGACTTATCAAGATGGCGGTCAAAGTGCTTTTATCAAAGCGCTACAAGCAGCTACATTCCGGTTCACATAAAATCACGCCTAGGAATGACTTTGGACACAGCATTGCGACAATGCTCTTAGTTGTGCAATCAAAGTCCTCACGCTCCCTATGCCCCCCTTTCAGCGTTTGGTTGATGGGGAATTTCAGTAGTCGGCAAGACGAAAGTCCGAGAGAAACTAGTGGCTTGAATGGGGACTCAACATGATTAGGCACATAATGAAGCTTCAAGATGTCCATTCTGGGGATTTGTTTGACCGGCTTCGTCGCAATATATTCTACCATGACTATATCACCCTGGGGTAGAAGTAGACTTTCCAAGTTAGGCAGAACGCGAACCGCAGTCTGTCTAGGTGAGGTGAAATTCACTCTAGAGCACTGAATGACCTAACAGGAATCAGCCATGCATCTCTCCCTTAACGCCATACTTTCACAGCTGAGATGGTGAATGATGGCGACCATATCACAATTCAGCAAGTTTGATGCTCGCTTCCCATTTCACTGGGCTTTGGATTTTCTTTTGGCGATTGAGATCGTGGCCCGTCGAAGACGTAAACTGCAGACTAGACAAAAATTTGCGGCGGGATAAGTTCGAATCAGAGATTTCAAGTTTTGGTTCATTCCTCTTGCAATACAAGTTCGTCCGCATTAGAAAGCCATGGCTGGCGGGTACTTTACCTGCAACTATTGCCCTAGCACTGATTACTTCTCCAAGAGTCAAATCGCTGAATGCAAGAATTAGATTAGCTTATATGCTTCTATGTTCGTCGTGTCATATATACTTCGTGCGGTATAACGCCAATACGAAAAGTTCCGAATATGTCACGATTTTGTCTCACCGCCATTAATATTCTTCCAAGAGCCAGCGTAATGATGTTCAACAAGATAAGGCCCTCTGTCCGTCGGGTAGCCACCCTGTCTAGCGGCAAAGGCTGCATTGGGCAGCACGAGCACGTCCTGAAATAGGATGGGTTCTTTGACACCAGTTATATTCGCTCGGCCGACAGGAGCGCCCATTTCTCTTTGCAGGTTCTGCAACATAGCAACAGTCATCGCCTGTGGGCCCGTGAGGTCCACTACATCGTTGATCATCGTCATGTTAAGTCCAGCAGTGGTAACATGGTGCTGCGCAGCAGTCGCCTTCAATTTATCGACGACATATTTGATGACTGCTACCATATGGCTTGTCTTAGGCTTTGCCATGATGGTCCAACTTGCGAACTGGGACCCGTCGAATTCCAAACCGACAACAACATTTGTTTTGTTCTGGTAATGTTCCGGAATCCAGGTAGAAATTGGTCGGTGACATGTTACATCGAGATCGCTCCAAATTCCTCCGTCGACGTATAAGATCAACAGACGAAGGAGATCCGCTTTTAGGATCGGGAGTGGAAGCGAGATATAGTGGTCCAGGATGTCTGGGTAGTCGGCAAAATGCTCTCGAACGTACTCGTCTGCGCTATCGTCTGTGAGAATCTCATGTCGTAGACGTGGGTTCACTTCTAGCCAACTGTGGATGTCTCTCTGGCGGTCATCGTTGATTTTCTTTGAACCGGCCTTTTGCCAGAGCTTGAATGGGATTGATGACTGTGCGTGATGACCATGGGAAATTGTGATTGGGAGGTAGCTTGGTATTTTGGGTTCTGATATTGATATCACATCTTTAACGGGAAGTTTCGGTAGATTTGAGGGTTTGATACCGGCATCCGAGACTGTCACATTTTCGTCGCTGCAGACGCACGAGCCATGAGTAAGAACAATGCTTGGTGGTTGTTTTGCCAGACTAGATGCGATCCAGAGAAATGAACAGATGAATAATAGTAGCAAACCAAGTAGATAGTGAAACCGTCCCATCATCCTGAAGGTGAGGGAACCTCTTGTGGGAGGGAGAACTCGAACGAAGATGACAATTTCAAAAAGGGATCCGCCGACTTATGAGGGAAAAGTATTTCTTGAGCAGGATCCATCTAGGGCCCACAAAAGCTTGGCTTTCATTTTCTGAAGTTTTTGTGTTATTCGTTCAAGTAGATCAGTAGAGGTGCATGGTTATAGCAAGACTTCCCTTTGGAACGCCAATCTACTCTTTAATTAGTAAGTTTCGCAGTTTTAGGAAGCATTGAAGCTACTTAAATGTCTAAAACTATCTCTCAACCCGGGCAGTGGCTAGTAGTGGCGATATTAAGGGTCTCGGATTGGGTCTCTTATTGGTCCAATCATAGAATCCCAGTTCAACCAGTGGATGTCAAATTTCCCACCTTAGAATGTCTCAGACTTCTCCTATCCGTGGAATCAAGTCCTATAAATGGGATCTAAATCTGGACCTTGATAGAATTTTGCTTGGCTGCATAAATCTGCCGGTTTTATGCACGGTCCCTGCATGTGCGTCGAGTGACACCAATTCCTTGAAGAGAAATAGAAGAATGTTATGATTCGACACTACGGAGTAGAATGATGAAATCGACAAATTCTAGTGAAAAAAAGCCTTGTCGCACATGAACGCCTGGACACACTTGGCTGCATGTAGGGGCAGGGCCCAAGGCCAGACACCGGCAAAGTGGTTGATTAGTCAGATCCGATGACGTCCACCTACACGGGTTCACAGGTTCACGACTCTTGAAGTCCTGAATCAACTTTGAGATCCAGGAACTTTGACCTTTCGTTCTTCACAATCATGGCTTCCAGAATTGGCCCTCAGATGTTCCGTGCATTCAGAGCTGCTCCATGGCCCTCGTGGTCTGCACAGGTGCCTCGTGCGCCCGCTTTCCGCCGCTGCATCTCGGCCAGCATGGAACAACCGCGTCTGCGCCTGGGCTCAATCGGTACCGTCTCAATAGAATCGCATTTGCCAAGATTACATTGTGACCAAAGATAGCCCCAAACTTCAAGGCACTGACTACTCAGGGCGAGATTGACTTCCACGAATTCATCGGTGACAAGTGGACCATCCTCTTTTCACACCCAGCAGATTTCACACCCGTAATGATCACCAACACACTCCATGAAGGCACCAAAATAACATGTAATTAGGTGTGTACAACCGAATTGGGCACCTTCGCTCGACTTCAGAAGGAGTTCGATGCACGCGGGGTCAAGATGATCGGATTGGTGAGTCTCCGCCATTTTCAGCTCCAGCTCCTCCTACAGAGCCTTGGCTGATATGCCCCTCTCTCTAGAGTGCCAATGAGCTCGGTTCCCACGACCAGTGGATTAAAGACATCAATGAAGTCGGCTCCACAGAAGTCCAATTCCCAATCATTGCCGATGCTGATCGCAAAATTGCCTTCCTCTACGATATGATCGACGAGGATAGCCTCGGGCAGAAGGAAATCGTCTTCACTATTCGCTCCGTGTTTATTATTGATCCGAGCAAGAAAATTCGCCTGGCCATGATGTACCCCGCCTCCACGGGCCGAAACTCCGCTGAGGTCCTGCGGGTTATCGACTCCTTGCAGACCGGGGATAAGAAAGGTGTAACTACCCCGATTGACTGGAACGTTGGTGATGATGTTATCCTGCCTCCCTCTGTCAGTACTGCGGATGCCAAGAAGAAGTTTGGTGAAGTTCGGGAGGTCAAGCCTTACTTGCGCTATACCAAGATCTAAAGATGTCGATATATAAAGCAATACATGAAAATGAGAAGTCCCCTTTCCACGTCGACCAAACGGGTGTGGCGTGTGCTGTTTACAAGTCAGCCACTTATGCGGCCACGTTGCGTATTTTTCAATCGTTCTTTCGAGATCTTTTGATATGCCTGTTTAGCTTTCCTCGTGTTCAGGTTGACTAAAATACAGGCGAGAAGAATGGATTTAACCGAACAAAGCAACTTTTCCAAGTGCAAGCTTTTAATTTGAAATCTCGATGAACTACAACTATTATTTAACGAAATGAACTCCGGGAGGCGCTTGAGAAAAGGGGCAACGTGTTGGGTTGCATGTTCAATCGTTAAACCCTTGATATTTGTGTAGGAAATGATAGCACTAGTACTCGGTACCTATGTTATGCCCCGAATTCATATGTGCAGCCTATCAGCATTGCCGTTCCTTGTCCGATAGGTGTCGGCTATGCAAAGAAACTTACTTGTAGACTAGTCACGAGTCGATCCTTGAACAGTTGGGTCAAAAATGACAAGGCCTCAGTGTTCACTGCACTGCCAAATACAAGAGTAACAGGAATCCCAAGACGATCATCGTCAAATCCAGCAAGAATCATCCCGTGAATATCCCTTTCCCCGACATGTGCACGCGCTTACTCTTCCTAGGAAATCGTCCTCCGTCTGTTGTTTCCTAATTGTTCCCCGGGGATTCTGTCAAATGAGAATCTTGCAGATTCATTGCGGAAAATCAATACGCTCATTCTCTTGACTAGCCCAAAATACAATATATTCTCAACTCTTGTCTTTTTCGTTCATCACCATTCCATCGCCATGGCTCCTTGGGCACATCTAGCGCTAGTCTGTCTTTTGACTCCACATCTCCTGGCTTCCCCAGAGCCAGACGAATCCGAATCTACTACTAATCTGCACACGAGACCAATCGAAGGCTATAAATCACCCCCCTACTATCCTACCCCTCCGGGAGGATGGATTCCAGATTGGAGTGAAGCATACTCCAGAGCGCATCATCTCGTTAGCAGTATGACACTGGCTGAGAAAGTTAATCTGACTACAGGCACAGGCTTCTTCATGGGACCCTGCGTTGGACAGACAGGTAGTGTGCCTCGCCTAGGTATTCCTAACCTGTGCCTCCAAGACAGCCCTCTGAGAATCCGCAACTCAGACCACAATACTGCCTTCCCACCTGGTACTACTGTGGGTGCAACATTCAATAAAGACCTCATGTCCGAGCGAGGTGTTGGGCTCGGCGAAGAGGCTCGTGGAAAGGGAGTCAACGTGCTCCTGGGACCATCCGTGGGGGCACTTGGACGCAAGCCACGCGGCGGAAGGAACTGGGAAGGCTGTCGCCCAACTATATGTGGAGCTTCCGTCTAATCTAGAGCTGGACACGCCGGCCTTGTAGCTCCGACAGTTTGAGAAGACAAAGGAGCTTGCGCCTGGTGAGAGTGAAACGGTTACACTGCATCTGACTCGGAAAGATGTTAGCGTTTGGGATGTTGTAGTGCAGGATTGGAAGGCCCCTGTCAATGGAGAGGGCATTACGATTTGGATTGGGAATAGTGTTGCTGATTTGCCTATTCTCTGTGTGGTTGGACAAAAGTGCTGGGGTCAAGAAGGGAAATGTTGATGCTTCGCGATGAACTGTTTACTTGTTTTTAAATTTGCTTCTTTGTTTGACTCGGATTTGAAGACGTTGTTGCGCGTTGCACATACCATTATGTGAAGATTTGTTTTCCAATCGGACATGGCAAGATCTTGATCTGAATCCATCCAACTATGGCAATCTATCACTGCCGGTTTGTCCGTTCAAGTTCGACCTACAGTATACCCTTTTTTTGCCACTCATGTCAATTGGCCTCTTGCATTCTTTTCATACAAAGTCGATGTCTTTGTAGCTAGGCCAATAACAGGTGAAATATCGAAGAAAAGAATCTTGAAACGAGCAACTGAAAAGCCATCAAGACCAAAACAGGAGTGCCAAAAGGACTACAACAGTTTGCCCGGGTAGTTTCCTGTAAGATCCACCTTGAAGTGGTTTCAGCTTCCCATTTGTTCCCTCGGATTTGTTTCAACCCTCATGGGCACAAAAACGACAGAAGAGAAGAACAAGATCATTTCAACAGATAAGTACATGGTCAGGAATCTATACGCTATGTGCATTCTGCTCGACGACCGGCGTCTTCTCAACGTTCAATCCCGTCTTAGTCTCAACATGCTCCTTGGCCAACTTAGTCTTGAGAATAAAAGCCGAAAAAAAGACTCCAACAGCAGACATGCATGTATAAAGAATCCACATATTTCTCAAACTCCAAGCAAAAGCCTCCCGAACAGCTAGCAACTGCTCGGGATCGGTAATGAATTTGATCGACTCGATACTCGCAGCAGCCGAATCTCCAGACATCTGGGCCGCCATGCTAGTCGACATACCGGAAGCCAACAAGCTGGACTTTTTCTGGCCCATACTATTCTGGAAGACGACGCCGCCAATGACAATAGAAGCTGCGGTCGCCATGTTGCGAATGAACCCGATTGTTGCCGTTGCGGTCGCGGTATCTTCCTGGGAGACCTTGGCCTGGATGGCGATGATAGGTGTTTGGAAGAGGAATCCGGCACCGAGACCGCTGACAATCTGGTACCCGACTATCTCGCCGACGGAGGATCCCACACCGAGGTGGATGTAGAGTCCATTTCCGATGGTCATTAGGACCAGGCCGATCCAGATGAGTTCGAGGTATCGACCGGTGCGATGGATGATTGCGCCAGTGAACATGCCGGAGAATGCTTCCATCACGACTAGCGGGAGAATGAGGACACCGGAGCCCATTGGCGAGGAGCCATGCACGGATTGTAGGTAGAGAGGAATGTAGTATTCCCCGGCGATGAAGACCTACAGATTTGTTAGTGGTTGAGGGTGACCCAAGAGATGAAGAGACTGACAAAACCATGTGCAAACGCTACGAGCAAGGTAGCAATATTGGAGAATCGAGTGAAGATGTCCATCGGCATCAAGGGATATTTGGCTAGTTTCTTCTCGCTGTAGACGAACAGCAAAGAACATAGAGACCCAAAGACAATCAGACAGATGACCTGGGGGGATTTCCAGGCGAAGGTCTCGCCCCCGAAATCCAATCCCAGTAAAAGCATGAGAGTAAGACCCAGAACCGAGAGACTGCCGAACCAGTCAATGGCGCGGACGCCATCCATGATTTTCGTCTGTGGGTTGTGCACATCCAAGAAAAAGAAAAGGAGCACGAACGTCACTCCCGAGATCGGTAGATTGATCCAATAAGTCCATCTCCAAGTGACTGACTGACTGAATGCACCGCCAAGTAAGGGTCCAACCCCACCAGCAAACGCCCACATGACCTCCATTAGGCCGAGATATAGACTGCGGTGTCTGTTGCGAGGATCAGCAAAATCCCCTTCATCGCAGGGATAGACAACCAAGATCTGCGGGCAGATCAGCAAAGTCTCTCTTACCGGACACTGAACAAATCCGAAATGATAATCGTCACGAGCTGGAGCAAACCACCACCAGCGACACCCTGCAAGGCTCGACCGGCGATCAACATCTCCATGCTTGTAGAAGCAGCACAAAGAATGGAGCTGAGGAAAAACCATCCAACCGCCAAAAGCAAGATCGGTTTCCGTCCCCAGATGTCCGACAGCTTGGCCCAGATACATGCGCTGGCGGCGGAGCTGAGAAGATATGCTCCGCCAATCCACGTATACCCAGAAGAAGAGTGGAAGTACGCTGCAATGGTTGGGATCGCTGTTGCCATGATCGTTTGATCCAATGCGGCAATGAACATCGACAACTAAATGGGAAATTAGTAGGCGAAATATGGAGGTTGAGTTTCGTGTCCCCGGGATCTTACTGAAAGTGCTATCATTATTGCGCTAACTTGGACTTTGCTTCGCCCTTTGGGGGCTTCTTGGATTTCCATTGATTCTGCCATTGCTGGTAAACCTGGAGTGAAGTTCTAATTTTGGAAGTTGACGATTCGAAATTCTTTTTTTTTTCCCTCTCCGTTTGGTGGGGCACTTGGGCTTGCGGGTTAAGAAAAAAAAAAAAAAAAAAGGACAGGAAAGACAGATTTTTTAGTCCGTTTCGTATGTTTAGTAAGAGATGGCGAGATGAGAGATCTTGAATGAGAGATTAAAGGGTACAAAGAACACACGATTTCATTGTAAAAGCCACCTACCTCAGTGTGAATTCCAACGAAAACAAAGTCAACCAAAACCTCGAAAAAAAAATCGACCCCAATACAAACCCAAAGATCAATCCGCCCGTCTACCAACCGTAACGCCAAAGTTAACCAGCGCCGTAGCAGACTCACAATGAGCCTCAAACTCGCCAATCAACTTCTCAGTAATCCCACGCGCCTGCCTGGTATCCTCAGCTTGACCAATAACAACCATCGAAGGCGGCACCAGCGCACGCATCACACCCGCAACCCATATCTGCGCAGTAGGTCGCAGATATTTCTTCCCAGCCGTTGTGTAAGTCTCACGAACGACGTCGGTGAATCCAGATGTATGAATCACGTCGTACACACGCTGGGGGGCGAACGGCCACAGACCCAGTTTCAGCATAGCTTCAATCACACATTCCCGCAGTCGAGTTATCGCTGCGGGCTCTAGTACCGCGTCTGTGCAGAAGGCTGTGTGGTCGACTTCTTCCCATTGGATCCAGCCGTTTGGTTCTGTAGTTGTTAGGTTTAGGTTTATTGTTGACAGGAGATATCCTTTGGACATGAGGGAAAAAGGAAGAGAAAGGACGGGACAGAAAAGCATACTGAGTAAAGCCCGCGCGTTGGCGAGCACTCTGGTGTAGTCAGCTTGTTTCAGGCCGGCTGTTAAGAGTCGGATGTGAACGAGGTCATATCGGCCACGGTGCTCTGCTGGAAAGGGGTGCAGTGCGTCGTGAACGGTGAGTGGAATTGGCTTTTGGCCAGATCGTGGGATCTCGTGGCGTTGTGGGTATTGGGTTGAAGAGATGTCGAAGCCGTGGAGGTACACTGACTTATTAGGTAGGAGATTGGCAACATCTTGGAGCCAAATGCTGTCCTGCGTTAGCTTCTGTGTGACCGAGGTTGGATCGCTTCATATTATCTTTAGAAGAGGAAGAGGAAGATACCCTGTGCCCGTGCCCAAATCAGCGACTGCGGTAAGGTCTCTTGGAATTGACGGATGAATGAGATTGGAGAGCTCGACGAGAAAGCGATGCTGGTCATTGAGACTATGTTGTATGAGACATTAGCGCCAGCCCTAAGGGGGCTCACCCGAACTGTCGGGTCGGAACCCCTACAAGGGTTCCCACAAATTTGTGACAGGGAAGATTCAAAACCTCTTTCATATTTCAGAAAATGGAATGCTTGAAATAGTGTTCAAAGATGGTCAAATGTAACATGGTGAAATGGCCTGGAAAAAGTCCAGTAGGAAGAGTCCACCCTTACCGTTTAGTCTCCGCCTCGTTTCGATCCAGCATGTAAATTGGATGCGAGATACCACCCATCTTGATCAAGCTCTGGAAAAGCCCAAACAGACTGGAGAGAAATTTCTGAAACGGAAGGGAATTCATTTTGGGAGATGGAAAGTGGAAACACAAACAAGGTCTTTGGTTCGGTAGGAATTCAAGGTGACTGACACCTTTTTTATATCTCTGATCTCAACAGATATACTCATAGGGTGTTGATCGAAAGATCGTTCTTACTTACATATCATATCAACCTCCAGGCCAGCGCACAAAGAAAACCAGACTTCTAGCCCCGATCCCCACAGAATAACCTTGCACTAGTACACGCCCCCGGGCCACGATCGAACACAGGATTGACCTATCCAATACTCTTCCGAGATCTTAGTAGTGGACTCTGTTGGGTCTGTGTGGAATTCCCTCTGTTCAACAAAGCCAGCATCATGTATCGAACCCCCTATTCGGCTTAGAACCGAGTTTATTCCAGGCTAGCTACTTCCTGGCCAATGCATCAAACCCAGCATTGGCTTTCCTGTGGAGAAAGGGCAGCTGCGTTTATACGAGACACCTTTGGATAGTATTACGATGAATTGGAACGGCAAATATTTTCCTAAGATCGTACATCGGAAGTGGGCGTACGCCGTACACCGACTACAAAGCCCAACGGCTCGTCGGCTTCGGGACCAGACAACCTCCATGCAGGGACACGGGATGGTGCGAGACAGCCTTGGAATAAGGAGCAGTGGAGTACCTAGATATGGGGAAACGGTGAGATGACCCGCTTCGGGACGTTATCTTTCCCCTTTACGGAAGATGGTATTAAGCGTTCATTGGAAGCCAATCTGGAACGTGGATACTATGGTGATGAGTCTACGGAGGCTATAAACTATCGGTCTGGAGAATTCCAGACATAATGAGTGTCACCGGAAAGAAAGACAAGCGCTGGAAAAAAAATTGCACATCAAAATTGCAATTGAAGAGATAATTTTACAAAATGAGACCCTAAAAAAAAGAAGAAGAAAGCCTTGACACCACTCAAGACTTATCCACCAAGTTAGCAAACACATACCGGAAAATCTCCCGGCTTTTATACAAGTTCTCCACCCGCATACGCTCGTTATCCAAGTGGGCGTTGTCACTGGCCTGTCCACAAGGCAAGTTAGCGGCCGGGGCCGAAAATTCCTTTTCCAAAAACCGGATTGTCGGGATGGACCCGCCCTCACGGATGAACATCGGTTTCACTTTGGCGGCACTGGATGCAATGGCTGGTCCATTTGTCGTAGGATGTTTGGCATCTGGAGCCGACGTGGCCCGAATTGGCAAGGCGACTGACTCCTCAGACGACGTCGGTGTGGCTTGTGTGAGGGTGGAGGAGGTGGGCACTGTGGCGGCCGTTTGCGTGGACCGTTTGCGCGCGGCTTCCTTGCCCGCTGATGAGGTCGTTGTCGATGTGATTACCCGCTCAACGTGCGAGGCCAGACTTTCGTCGGAGTCTTTGCGGTGGAGTTCAGGGAGTGGGCCCGCTCTGGGTTTGGGCTTGGTCGCTGGGAGAGTACTTGAGGATTGCGGGATGGGCGGATAGTGGCGTTTCGGATCCTCTTGAGCCGGAGACCACGCTGCGGTGATTGCCTCTGATAACGTGGCAAAGATTTCGTTATCTGGATCTCCGAGCCAGGCGTCGGATTTACCGGTAATCTCGACTGTGAGGTCGTTTTGTGAGTCGAGCAGCGCAAATTGCTCTTGAGCAAAGGCGGTGAGGTCGGCTGCGACTTCGTCGGCGTGCTGATCCGGTACGATACGGATCGATAGGGTTGCTTTGGCTCGGCGTGCGATGGTCGTGGCGTTCTTGCTTCCCGGTACCTCCACCGAGTGCACAGTCAAGGCGGGTTCACGCCAGCGATGCATCAGGGACTTGATCAGCGCCTGGCTGTTGGGGATCTCCGGGTGCTGCAGAAGTAATACATCGGCAATAGCCTCGAATCGCTTCTGCTCGGCGTCTGTGAGAGGCCTGACGGCATCGTGGAATCCAGGCAGATTGATCTTGCCTTTTCTTCCCACGATTGTGGACAGAAGCATAGCAATGTCCTTAACTGGTTCGTCCAGCAATGTGCTACCGTCGATGCCACTGTGAAGGTCAGGGTGTTCGCTTGTAACGACCAAGTTGGCATGCACGACACCGCGTAGCCCGTAAGTTAAGCACGGGTTATAGTCATCAAGCCAATAACTGTTGGCTAGTAGAACCCAGTCGATGGGTCCAATCTGAGCCTTGTGCTCGCGAACTGTCTCGTGGAACCCTTGAGATCCGGACTCTTCTTCGCCCTCAATAAGGAAAACAACGTTGCATCGCAAGGTCTTCGTCCGGGCAAGATCCGCCGCGGCATACAGGGATGCCAGAATGGGTCCTTTATTATCCGAGACACCACGGCCGTACAGGAATCCGTTGATGGAAGTGAGCTGATAAGGATCTGTCCTCCACTTGGGTCGGTTCGTCTCTGCACCCACAACGTCATAATGGCCATAGAAGAGGATAGTCTTGTCCACCTTGTTGGGTGAGGTAGCGTTAAATCTAGCAAAAACAATGGGGTTGGTGTCTTGACCAGTAGTGAGGAGCTTGGTCTTGGCACCGAGGTAGTTGCAGTGTCGTCGAAGGAAAGCAGCACCCTGGTTGCATTCGCCAGCGAATTTGGGACTTGCCGAAATGGTCTTGAAAGAGACGAATTTTGCAAGACTGTTGACCATTTCGTCTGGGTAAAATTTAGCGAGTGTTTGACGCGAATGGTCTATTTGGGACGTACCGTTACTAATCGGAGGCAGCTCTTCTTGGGTCATGAAGAACTCGGTCAAATCCCAGATACCTACTGAGTTGTCATTTCCACCAGTGGCATAGATCCGGCGATCCTTGAACCGTCCGGCAGCTGAGGCGAGCATAGTGCCCTCGTGAGCAACCCAGCCACCGACCTCTTCGAATCGGGAGTTAAATTTCTTGCATAAGTCAGCGGAAGTCGATACAAAAGCCACAGAAATCTAGATCAGTGCATACCTTGACCGTTCCACTAGAGTCACCACAGATAGCGATGCCCTGAATGACATGCACAGCCCACAGATCCCCAGCGTGTCTAGTTATCCGCTTAACGAGCTGCTGAGAGTCCAAATTCCAAATGTTAAGGGCGCCGCCAGCCAAACCACAGTATAGTAGTGGTCCCTCAACGGCAACACTCAACACAGCATCTCCATTCTGCAGCTTGGCAATTTGGGATGGAGCCGCGCCAGGATCTTGACCTAGGCGCCATAACTTCACCACACCATCGCCCGCGCCAGTCAAAAGAGCCTCCTCAGCAGGAGCGGTCTCAACCAGGCCTTTGACTAGGAGCATACAGTAGACATAGCCATGATGCGCGAAGAGCTTATGGTGGTCTCGCTTGAAGCTCAGCACACGACCACCGTCAGAGAGGGCACCATCCGATGATCCTGAAGTACGAGTGCCGTCCGGCCCTCGGGAATCAAAGAAGCGATGTGTCCGTTTAGATGGATGGGCTGATGATGCTTGGTTCAATGTTAACCCTTCCTCGGAGAGATCACACCACTATTCGAGTTAAAATTTTTGCTGAATGGAGGCGCAAACAAGGGTCAGGTACCTGGATACTTGTGTTCTGCGCACCACAGTAAATAGTTTTGTTGTCCGACGAATACACTACTGTAAATAGATCACCCACGTCGTGGTGTGAATAAATCGAGTAGAGACGTTCAAATGTTCGCGTGGACCACACCTGTCCGCGTCATTAATCCCGGTTTCTTAGATTCTTCATTTGCATGACTCACATTGACCACGGAGTCACCCCCGCTTGAAAAGAGTAAGTTTCCATCTTCAGAGAGATAGAGGCCTAACACACTCTCTTTGTGTGCGTGGACGGATGCCACGAGATCATAGGTTTCAAGGGACCACGCCTAATGAACCGATCAGCCTCGGTAAGAGAACACTACCGTAGACATCTTGAACGAATCGAAGTTTAAAACTTACAACAATATCTCCTCCTTGCAGACCAGCAAAAACACACTGTTCGTCAACCGCCAGAGCGAGAACGGAGCGACTGGCGAGCACGCGGTGGCCGATGCCGCAGTCACTATTTGGAAGGGCATCGGCATCAACTCGAGAATCAGAGTCCCAGCTTTTTTGATCCTCCTCAGAGATGCTTTCTGATTCGACTAAATCCATAATCAGTTCGATTTGTTTTGGCAATTTGCAATGGTTTTCACGGCGGAGAGTGAAGTGATGTTGGTGTTCTCGGAATCTCTCCGCTTCAAAAATCAACCAAACAGAACACTGGAAATCTCCCGGATTCACTTCATTCTGTTTTGTTTTTTGTTCTCGCTTTTTGAGGTTGAAGAGATTCCCAAACAAAATTTGAATCCACAATGAAGGAAGGGAAAGGAATATGAATCATCAAGGCGGCACGGGGGCAAAAAAAACAAAAAAAAGATCATAACAGTAGGAAGATATTGCACCATCGACAAAGTATTTGACTCACCATCCCTAGCATCCCTTTGATCTCGGCAACAAGTCCTTCTATACAGGGAAAAGAATCAGTTGTCGGATTAATTGGGTTTGACTTGTCTATACCACGGTCGCATGTCCATTCATTGGAGGTGGAATATTCTTGGAATTCATTACAATGAGACGCACCTTGGCTCCCACAATAAGCGTGCTAAAGGGGTACTGGGGCGACAGACGACCATGATATAGGGATTTAGGATTGATTCAGGAAAGATTTAGGTTGAGTCTGGAGCATCAATGAAACGGTCCAATGTGGAAAAGAACAATGAAGTGTACACCGACGGTGATCTGCACTCCAATCTTGAAATTCTGGAACTCCTCAATTGATAAGAACGAGATACGTATGTTGTAGGACCGTGTCCGAGCATATACAACATACTGGGTAATGCCCCTGATGGCTTTCATTCTTCAGTACTGGACTAGAAATGTTGGCCTGCAGGTGCCCATGTGTGATCAATGTGTCTAGGGGAGATTCAGAATCAAGTGATACAACCGTTATCACGCAATTTTGATCTTAATATCATCATTACAGGAAGATCCTTCCATTAAGGAGATATGCAATAGATATTCCTGGAGAAACAGAAGAAATTAAGTCTTGGTACTCCGTATGTTGTAGCCATCAAGCCGTCACAATTTTAAGGCTAAGGCTTAGCACTGCCACACATGGCTGACATAGCTGACATAAGGATGACAAAAGCCACAGTGGCGGTGACCCCATCGGCCAATCAGACGTCAGATGTCACCGCTCTTTGCATCTGGGCTCACCTGGGCTCACCTTCCATAGTCTAACAGCTGGTGAAATGTCATTACGGATTATGATTGTCAGGGAGCTAGGATCGTTTCTTTTCCATTTCTTGCCTCCAATGCATCTAAATATAATATCGTGATCTCCATTGCCCTGGAAATTCTCTTCTGGGTCTCCGCACACACAACATACAGACGCAAAGATCGGCTTGGGCGCCCAACAGCTTTCAAGTGTGATATGTGGTGTGAGCTCATTGAGCCTACGGGGCCCAGTGATACGTGTCTGCTTTGTAAAGTGGCACCCAATGACTCTGCGCAACGGAGCATAGCTTCTGCAACCCGGCCCTGTTGCTCTGGCCCTGTTGATTTGGCCAACGTGGATACGCTTGATCCCCAGCCTCCCGGTTCCGCATCACTTCTCTATCGCCTTAAACCCTCATTGGGACGCCTCCGATCGGACTTTTTGCGCTGATAAAGTCCTGATCTTAACCGAGAAATTTCCACGGCTGTGTCAAGCTTGTTCTTTTATACCCTGCTTGATTCTTCCAAGTCTTGATCTATACCCCGGACATTTTTCCTGTAAACCACTTTTTAAACCCTACACCGCTTCCTTGTCTTGTCGGCCGTCGATCTCGACCATCTGATGACTGATTTTCGGTAAGGTCATCGCAACGACTTGCTATTTGCCATGGCGCCCTTAGGTCAAACAATTGCTGTGATTGACAAGTCTGGCCAAGTTGTGAGCACGGTAAGTTCAATATCCAGCGGACGCCCAACCCCGCATTCTGACCAGTACTAGACCAGGCACCTATTGGGTGTTTTCAGCCACGCCAAAAACGTCTATCGTGAGCACAAGTCCGCCTTCCAATCAGAACGCAATGCAAAGATTGCGGAGCAACAAGCACTTCAAGGACTCGCCAACTATCAGATTGATGACGCGCCCTCAGTAGCCGCATCTCGACGAAGTCGTGGGACTCGATCTAGACACCACAGCGGCCGTAGTCATTGCGCTTCGTCTGCCTATGATGATGAGCAGACAGCTGTATCGTGGCAGGACTCTCCTTATGAGCCCCCGCAGACTCTCGCCCGCCATCATACCAATCACGATTTGTCGGTCCCAGATCATGACGCTCGCTCATCAACGACTCGGTTCAGAACCGATGCGCATATCGACATGGATCTTGCATATGGGGACGCCTCTCATGCAGCCTTGTCTCGATACAGTCCCCCAGAGCCGAAAGACGACCAACAACAGCTCGATAGTCTTGTCAACCGGGCAGAATGGCTCCTCGAGGAAGCACATTGTATGCAACAAGGTGCTACCGCCGCCATCGCCCATCTCCAGAAGAACCCACAAGCTATGGCCGCCGTCGCCTTGACTCTAGCGGAGATCAGCAACCTGGGAAGCAAGATGGCCCCTGCCGCATTAACCACGCTCAAGTCAGCCGCGCCTGTCGTCTTCGCTCTTCTCGCCAGTCCTCAATTCCTTATCGCTGCTGGAGTCGGCATAGGCGTGACGGTGGTCATGTTTGGAGGTTATAAGATCATCCAAAAAATCAGAGCTGGCGCTACCGGAGACGAGGGAAAGCCCGCTGAAACGGAAATGGAACTGGAAGCAGAAATGGAAGAAATGATCGAGTTCAACACAGAAGATCTCAGCTCTGTTGAGATGTGGAGACGCGGTGTAGCTGATGAACAAGTCTACAGCGTTGGGACATCTGTTGATGGCGAATTCATCACACCCACCGCAGCGGCCATGTCAGGCATCGATGTGACGACTGCTCGTGCGCGACGGGATCCGCGTTTCAAATTCGATGAAGATGCCTCGGTCGCCTCGTCCCGTCGCTCCCGTCGTTCACGCACCACCCTGGCTCCGACACATGCACCGTCAGAGCGACACGAACAGAGATCAAAAGCCCCTTCAGAGGCGCCGAGTGGATTCTTCGGACGAAGCTCCTCCAGGTCCAAGGCGCCATCAAAGGACCCCAGCAGAGCGCCTAGTAGAGCACCAGGCAGAGGTCCTAGTCGCACCTCATCTAAACACAGCACCCATGTCTCCGAGTCCGAGAAACGGCCCAAGGAGAAAAAGAAAGGTCCCAGCCGCCTACGACTTATGTTTACCTCTTCCTCTTGACCTCACAGCCCTCGTCATCCGACAGAATCCCAGTTTGTAAATACACATCTCTCTACCCTCCACTAATGTCATTTACGAGTGGATATGCACTTCAAACGGTTCATGCAGTCACTTTGATCCATACAACGCTTCTTACGACGACACAAATCTAAAGCGTCACTTCCACTCATTCTACATCTTTTGGACATGGTTGTCGTCTGCTTTTCTGTTATCTTTCTAACGTTCTTCTACCAGTCTTCCGCCTCTTCTTCTTTTAACTGCTTTCAGAGATACAATCCCTTCACGCAAGCATATTTGGCGTTTGGTGGCATCTGCAGTATTTTCCACCCGACCAGAAAAAAAAATTTTCTAAATCACACACTTTCAAATCGGATATCTTCCATCCTAAATGTTTTACTACGAGTCCTTCGTTCTTGATTTATACCTCAAATGCATGTCCATCTCATCTATCAATTGCCAGCCATTGGTGCAGATCATTAGGGTCATCGATTTCTAACCAAAAGGACCACGACTATCGAGCCTCCACATTAAGCAGGTTGATCCAAATAACCGACTGGACACGTACATAGCATACCGTGTGGCAGTCTAGGTCTGAGTAGATATCAGCTTTGAGCTATGCTAACTTACACCGGATAAGGATCTCTGGAGTTCCTCCACTGGAAAGTGATTTTCTTTAAGTAAAGAAAGAAGGTCAACAACACAATCTCCTATCATTTACAGTAACCTCAACGAGACCCACTCCGACTGGGTATTGGATTATGACTCGCAGCTCGAAAGTCCGCGTGATTGAGACGAAGAATGGTATGATTGGATTTGGCTGTCTGTGATAGGGAGACTAAGTACTGAGCATAGACACTAAGCTGCGAAGAAGCTCTTCGGAGCTAAATGGGTCATGTGTCATACTGGTGATTGACGAGGTCTAGCTCGATGTGCAAAGGCAAATCATATCGAGGTATCTCTTTTTCGCACTCTAAGGCTAGGTCTCTTTTCCCTGTTTTATTTTGGAAATTGTAGCCATTCAAACCAACCCCTCCATTAACCTATCCGGCAAATGTTCAGAGAAAGGCGATGATCGACAGGGTAAACTCCTGGATACTTCCGCGCAAGCCCAGAGTGAGGCACTCTATCTAGGCAAGACTATGAAGCTCGCGGAACTGAAACCGTCGTTGATCTGATCAACTGTCGTTTCAGGAGAATGCCCATCGTTCCACGCTGTAGGATTCGATTGCAATATTTTTCATAGGCATTCCTCGCCAAGTGACTTGACAACTGAGTTTTGAGAAGCTACACAGCTCCATGTCTTCAATGTATCCTACCTGGATGTCTATTTCTAGAGCTCTACAGTATGCATACAATATACGGAGTACTCCGTACTCATTAAACAAACAAGATGCTTATTGAACCAACAAGTCCAAAGCAATGTATAATCGGCAATGCCCATACCAAACATCTGCCGTGAAGGTCGCCAGGGTGCACCATATGCGACCAAAACGGCCCCCATAGGATTCAAAGTTACGAAGCCCAGAGGGTCCTCCAAGACGATGATTTGACGTGGTCGGCAGATGGAGGATTCTCAAAGAGCCGGAGATTCAGCATGCCAATTCCCCCCATTGGCTGATCCTGGACCCAACAGTCGGCAACGAACAGGCGATCGGGGTTGCAGGACACGCCACCAAGTCAGGTATTATCAGTATGGGCTTTTTATTTTCAATTACGATTGTTGCGCTCATTTTCACGATGAGGTTCAAGAAAATTTCGTTCTCAATATCGAACCTGCTTTCAATCTGTAAATTCGGTATTTGAAGCTATCTATGCTGGGAGCCGCGAATTGCCGTTACGTTGGCCAAAAATCTAAATTCTGTAAGAAAATGATGCCTCCAATTCAACTCCTCCGGTATGATAAAGCCGAGGATGGTAAGATGTGGATTGGTGCAGGCGCTAAAGCAGCGTGGAATGAGAAATTGGATATTTTTCTTCGGCAATAGCCAGTTTTTATCTTTCCCTTCCCCGAAGCAAGGTCTATGGAACGGGTGGAACGGCAATTCCTTGAACGAATAGACTCGGGGTAGTACTTTTTCGAGTACTTAGACCTGGCTTGCCAACCAGAAGCTTGTCATTTCGAAGTCTTTGTGTCATCACATATCACTCCCATCCTCTCTCATAGCGCAAGTTTCCGAATGGATGTCCCAAAGGCAAAAGTACCTTTGGAGGTAATCGTTGTCGGGTATGTTCTCCGTTGTGCATGGTTCAAAGTCCAGTACTGTTAGGCTGATGTTCTGTAGTGCTGGTATGTTGTTTCTTAACGCCGGAAAAAGCAGCATAGGCTCGAGAAAAGGGTTGGAATAATAATTATTGAACTAGGCATCGGTGGTATGGCAGCCGCCCTCACACTAGGTCGTCGAGGACATCATGTCACTGTCCTTGAAGCTGCGCCGAAAGCATGTGTCGTCTAAAATTCGTGGTATCTCACGCAAAGCTAACAACTCATGACAGCTCATGGAAGTGGGAGCCGGAATTCAAGTGTCCCCAAACATGTTGCGTCTATTTGACCGTCAGTCAACCTCCTGCGAAGAAAACATCTTTGCTAACCGGCATCAGGATGGGGCGTCTCGGACCTAATCCACGCCCAAGACGTGGTCCTAGAGCACATTCACGTCCGAAGATGGGACAACAGCCAACTTCTGGGTACAATGCCAGTAAACAAGACATTCGGGCAACAAGTCGTTATTCATCGCGCAGACCTGCACAATGCTATCATTGACAGGGCTCTAGCCCTGCCCAATGTTGAGCTGCGCGAGAACTCAACCGTCACAGCCGTGCAGTTCTTCCCAGCAAGTGTTGATCTAGCCAACGGCGAAATCATCCGTGGCGACGTGGTAATAGGTGCAGACGGTATCAAGTCAACTATTCGTAACCACCTGCTCGAAGACTCCACTATTAAAGCAGTTGCCACTGGCGATGCGGCGTACCGCATTATGCTACCCCGACACATTATGGAGAAGGATCCTGAATTGAAGAAGCTCATTGACGAGCCGCATGCGACTCGTTGGCTTGGCCCTTCGCGCCATATTATCGCGTACCCTGTGCGCAGGCACGAGCTATACAATGTCGTCCTGCTTCATCCCGATAGCCATGGCGTTGAGGAGTCTTGGACCACGAAGGGTTCCAAGCAGGCTATGGTTGACAACTATGATGGGTGGAATAGCACTGTGCGGAAACTCCTTGATCTGGTCGATGACAATGAAGTCTTGGAGTGGAAGTTGTGTCTGCATCGTCCGCTGAGGACATGGATCCGGGGATCCGTTGCTCTGATCGGTGACGCGTGCCATCCTATGCTGTATGTACCCGTGACATTTTGGCTAGTTGGCTTCAAGTCTAATCTGGTTGGTCTAGTCCATATATTGCCCAAGGTGCTGCTCAGGCTGTTGAAGATGCTGCGGCACTCGGTGTCGTCTTATCGGCCATCTCATCACGCGAAGAGATTCCGCATGCATTGAGTATTTATGAAAGGTCCCGGAAGAAGCGTGCTGAGACAGTGCAGCAATCTGGATCAGAGAATCGTGTTACATTGCATTTGCCCGATGGGTCTGAGCAAATTGCCCGGGACGCGCAGTTTAAGGCTTCGGCCAGCGGAAATAACCCCGACAAGTGGTCGGATCGTAGGACTCAAGAGTTTCTTTGGGGTTGGGACGCAGAGAAGGCGGCGTTGGATACATGGAATGGTATGTTCCCTTATATTTCTGGTCATCATGTGCTAAACTGTGGGCAGAACATCAAGGACAGATCAGGGCCAATGCGAATCTATAGGCGCTGTCGATACGATGCATCGCCTGTTCATATCTCGGATGTTGCTACAATCAACCAGCTGGAATCGAATGAACATAATTTTAGAAATGTAATTACTTCCCTTTATAGGAGGCACGAATATACGTGGACATTTAAAAGAAAGATGGGATCGTTCAATTCATCACATTGCATTTTTTAATACCGATTCCCATATTGTGAAAACTTTCTCTAGTTCATTATACAGTACTTCAAGCCCATTACCATTCATCACACATTGGTGAAACATTGGATGTTGAGACTTGACAGGCTGGCTCGAGGAAGCCAGGGACGGTCAACATTTGGCATTCCAATCATTCAAAATTGTAAGTGACGTCATACTTCGGAAGACGTGAATTACAATCTCTCGCCAGCGGCGGCCTTCATCTGACCGTACTTCTTGAGGCGAATGGCAGATACGTTGATAAAGCCAGTGGTCTCGGCTGGAGAGAAGTCACCAATCTCATCCATAGAGGACTCGCTCATGTCGTAGAGCTTCTCAGTCTCAGAGGAGCGACCGAGGATGGAAACGGTGCCCTTGTAAGCACGGCAGCGAACCTGGCCGTTGACGGACTTTTGAGAGGCGGTGATGGAAGACTCGAGGAATTCGCGCTCGGGGGAGAAGTACATGCCGTTGTACAGGAGCTGGATGTGTTAGTTCAGAGAATCGAATACCGGAAATACCGTGCTTACCTTGGAGTAGTTGTAGGTTACGAAAGAATCGCGGAGGGCGCGGACTTCACGGTCCATGACAAGACCCTCAAGGTCACTGGACACAACTTAGCTATGCGCCATCAAGCTCTCGTGTTCAAAAGAAAATACTCACAGATGGGCAGATCGCAAGCAGGTGAGACCAGGGGTCTCGTAGCAGCCGCGGGACTTGATACCGATGAAACGGTTCTCGACGATGTCGATACGGCCAACACCGTGACGGCGGGCAATGGCGTTAGCGGTGAGGAAGAGCTCGACGGAGTCGGTAACAGCCTTCTGCTTGCCAGCCTCAGTGTACTCAAGCTTGACGGGGACACCCTTCTCGAAGTACAGAGTGAAGTCCTCGGGCTGATCGGGGGCGGTCAGGGGGTCCTGGGTCAGCTTCCACATGTCGGCGGGAGGAGTAGTATCGGGGTCCTCCAGGATGCCAGCCTCGTAGGAGCAGTGAGCAAGGTTCTCATCCATAGACCAGGGCTTAGACTTGGTAGAGGTGACGGGAATACCCTTCTCCTCGGCGTAGTCGAGCAGGTCCTGGCGGCCCTTGAACCGCTCGTAGAAGACGGGGTCGCGCCACGGGGCAATGACCTTAATGTCAGGCTGGAGGGCGTAGAAGGCAAGCTCGAAGCGGACCTGGTCGTTACCCTTTCCAGTGCAGCCGTGGGAGACGGCGAAGCAGCCCTCGCGCTAGGTTCGAGTCAGTATGACATCTTTCTGCCGGCGGGAAAGTGATGCGTACCTGGGCGACACCGATCTGGGCACGAGCGATAACGGGGCGAGCTAGCGAGGTACCGAGCAGGTAGACATTCTCGTAGACGGCGTTGCAAGCAATTGCGGGGAAGCAAAGCTCCTCGATGAACTCGCGGCGGATGTCAACAATCTCGCACTTGAGAGCACCAATCTTCAGGGCCTTCTCACGGGCAGCCTCGAAGTCCTCTGCGAATAGTTATCAGAACGGTGTTGAATGGTATCTCAAACAGAATTGAATTACCTTCCTGGCCAACATCGGCCACTAAGTTTAGATTAGCACTTGATCATGATTCAACATTGAATCGCGACTTACTGAAACAGACGACCTCATAGCCCTCCTCGATGAGATACTTCACTGTAGTTCAGTATTAGTATTCGTAAATGGTGAATGAATTGACCGATGATATTCATACAGATACAGCTGGTATCGAGACCGCCGGAGTAGGCGAGGCAAACCTGTGTGATTGAACTGTCAGACAAAGTGTGGAGAGCGGGTGGTGTAAGTTAGAATTTGGGAATTGAGTTTGGGAACTGAGCAGGGAGCTGTAGTGCAGAAGAAATCAGTGATACCTTTCCCTGTGCCATTGTGTGAAATTGAATGTAAAATCCAAAAAGACTTAGTATAGAACGTGGAGTATAAAACAAAAGGAAGATTGAGTCATTGGGAAAAATGACAATTTTGGTGGGCCGGGGAAACAGGTCACGGGTCCGGAGCGATAGCCCTGATAAGATAGGTCATTGTCCGTCCAATCTTTGTCCGACTCAAATCCGAGAAACCACTACAAAAAAAAACATATGTTGGGTGAGTCCAATGGCTTTTAGAGAGGGAAGTAAGCTTGTGAGGCTTGATATTGATTGCCCAGTCTAAAACTTCACTATGTTTTCTATAGAGAAGACGAGCAAACTCTGGTTTCATCTTTTACATACAAAGATAACATTAGAAAAAAGATCAAGTCCGATCTCGGGATCCATTGGAAGAGAGTACACAATCAGGATATACCTAGGTAAGTCACAACCCTCGAGACTCTATGGCTGTATGCTTTATGATTCTACGCTACATAAATATTCGATACGCTATGTTGCATGTAATATTTTTTATCAAATGCTGCGCTGCCCATCACATTCGTCTTCGGTCCGATTTGACTCGTTTGGCTGGTTTGCCCCGTTTGTATCATCTCGGCTATCCGCGGCGGTTTCCCCGCGCAATGCCCCGGACAATGACCAAGAAGGAGATTTTATAGATTTAAAGGCAACCATCCCTATGGAGAAGAAATTTCTGTATTTAGATTCTGCTCACATCCCATAAATTTAGCCAGAGATGGCCTCCTTTCGGACTTCCTTGCGGTTTCTCGCCCAAACTCCTCGTCGATTTTACTCTGGAGCTCCCACTCCGGCAGCAAAGCTGAACCTACCTATCGACTACAAAACTACCCCCATTTTACATCACACTTCATCCTCTTTGTCAAATACATCAGAGTACCCGGCAGGTGCCACGAGTAAACGACTCAATCTCTACCAAGCGATCAATTCAGCACTACGGACAGCACTAGCCAAATCCGATCGAACTATCGTATTTGGCGAAGATGTTGGATTTGGTGGTGTTTTTCGGTGCTCGATGGATCTTCAAACAGAATTTGGGTCGGATCGAGTGTTCAACACTCCCTTGACAGAACAGGGCATTGTGGGGTTTGCCATTGGGGCGGCAGCGGAAGGGATGAAGCCTATAGCCGAGATCCAATTTGCCGACTACGTATTTCCAGCGTTCGATCAGATTGTAAATGAGGCGGCCAAGTTTCGGTATCGAGAGGGCGCGACAGGTATCAATGTCGGGGGTCTTGTCATTCGCATGCCGTGTGGCGCGGTTGGACACGGTGCTCTGTACGTTGTGCTGTACCCGAGTGCCACATAACATGGTATGCTAATTGACTGGACTAGCTACCACTCTCAATCCCCAGAGTCGCTCTTTGCGCATATTCCGGGCTTGCGAGTAGTCATGCCACGATCCCCCGCTCAAGCAAAAGGACTTCTTCTGTCTTCTATCTTCGAGCACAGTGATCCAGTGATTTTTATGGAGCCCAAGATCCTCTACCGTGCAGCCGTGGAATATGTCCCGAATGAGTACTACACCATCCCTCTCAGCAGGGCTGAAGTTATCAAACCTGGCAAGCATTTGACTATCATTTCCTATGGACAGCCTCTTTACTTGTGCTCTTCTGCTATCTCTGCCATTGAGAAGACCATGCCGGGTGTCAGTGTGGAACTTATTGACCTGCGAACTATATATCCCTGGGACAGACAAACGGTTATCAACAGTGTCAAGAAAACGGGTCGAGCCATTGTTGTGCATGAGAGTATGATCAACTATGGTGTGGGTGCAGAGGTTGCATCCACGATACAGGATAGTGCATTCTTACGTCTTGAAGCCCCCGTCAAGCGAGTTGCTGGGTGGAGCACACATACTGGATTGAGCTACGAGCAATTCATTCTGCCCGACGTTGCAAGTGAGTGCCCAGTGCCCTTTATCTCGTTCCTCTGATCACTAACCTTATGGCCTGCCCACTCTAGGAATCTACGACGCAGTTAAACAGACACTTGAATATTGAACTGGGGTGCCTCCTAGGAGATTATCACACTACGCAAGCCAGTTGTACCCAAGTACACTATCCACTTGCAGTTTAGTGAATATGACCGGGTTCAAGAAATCGCACCAAGCAAAAGACGAATGTCAACAAGAACTTTGTTAGCATAAAGTAGGTCTATCTTGTTCTCGATGGTTTCACAGATAACATTACATTTTCTTCTTAGTTTGCCAGAACTGGCACAAAACAATTTATTGGGGGTTTCACTCAAATGATATAAGGGCAGATCAGGTGTTCCAGAACCAGCCCTCTAATTTCTTCCCTCTTCTGTTGTGATCGAGACCTGTTTTCTGTCTCTTCTCTTTGTCTCTTCTCTCTTCCAGGTGATCCCCAAGTGCTGCCTTCCCTCTCTGACGGTTCCGCCGTTCTTCCCCAAGCCTTTTTTTGTGTTCACATGCACCATTTTGCTGTAAACACGCGGGGTCGAGAGTTGAGTGAGAGTCAAGCGTAGTTTCATCAGCATCTCTTCCCAGTCCTCTCTTTTTAAAATCTTCCCAATCTCTCCACCTTGTTTCATCCCTTTCGGATTTTACCTACGTCTGAATTCTACATAACGTTTTCTACGTATCAAGTTGTGTGACTGCCTGTGTGTCATCTCCTTGACCTACAAATCAAAGTTCCCCGCTCTATTCTGACACGAGCCCCTATGCAAGAAGGCGAATCATTAGGGCGAATGTGTTTATGGCCGCGTAGAGGACCTAATGCTCGCAAGAGCAAAGGAGTGGCAAAGATGCTTGACATGCGATCATCTTGTTGAGCTTGTTAGGGTCTGCAACCACATCATGTACGAATTTTGTCCCATCGCTATGAAAACTTCTTGGCATTATGGCTACACATGCTAACATACGATCATTTCCCTAGATACCGTTGCCAGCATGGATTCTGTCATGTTTATTCTACGCCATGGAAGTAGTGCGAATACGCCCATTGGCACGAGGCTAGGCTTCAAGCGCAAGCAGAGCTGATTGTGGACTCCAAGCCTGCAATCCCTGCAGGATGCGTAGGTTCTATGGGGGTGTAAGAAGGAGCCGCGAAATAGGGCATGAATTATTCAGTTACGGGAATTACATATTCCAAGCGTGGGATTGACTGAAGGATGACCAAGGATTTGTTATCAAGTGAAACAATTGGGGATATTTTTAGATGAAAACAACCGATTGATAACCAAGTGCGGAATTCTCCAGGTGGATTCGTAAGCTGATTTAGGCTTAGACCCCCGCTGATCCCGTCATCGATCGCGATACTTTTGAGATCCGTGGTGTCATGTAGTACATTCTGTAATCATCCCCAGTCTGTACCACTATTGCGTGCGAAGATGTTCGGGTTATAAAAAGCCAGTCTTCGACCGAGAGACTTCTAATTGGACATTTCAAAACTTCAAAGCTATCTGCTACTTACTTTATCTCGACCATTATCAGTCGTAAAGCCAATTCCATTATTACTATTACTTCCCACTTTTATATCCCAACTTCGATATGACGACCACCAAGGTTGCACTCGCCGGAGTATGTCAGCTCAATGACCCTTGTAACTTTTCGTTTGCTAACATGATCCCTAGGCAAGCGGAAACCTCGGCCCAGCTGTGCTCAAGGAGCTGCTCGCTGCAGGCTTTGACGTGACTGTCCTCACTAGACAGGGCAGCGATAAACCTATTGACACCCGTGCTCGGGTTGTACAGGTAGACTATGAGTCCCTCGACTCGCTCAAGGCCGCTCTGTCCGGTCAGGATGCTGTGGTCAGCACTTTAAATGTTGGCGCAGTTCCCAAGTCCACCCATCTGCGCTTAATCGATGCAGCAGTAGCAACTGGCGTAAAGAGGTTTATTCCTTCGGAATACGGCTGCGATACTACGAATCCTCTCGTCGCCAAATTGCCCGTCTTCGGTGATAAAATCAGCGTTCAGGAACATCTCAAGAACGTCGCTCAGAAATCTGATCTCAGCTATTCGCTGCTCGTGACTGGCCCCTTCCTCGACTGGGGTCTTCAGACGGGCTTCGTACTCAACCTTGCTGGTCCTGCCACACTATTTGATGGCGGGGATCGCCGCTTTAGCTCCACGACTCTCAGTGGCATCGGCAAGGGAGTTGTTGGAATCATTAACAATCTTGATACCACTAAAAACTCCACCGTTTATATCGAGGAGGCTAGAGTCACACAGAATGAGCTGCTGGAATTGTCTGGCAAGAGCATTGAAACGAATGTTGTCAAGGCCACAGACTTGGAACAAGAGGCTTTTGCAGAACTGGCCAAGCCGAACCCTAACCCGGCAATCTTTGCTGGGAAATTCATTCAACGTGCTATCTTTGGTGAAGGATTTGGTACTCTATTCGACTCTGAGAAGGTTTCTAACGATTCGTTTGGTCTGAAGCTTCTGTCCAAGGAGGAACTCCGCGGCCTTATCCCCGAGTGAATGTTTTTTTTTTCTTTTCACCTATAATTCCAAGTGTCTTTTATAAAATATGCATTGAATGCTTACCACAAATTCGAGAACTATGAATTCCTCATTTCGCGCTGCCTATACCTAGCTTTCGTAAGAAACAACCCTGGATGTCATGCTGTATTAGATGACGTCATCGGCTAGCACTGCTTTCTGATCTGTCAAGCACCTTGCATACACGGCACTAAACCTGCATGAAGGGCTTCCATTGTTATTCCTTTTTTCTCTTTCTCAGGAATTGTCATTTTCACTCGGCCAGAAAAGCGGTCAATTGCTAGAAACATGAAGACTGGACCTGGCTCAAATCCAGTAGTCCTGTACTGGCATAGAACCGACTTGAGGCTCCATGATTCCCCAGCTCTCCATGCCGCCCTGGCCCTAAACCCATCGGTGTTTATTCCAATTTGGACATGGGACCAACATTACGTTTATAAAGCACGAGTCGGGCCCAACAGGTGGAAGTTCTTGCTTGAATGCCAAAGTGATTTGTCGACGGCGTATACAAAGCTCAATCCGAAACAAAAACTCCACGTCGTACGTGAGGGGCCGCAGACTGTTCTTCCCAAGCTCTGGGAGCATTGGGGGGTGACCCATCTTGTTTTTGAAAAGGACACTGATGCATATGCTCGAGACCGAGACAACGCGGTCATGCGTTTGGCCCAGAAGGCTGGTGTCGAGGTGATTGTCAAGATGGGTCGAACATTGTTTGATCCCGATGACGTTGTGCGGAAAAACAATGGCAAGCCTACCATGAGCATCACCCAACTGGAAAAGGCTGCTGTGAAAATCAACAATGGCAACCCGGAGAAGCCCCTAGATTCCCCCAACAGCATTCCCGACCCTTGGGATGAAGAACGTATGGATTTGAGCAGTCTCAAACGAGAATCCATTGAGAACCGGCCGGACTTGAATGCGGAATACCGTACCAAGACAGATGAACAATTTGCTGATCTTATGGGCCCCTCGAGGGATTTCGCTGTTCCTTGGCAAGACATCGGCATTGATCTTTCCCAGGCCACAACTCCCCACCGAGGAGGCGAGCAAGAAGCGCTCAGAATACTAGGAGAATGCATCAAAAATGAGGATTATATCGGCAGGTTTGAGAAACCCAATACATCGCCAGCCGATTTCGAACCCCAGTCAACTACACTATTATCCCCTCATCTTCATTTCGGTTCGCTGTCGGTGCGGAAGTTTTGGTGGGATGTTGAAGGGGTTCTGAATAAACATCGCAAAGCTAAAAAGCCAGTATCGACTGTGCCGACCAATCTGCCTGGCCAGCTGCTCTTCCGCGATATGTACTTCGCTGCCCAGGCACCTCTTGGGCACGCATTCTCGCGAACATATGGGAACGAGATTGCTAGATTCATTGACTGGCATCTTCAAACAAACCCTCCCAGTCAGGACGGGTCGATCGAAGGGTCCTACGAAGTGGACTCGCAAGAAGCGGAGGAATGGTTTCAAAGGTGGAAGGATGGTCGCACCGGATTCCCATGGATTGATGCTTTGATGCGCCAGCTGAGGCAGGAGGGCTGGATCCATCATCTAGGAAGACATAGCGTTGCCTGCTTTCTGACTCGAGGCGGGTGTTACGTATCATGGGAGCGGGGTGCAGCGGTGTTTGAAGAATTGCTGATTGATCGTGAGTCTTCATTGCCCAAACGATTCCGACGAGAGCTAACAACAGGAATATAGACGAAGTCGCTTGCAACGTCGGAAACTGGATGTGGCTCTCCTGCACGGCATTTTTCGCTCAATTCTACCGCTGCTACTCGCCTATTGCGTTCGGAAAGAAATGGGATCCAGAAGGGTCCTTGATCAGAAAATATTGTCCCGAACTAGCCAAGTTTGACAAAAAACACATATACGAGCCCTGGAAAGCCCCCATTGCAGATCAGAAGAGATGGGGGTGTAGAATCACTGGAGATGGCAGTTCCTCTGGCTCCCTGGACTCTGAACACACGTATCCAAAGCCAATGTTCGATTTTAACAAACGAAGAGAAACATGCCTGGCTGGCATGAAGCATGCCTATGGTGTTGGATTACACGGAAATGATACCAAGGTCAAAGATGGCTCTTGGAAGAAAGACTTTGGAGATGATGGAGAAGAAGCTGGAGATAGTAGGCCAGCCAAAAGACTGAAGACATAGTGAGTAGTGTATCGAATCGAATAAAAAGCAGCAAAGGTGAGAACGAAATCACATATACATATAGTCTCTATGGTTTCCTTTCGGCTACGAGTTCTCGATACAAAGATCCTCTAGAATCTTCAGAAAGCCCACTGGTTCTGGTTCTATCGGAGTTACCATGGAGCTCATCGGACATAGAGGTAGAGCAATTTCAAGACCAAAAAAAAACATTACGACCAACGCATTAAACCACGTGTAACCTTTTTCAATCTCGCATAATCTTACTCGGCATTATCCACCAATCTTCTATTCATGTCAAATTTCTGTATCTCTGCCGCATGGCACGACGATGGCACATTCATCCACCTCTTGCGCGAAAGATTGGTATAGTGCTAGGAGTACATTGACAGGTCCCAACCTTTTCCCCACATTTATAACAAATGTTGTTTCCACACCGACACCTGCATAACGTGGTCAGTTTTCAAAATTCTGAAATTGGGGGACAACATTCGGCCCACCGTATATGCCAGCAACCATCTACACGCTCTATGATTCTAGAGCACTTAAAACATCGTTGCCACTTCTTCTTCCTCGCTAGCTTTACAAGCAAATCATAGTTCTCATCCCTGGCCTTGTTCTTAGCCGTGGCCTTGTTTTTAGCCGTGGCCTTGTTCTTAGCCGTGGCCTTGTTCTTAGCCGTGGCCTTGTTTATCGCCGTGGCCTTGTTCTTAGCCGTGGCCTTGTTCGTAGCCGTGGCCTTGTTCGTAGCCGTGGCTTTCTTGTTGTCAGAAGCGCTGCTGTGATCAATGGTATTCTTGTAGTTGCAATCACCTCTGTGCCCCTGTGTTTTGCAATCAGTGCATGTTCGAGCCGCACAGAACTCGCAGATTCCCACTCCACGACGGACATTCTGTGGCGGGATATAGTGAGAGCAAGTTGGAATTGAGCAGTAAGTCCTCTCAAAGTCGCTCATTTCGGTCTTCCGTTCATTGTATCTCTTCATCATCTCAATGCCTATCATATCCTCGACGGTGGTAGAGGCATGAATCGGCAAGCGGCAACATCGAGGAGGAAACAAGGCTTCGTTCGCAAGGGAGTTTTCAAAGAGCCGAACAATGCAATCGCAACAATAGTTGTGAGCGCATTGTGTTTGAACTATATCCGACGGTGAGTACTCTTCCGTACAAGATACACACTGTTGCCGAGTCTCGGTCTCTTCTTCGCTGGTTTCAGCGACATCATGATCCTGGCTTTTATCGGGCATCTCTTCATCGCTCTCGTCCGAGATGATATTCTCAGGGGCTGCAGACTTTTTCCCTTCCATCTCACAACCTGAGAATGCTCTTGGATCTGCCATTATTTCCGGTGATAGGGCTGCACCTCTCGAGTCTCTCAAGGTTGTTATGTCTCTGCCTGTCTTACTAATGCGTGCTCCCATCATTCTGACCTGGTTTAATACCATCATCGATGGATTGCTAGCAAGAACAAGATTGCAGGTGCTCTTGGCAGATTGAAAATTTTGGCCATGTTCGCCTGATCTTTCTGTTTAAGTGAAGTCATGATGAGGAGCACATAGGAAAAAAAAACGCATTAATCGTAATTCTTATCGTATTCACAGAAAAGTCTACAAGAATCTATATAAAAGAAAGACTATGTAATTATGATGGCTAGCCTGTGTCTGTAATCTGCTGACATCAAATGTAAAGATATCAAAAAAGCAGCACGGAATCTTCCGACGAGTTCAAATTTGATAGGTCAGAAAATACCCCGTATTTGACTAAACAGGAATCCGTTGGGCAAAGTAGGCTATTCCATAAAGAAGTAAATCAGATGGTTGACTCAATATCAACGGTGTAAACCTCATAGTTTATCCAACCTTCACCTCAATTGCATCCCCATCAATCTCCCAGATAACCGGTCAACCCTCAGAGCACTATTTGTTCTTAATCTTCTTGGAGATTTTGACCTCGCGGGACAAGGGCATTTCGTAGCCAGTATGCAGCAGACCCATCATAGCTAGTTCAGGTATCTCGTTCATAAAGATTCTCTTCTTCTGCGTATAGACAATCGCACGTTTTCCACTGCGTCCCACAAAAAAGTAACAAAACTGGAACTTGCAAAGGCATCTATGAAATGAGATTCCCCTTACGTGATATGATAACAGCCTGTGCTGAGTTCAATCAGCCGAGTGCAACTAGAGCATCGTTGCCATTCCTTCGACTTTGCTAATTCCTCCAAAAGTGCATCAAGCTCATATACACATGTTCCCTGATGAGCGCGTTTTTTGCACTTCCTGTATGTGCGCACTCCACAACTCGCGCATTTGCAACCCCGACTTTTTGTGGCCATTCGTGGGAGATACTGAGCGCAGTTCGAATCTGCACAGTAGGTTCGGTCGGGCTCGTTGACCTCGATTGCCTTCTCCCGGTGCTTTTGAACCAAGGGGGGTCCAAGCATCTTTTCCGTGGGAGCGATTGGTTTGTTGCAGCATTGAGGAGGAAACAAGGATTCATCACGCAAAGAATCCTGGAAGAGTCGGACTAAGCATGTCTTGCAGTAGAAGTGGGAGCACTTCGTTTTGATCATATCATCTTGTAATCGTCCCGGCAGGAGACACACTCGCGCCAAATTTCAGATTCTGGGGATTCGGTTAAGTTGATGGCATTTTCAATGGAATCACCAAGCTTTCGATTGTCGATAGAGAGGGAACTGGACGAGGATTTCGTTTTCTTGTACGACAGGTCATTTTCTGTCTCTAATCCCATTGACATAGCCGTACCCATACTAACGTTGCTCATGCTGACTCGTCTAGTATCTCATCAAGTGTGAGCCCTTGTCTTGATTCTTTCCGTCCTTTTCTTTGGTGCAAAAGAGGGTTAGAAAAGTAAGTTGGTGGTGAGGTTGATACTACGTAGTATACCCCCGGGGATGCCTAGAAAACAATGCCCCCAGCACAAACCACACACATCTTTGGTGATCTTTCAAAGGCACCGTACTATCTCATACTGTGAGGACAAGAATAGATCTGGGTGATCGACACATCAACCAATCTTCTAGCATAGTCAAATTGAAAATTTTTTTTTTTCAAAATCCTTCTACCACCATCTTGTCACATATCTATATAGTCATGTATTAATTATCAAAAATGTGGTAGGCAAGTAAATTGGGGCTATTTGGGCTTACACGGAGTGCCTGAAATAGATGTAAACGATGAACAACCCTCAGGTGATGTTTGTATCTCGTTTCTCTGTTGTGTAGCAAGTTGAATGTATCAATTGGCTTGCTATGAGCACAGTCAGGCAATTTCAAATGACGAAAATGGCAGTGATTGAGCAATCTCATTCATCGGGCAGAGTAGATCCAATAGTCCTCCTAGTGAAGTACACTAAAGCCACACACTTGAGTCTCCAGACCAAGTTCAGTCAAAATAGTCCCCCAGTGTGTTGTCCACAATGTCTCTTTGGGTCGCTTGGAATCATGAAAAAGGCTCGTTCGGATTCCGTTCGGCCCATGTTTAACAGTCACAAGTTTTCCACTTCTTCCCACAGGAGTAACACCACTGTGCCTTGCAAACGCATCTATCGGGTGTCAGTAAAAGGCTTTGCGAGTAGCTTGGAGGGCTTAGAAAGGGCCAACAAAAGATTTTACTTGATATGGTGACAACCCTCTTCAAGCTCAATCACACGGCCGCATTTAGTGCACCGTTGCCATCACTTCTTCTTCTTCGGATTTTCCAACGACGTTTCTAGCTGAGATAGACACTCGCCTCCGTGAGTACTCCTCTTGCATTTCCTGCAAGTATGTATGCCACACTGACATGTGCCCAACCGTTTGAAAGGTAAAATTCAGTCAAAATTTTGTCGTTGGCGAGATATATCGGGAGCATTTTAGATCTGAACAGTACGTTCGGTCTGGATCGCTGAGCTCGGCTGCCCTCTTCTTTTGCTCTTGCGCCAATGCAGATCCTATCACTTTCTTCATGTCCGAGCCTTCGATTGGCTTGTGGCAGCATTTAGGAGGGAACAAAAACTCATCTTGCATAGACTTCGTGGCCATGCGGATTAAGCAGTTCTTGCAATAAAAGCTGAAGCACTCTGTTTTGAGGATTTCGCTGCAGACTTCTCCATAGGAGATGCAGACCTCGGGCTGAGAGTCGGCCAGAACCAGGACTTTGATGGACCGCATGATGTTCTTGAGAGTTTGTACTGGCCTCTGAATAGCGGTAGGGATAATTTTGGTGAATTTTTTTGTTTTCTTGTGCCCCGGTGTCTCTTCGAATTCCCTTCCTAGCGACAGAGCTGTGGCCATCTGAAAGTCCAAAGTCACTCAATAAGACTCTTTGTCTTTTGATTTCGGATTTCCATACAAAAAGTGCTAACCCCCTATCAGGAGCCACGTCTTCAAGCCTGCTTGCTGGTTGGTGCATATCCTTTAGTAGTAGCTGTGCTTCAAACTTGTCGATCTTTTTGTTCACGTCTTCCAGTAGTAGCCCCAAAATTGGAGAGTTCGTATCTTGGGGAGTATCTTTGTCCATTGCTCGAGCAAGGCTCCCGAACTATTGGAGAGGGCTTGATGTTACTCGCAATCGGGTTCTCGCAAGAAGGGGGAAGTTAGAAAGAAGAAATCCTGTTAGTCTCTCCTTGAAACAACCTTGATACACATTATTTTTAAATTTTGTCTTCTCCTTTGGTGTTGCCTTCAGCATAGATACCTCGTCACTGGCCCTCCACAAGCTGTGCTGAGTCATCCACCTTAATCCCGCTATCTCCGACCAAAGTCAGTTCCGCCGACACTTCGCCTCTACAACATTGTCAACTCGGACTGGCTGTCTTCGAGCACGGCCAGTAATCTGTACACCCTCTAAGCTCTAGCCACACCGAACCGGCGACACCTACCCAACTCGCCCAAGATGCAGGGCTTCAGTAAGTACCGATCCCACGCCAAAGAACCTGCTAAATAGCCAGCTAATATTATATGCCACTGAATAGACATGGGACGGTCAGCAAAATCTCCAAATCCCCACCAAACCATCAATCAACTAATACCTCCAACAGCTATGTCCCCCCAGACCAAGAAGGCCTGACAACGGGCAATAAACTCGCCGGAAAGCACGCACTCGGCGCGCGCGCGCGCCACCTACACACAACAGGCGCACTAATCGTGCGCTTTGAGATGCCCTTCGCAGTATGGTGCACAACCTGCAAGCCGCACCCAATAATCATCGGACAGGGCGTGCGCTTCAACGCAGAGAAGAAAAAAATAGGCAACTACTACTCAACGCCGATATACAGCTTCCGCATGAAACACACCGTCTGCGGCGGCACAATCGAGATCAAGACCGATCCCCAGAATACCGCGTATGTCGTTACCGAGGGTGGACGGAAACGCGATACTGGTGAGGACAAGGAACTGCAGCCCGGGGAAATTGCTATCAAGCCCTATGCGCGAGAGATGGATCCTGCGGAGAAGGATCCGTTTTCGAAGATTGAGGGGAAGGTCCAGGATAATCTTCGGGCGAAGACGGAGGCGGTTCGCATTCTTGAGCTGCAGGAACGGCAGAACCGGGATTGGGAGGATCCGTATGAGAAGTCTATGCGGTTGCGGAGGACGTTTCGGCAGGAGAGGAAGGGGCTTGAGAAGGCTCGAGCTAAAAGCGAGGCCCTCAAGGACAAAATGAGTCTTGGGATTGAGCTTTTGGATGAGACGGAGGAGGATCGGCAGATGGCGAGGATGGTGGAGTTTGGGGGGGACCTGGGTGCTGCTGGCTCGCATGCTGCCCGCGTGACTCGTCTTCGGCCTATGTTTGAGCAGCGGGAGGAAAAGCCTATAGGAAAGACGGGGCTTGGAGAGACAAAGTCTCGTTCTTCGAGGCGGTCTAGGAAGGATGATCTGGTTGAGACACGGAAAGCTTCTCTCCGTCGTGAGCTGGCTGGAAATACCCGTGCCGTTATTGATCCGTTCTTGGTAGATGCCGGTAATAAAAACGCATGGCCACCTAGCATCAAGAAGAGGAAAATCGTCGCCTCTTCGACTTCGTCACTCCGCAGAGATTCTAATGGCACAGAAGTCGATTCTTCTGCCGTGGCACCAACACCAGCGCTGGTCAGCTACGCTTCCGATTCGGAGTGATTTTTGTATCCACACTTATGGGCTATCATGGGACATGGGTAGAGGCGTTCTTTGGATACTTTGTTGTTGCTTTTTCTGTATTGAGATACCCACTTTTTTTCTAGAATTTCGATCATGGCAAGACGCTTTGAATTATTTCCTCCGGAATGCTGAAACTGAGCATCAAATCTCTTGTAGACATTTTGGTACTTAAGAACCAGACAATCTGGCCATTGTAACAATGCAAAACGCATGATGCAAAGTTCAACTCAAACAAGTTGTATGTGTAAGATAAAGATATTGAAACAAGAATAGTGGGAAAACCCCGACATCGTAAGACAGGGTATCCTGCGTGGTTATTACATACAGTGGAATCACAAAAGCAGAGAGTGAAACAGGATTTAACAAAAGAAAGTCATGCTGCATCACAACTAAGAGCTCGGAAAGGTGCCAAATCCACGCGAAAGTCAGCGTCTACTGAAAAATGAGACCGTTGCTGCACGGGTGCGAGTAGGTTCGGGCTCGGGGGCTGATGGGACTTCTAAATTGGATGTGGTCGAGGGGTTGAGAGAGTCGGGGGATCCTTGCCGAGAGAGTTTGGCAAGTTCGCCAATAAGTCTGGGAGGGATCAGCATACTTGTTTTTATTGATACGGGCATGGATTTAACTGACCTGTGATGCTCGCTGTACCAATCATGATTTGCTGTTCGGATGTGCTTAAGCTGTCCTTGGATGCTTGCCATCTATGGAATGCATTAGTCTCTGTATTCGCTATTATAGTCTTCATAATCATGTGAAAGGGTGGAATGCGGGAAGATCTGATGAGTAGGAAGACTTCTTCAATCGGGGATCTCCCACCGTTCCCTCAATGAATGGGCCTAGGTCCTCACCTTCCGTTTTGGCTGGACCCCCATCTTCAGCATTCTCACTACCCTCATCAGCTGTCGCCCACCGGCTACCATTCAACCCTGAAGAGCTACTCTTTTCACCACTGTCGGCCCTGAGAACCGCGAGCTCGGCTTCGAGTTCGCGAACCCGTCGCCGGCTGGTGGAGATGTTGGAATCAAGATCGCCAAGCTGGTTGAGTAGACCCATGTTCTTGTCGATTTGATCATTCAGGTCACGTTCGCCAGCTTCAAGCATCTCGGACAAGGTCTTGTTTTGGTTCTTGCAATCAACAAGCGAGTCGAAGATGGCGGCGTTGTCAGCCTTGACCTTAAGAAGTTGGTCGCGGGATTCAGAGAGCTGCTTCATAATCGACTCGAGGTGCGACTTCTGGCTATCCGAGTCCTTGACAAGTTTCTCGAGTTCACCCACCTGGGCAACGGCGGCTTGGTACTTCTCTCCAAGCGCAGCATGATCAGCCTGGATCTTGGTGAGCTCAGCTGAGAAATGACGCTCGATTTCCCTAGAAGTTTCCTGGACCGCAAGGTGGGCCTTCTCAGAGTCAGCAAGCTCGGCTTGTAAATCAGCGATTGTGGCCTTCAAGTCATCCAGAGCGGAGGTGTCTTGGGCGGCAGCCTTGGCCTGAGACAACTGCTCGTTGACATTGGCTAGAGCTGTATCGTGGGCCTTCTGGAGATCGTGAATCTTCTTCTTGTTGGAAGCTTCGAGCTCCTCCTTGAGGCCAGACAGTTTAGCCTCGTGCATAGTAAGAAGCTGCTCAATTGCCTTTCCATGCTCGGCATCGATCTCAGCAGCCTTGGAGGCTTGAACAGCCTCAATCTCGGCCTGCAGCTTAGTTTTAGTCTCTTCAAATCCTTGCTGCAGGTCAGCGATTGCCTTGCTGTGCTTGGCATCGACGTCAGCAGCTTTGGAGGTTTGAACGGCCTCAATCTCAGCCTGCAACTTCGCTTTGGTCTCTTCAAAGGCCTTTTGCAGTTCGGCAATTTGCTGCTCGTGAAGTTCAGCTTCAACTTTGCTAGAACTCTGCAAAGCAGAAAGCTCGGCTTGCAACTTCGCCTGAGTCTCTTGGAATTGATTCTGGAGTTCGGTGCTCTCCTTTTCGCGACCCTCGTTATGGGTAGCAATCTCACGAGCATGGCTTTCGAGCACCGCCTTCAACTCAGCCTCAAGTGACTGAACATGCGTGGCGTGAGTAGACTCCAATTCCTTGTTTGCGGCAAGCAACTCCTCGTGCTTCGTCCGCAGATCACTTAGGGCGCTGTCATGAGAGCTCGATGCTTCCTTGGTCCGCTCCAATTCGGATGCAAGCCGGGCAGCATACTCAGCCTTCAACTCTTCCAGAGCTTGTGCGTGCTTTTCAGACACACCAGCAGCCTGCAAGGTATGTTGCTCGAGAAGGAATACAGCCTCCGCTGCCTTCTCCTCCAGAGCCTTCATCTTTTTATCCTTCTGTGCGCCCTCTTGCCTGGAGTGATCTTCGACATCACGTAGAGTGCGGTGGATAGCATCGGCTTCAGCTTGCTTGCTCTGCATCTCTTCGAGCAGCGCATTGATTTTCCCAGTGCCAGTGGTCAGCTGTGATTCTAACGACTCGCACTTTTGTCGCAGAGCGTCAATCTCCTGGATGGCAAGGTCTTGTGCAGAGGCGTTACCCTCATCCAGTGCACGACGGGACTCGCTGAGAGCATTCTCGGAAGCCTCCAGCTTTTCTTGCAGCAGTTTGAGCTCTGCTTCATGCGTGATCTTAAGCTCGGCGACGGCATCTTCTTGTCCCTTCTGGGCAGTGGCCTCAGACGCCTCGAGGGCATTACGGAGTTCCTGGAGTTGCGCGGTGTGTTCTGCTCCACTCGATTCCGATTCTGCCATAGCTGCAGTGAGCTTCTCCGCGTGGGAAGCCGAAATATCAGTGATAGCAGTTTCATGCTCGGCCTTGAGACTTGCGATAGCAATCTTATGGGCAGTCTCCAACTCTTCGACTTTAGAGGACAATTCAGTGGCCGCGGTTTCACGTGCCTCCTGTAGTTCAGCTTGAATCTTCTCAAGGGCCCGCTTAAGATCGGTGATTTCTTGATCCTTCTCGGCAATCAAGGTGTTCTGCTCGGGTCCCTGGCTAGCCGACTCGGCCGCAGCAAGCTTCGCCTCGAGGGAGGCTACTTGTTCTTGAAGACCAGAGACACTCTCCTGAGCTGACTCTTCCGCAGCACGGACCTCCTGCTCCTTGAGCGCATTCAGTTTAACAATCTCCGTGTTAAGGTTGTCCATGACCTGCTCCCGGCCCTGGAGTTCTCGCTTAAAGTTTTCGAGCTCCAGAGCTTTCTCTTCCTCCAGGGCAAGCTTCTGGAACTCGAGTTCCTTCTTCAGAACACTGATCTGCTCCTCAAAGTGTGTAGCTGCAGACTTGTACTCTGCCAGCTCTTTTTCAAGGGCCTCAAGCTGAGTCCGATGTGCCGACTTGAGCTCGTCAAGAAGGGAAACTGTCGTGTCATCCCCTTGCGCAGCAGCGGATTGTCGAGCTTCCTCCAGCTGCTTTTGCGAGCTCTCCTCCAGCTCTTTCCGTTGGGACTCAGCCTCGTCTAGTCGTGCTTGCAGGGCCTGGAGCTCCTCGGCATGAGCTGATGCCAACTTCTCAATCTCTGCTGTGTGATCCGCGCGAATAGCCTCGGTGTCACCAGCATCCCCCAAAGGCCCTTCGACCGAGACCGAAAGCTGGCCGAGTTTCTCATTGACGGTCTCCAGTTCAGTCTTCAGACTAGCGACGGTCTCCTCGCTCTCTGTGAGCTTGGCCTGAAGAGCCTGCAGCTTCTCGGATTCACCAACTCGGGAAATTGAGCCAGAAGTTGTACTCAATCGCTTCTTAGCCTCAGTTGTAGTAGCAGATCTGACGGTGCCTGTAGTTGAAGTTGGCCGAGTAGTGGCAGTTCGGCTTGCAGATGTCGTCGATGAAGTCAACCGGCTCACAGGCTTGCTCGTCGTGGTCGCCGTGCGCGCCGTTGTGGTCGCAGGCTTCCTCTCGGCAGTGATACCAGCAACACTTGATCTACGATCGCTGGAAGATGAGGTAGATTTGAGAGGAGCGCGGGTGGAGGTGGTGCCGGCCATGGACATGCGCTTTGCAGTACTAGAAATTCCCCGCCTTTCATCTCCCGAGCTCGCCACAGACCGAGGCTTCTCATCTGCTGAGCTGCTGACGGACATGTGAGACCGGTGGGACGAGACAGTCGAGGTACTCAACGGCTTCCGAGTGCCTGTCGTAGTCGAGGGACGAGTAGGAGGTTTGTTCAGCGTGCTGGTGGTCGTCCGGGTGGTACCGGTCATGGAATGAGATGCAGAAGACGAGTCGGGTCGTTTGGTGGTAGTTGTTCCCGATAGAGGACGCTTCACGGTGCCAGGTGCACCAGGGCTGACCTTGGACGGAGAGACCGCGGGGCTTTCCTTGGATACCTCGGGGCTAGCCATAACCAACTCTTCGCCTCCGGAGACAACGCTCGACTCTATCGGGGTAGCTGGAGGCTCATTTTCATCAACCTCAACAGGAGCAGGGGCAACGACCGGTTCGTCGTTTGAGGACATGGTCGGTAGATAGTTAAGATTACTGTATTAAGGAGGGCAAGGTTTGCGGTAAGTTTCAGTTGGCATGTACCAATAGAGTTGTCTGTGGGAAAAAAAAAACATTGTCAGTTGTCAGCTCTGAGTAAATCCAAGCTCCTAAACACATGACCATCCAGCCGGTGTTGCCCGTGGGTCTCAACCCCAGATTTAAGCTCTCCAATTCATACCAGCTCCAACCGCCTCGTCAGAAGCTTGTAGCGTGCTTTAGAAAAAAAATGTAGATATCCATTTTCCAGTCACTCAAAGCAATTCCAGTTGTGCACACCACAGAACTGAGGGCCCTTGTGCAGCTCAACCAAAGCTCCGGTCTATAAACACAACTTGTAGAAAGGAGAAGAATGTACTCACGCGCCGCACAACCGTTTCAATGTGAATTCTTCACAGTTTCTAGAGTGATCTCCAGACCAAGATGAATCCAGACCACAGTCGTTTATAAGAAAAAAAAAAAAAAAAAACCAAAAAAAAGCAACTGAACCGACAAAAGCAAACGGTGTCAAGATGCTTTTGGGGAAGAAAAGGGGAAAGCGGGAAAAAGAGAAAGCGGTGACAATTTTTAGGAGGGGAATCGCCGCTCTCTTCTTTGTACATTTTCTCTACGGACCCCCCCCCTAAAAGGGGTCGTGCATCCGGGGTATTTCTCCTTACATGGTCTTGCAGTTTTAATTTCTAAAAGGTAAAAAATAATATACTGGATTTTAATGATTTAAGATCAGCTTACGGAGTATGCCCATTCTTTGCTTTGCAGCTTGGGATCCATCCATTATAGTAATCCAAAGTCCCGGTTACGTTGTCATCGACCACCTTGCTGCTAGTACCCATGTCTCAGAATCAGAATCAGAATCAGAAAGAAATCCCGCTGCACCCAGCCCTGACAATCTCACCAAGATTGAAACCAAACGTCACCAAATTATCAGTACTAGCGAAGCTTTAAAGAGAGTAAGGCTTCACAGCCCATAAGAGTTAACCAGGGATTATTTAACACAGAGGTTCGTGCATGGATTAAACCCCACATGGATAACGTCCAATGGTACTCCGTACAACCAAACTATACTATTCAAATCGGGGGTTGTCTCTATGTTGAATAAACTCCATTCTCGCAAAAGGGTATTTGAAATCAAATCTACTACAAAAATGAAAGATCCCAATCGTGTCTCTCCTCGTTCTTGATTGGGTCATGGATCATCCAAGCCGAGTTTGACAGCTTGGCCCCGGATATTTTGCAGGATGCGCTTGGAGAGTTGGCCGCCGATCGTGTTGTCACATTTGATATCAATGTATCGATCTTCCCCTGTTCGTACCATCAGAATAGCCTTTAGCATGAAAAAAGGAATTTATCTTACCCCTATATAGTTGTAAGCCATCACGGAGTGCAGTCTTCTCTGGAGAGGTCCACCGTCCACAGGAGATATGGCTTTCGACCTCTTCTAACTCAAATTGCCTGTACGCTAGAGGGCGTTGGGGAATTCGATGGGCTGTCTCACGTAGCCGGCCGTCGTTTAGTGCATCCTTGAGGGTCTTTACATGTCGCATCGCTATTTTAGAGCGAGCCATCACCCCTCCACTAATTTCATAATGCATCTGGGCGAGACAGGAGATCCTATCACAGGACCCCCAAAGCAAATCCAGAACAATGCGAAAATGTCGCGCGCCCTGATCAGTGATGGTCTTGTAGGTCTTGAATCCGAGTATGACCAGGTCAATCAGTCGGGGAATAACATGGGCTTCGAGTTGATTGACTAGGTGAGCACCATCGTCTTCGTCCTCTGGAGCTTCGGTGTAAATGATCCACTGGTTTTCTTTAAAGATGCTGGTGGCTATGAGGTTGCACTGGTTTTTCAAGGAAGACGCTGAAGCAGGATCCTTCACCGTGGTTTCAAACAGACCTCGTAGCCGCTCAATGAGCTTCATGATACCCCTGAAATTTTTTTTCGTAGAGGGATCAGCGTGAGCCTTTAAAGACTTTCTTGCTCTGCGGATTGCTTCCCAGGTATCCTTAAAGCCAGAATCTTTAGTGGTTTCGGTCAGCCACGTAAAGAGACTGGAGCGAATGCATCGATGTTCCTGATTTGGGCGGGATAACTGAATTTTTGGTGTGTCTGGCGCTTCCCGAGGTTCTTGAGCATTTGCTGATACGCAACTTTTATGTGTGTCGACCATTTGGTTCCTTGGTACTCTCTGGAGGATTTGCACCTCGAGAGTATCTGCATTTGCGATCTGCTGGGTGGGCGTTGAATGATTCTGCTTTGAACCTGGAGAATCATTTGCCCCTTCTTCAACTTGAGCTTCATACTCGGATTCGTCTTCAGATACATTGACTCGTGCGTCTATAGCTTCCTCTCCAGCTTGATCATCTACCTCTTCTTCATCTTCGTATTCGATTCCGTCTCCAGATACATCTTCTTGTGCGTTTCTAGCTTCGTATCCAATCTGATCATCAACTTGGCCCTCATCTTCGGCTGGGAACAGATCGACTGGTTCGGGGAACGGATCATGTTCAGTCTGGCGCCGAAGCTCATCTCGGCTATCATCCAATTCCTCCTCTCCGCTGCCACCGGGCCCATCTTGCATTGATTCGGACTCGCTATCGCCTGGCCCTGATTCGTCCTTGCTGGGCCCGTTCTCTTCTTCAGTGTCGAAAACGTTGGGAGGTGGAGTCGGTCGCGCGAATCTAGGCACCGTATGGTTTCTCAAATTCAACTGGCTTTTATTTTTTGGTTCGGTTTGGGGGGTCTTTCGAGATTGTGTAGGTGAGGGGGAGATGGGAATTTCAAAGACATCAGCATGGGTGGTGCGGCGCCTTTTGGAATCTTGTATTTTCGCCGCGTCGCGCCCGAGTGCATTGATATTATTCAATAGTCCAAGAGTGTATTCGGTAGATCGATTGGATCTTTTTGGCGCCATTTTTTTCGAAAACGCGCGGGGAAGTGTAAAAAAAGAGGGCAGGGCGCGGTGAGAGAAGAGCTCTGGTGGAGCCGCAACTAACATCCCCCTTCCCCTCCAACCTTCTTCCCTCATCTCACTCCAACCTCGGATTTTCTCGTTCAGCAAGCATGGCTAACCCGGTTATTCGTGTATTGTCTACTTTAGACTCTACACCGCACGCCTTTATCGAACCGAGGAAAAAGATCCACGAGACACAAGATGTATCGACTTTCCTGACATCCAAAGCCTATACTGAGATCATGACGTGGGTGCTACAACTCAACCGATCTATGTTTCCACTCAAGCTGGCCGATGACACTATACAAACTTGGAGTCTCAACAGTGATGCGATACAATACTCCGCTCCCGTCCGACAATTACAGCGACTTCTCTCGAAACTCGAAGATATCATACAGGAGGTTCCACCGGATACCGGTCCACGGAGATTTGGAAATATAAGCTTTCGGAGATGGTCTGAGGTAGTTGAAAGTCGCGCATCTGACCTGCTGAAGGAATGCCTACCAGCCGACCTCTTGGATCGGGGATCATCAACTGAGGGCGCAACGGCGGAGACGGAGTTGAAATCATACTTCCTGGGCAGCTGGGGAAGTGGCCAGCGATTGGACTATGGTACTGGTCATGAGCTGAGCTTCCTGGCTTTTCTGGGTGGATTATGGAAGCTGAATGGATTTCCCAAAGCTGGCCCAGGCGTGGAAGAACGAGCCATTGTCATCGGAGTGATCCACCCGTGCGTCCACCAAGAATCGATCACGCCAGATATGCTTTTTCCCTTACTGACTATCGTAACCTAGATACCTGGAGCTAACCAGACTGCTCATCAAGACATACAACCTTGAGCCTGCTGGCTCTCACGGCGTATGGGGCCTCGATGATCATTCCTTCGCCCCCTATGTCTTTGGATCTGCACAATTATCGCCTGCAATCAATGACACTGACCTAACTCCTGAAGAAGGCTCACTGCCGAATGCACCCGACCCGGGAGGGATCGCCAATGCAAAAATTGTCGAAAGGGAACGCCAAAGTAATCTCTATTTCTCCGCTATAGGGTTCATTTATGACGTGAAGAGAGGCCCGTTCTGGGAGCATAGCCCCATGTTGTTCGACATCTCCGGCATTCGAGCTGGCTGGGGCAAGATCAATAAGGTTCGCGGTATTGACAATCACGGGGGATGTTCGCACTAACGTGTAATGATAGGGAATGATCAAGATGTACAACGCGGAGGTACTCTCAAAATTCCCCGTGGTACAGCACTTCCCTTTCGGATCCCTGTTCAGCTGGGATCGTGATCCAAATGCGCCTTTGTCCCCTTCCACGGTTCATGCCACATCTGGTCCTCAGGCACGCCCTGTTGCGCCAGATTCTGGCCACCCTTCTGTTGCCGCTTCCCGTCCTATGTCCGGGGCAGGCACGCAGGCTGTTCCCCCGGTGGCCTCGACGGCAGCCCCATGGGCTGGGGTAAGAAGAGAGGGGGTCCCAAATTCGATGCCTCGTGGTGCGACCAGAGTTCCCTCTGCTCTTCCAACCACTTCAGGGATGCCTCCAGGCTCCATGGCACCGACCAGAGCACCTTGGTCTGCTCGGTCTGGGCCTTCGCCTTCGCAGACTGGAAATACGGATGTGCATACCAAGGCTCCCTGGGCAAAATGATCATGAAGAAAAATGATATGAATTCCAATGTACAGTGTTGCGCTCTTGTAACGACTAGTTGCTGTATCAATTTGCAGGCGCCTATCAACCCGAAGTTGACCTTCGGGCGATGTCTCTCCTACTGGTCCATTTGGTAACCTTGGATCAGCCCCGGGACCGTGCTAGACCTACAGCTCTGGGGACCCTAGTAGCCTCTGTCTCACAGAGCAGATTTCTCCGTGATTACAACGCAAGCATATCGCCGCAGAGATTCCTGGTTCAGCCAATACCAGACCGACCAGGTTGTCTGGGCGAATCACGGCGATTATTGATGGCCCATTGCCAAGAAAAATCAGGCCGGAGTCCACCCAATGCCAAGCCCTCGGGGTCGGCGCTGCCTTGTGGCCATAATTTAGGGGCGAATTGATTATTTTCACTTCGTACACAGAGTCCAGATAGTTAGGAGTACGGTCCAATATCCTAGCATCATGAATTGCCCATCTCGGACTGATGACACATTACTGCACGATGGGTGGAATCAGAGCCCGAACTTCCTTTCTCCGGACCTGACTACCCGCCAAGACCTCAATGGCATCGCAAACACCCGGGAGAACAAAGGCGACGATTCTGGCCCAGGCACTCTGGGGGGAAGCTCTAATTGGAAGGGCATTCCTCCGCTAGAGGAAAAGGAGGCAGGGAATCACCTTGGCCCGGGGTGCGAGACGTCCCTGACAATGTCAGGTATGAAAAGCAACCATATGTTCTTAAGCAATAACTTCCTAACGAGTGAACAGAACGTCTCGCTCCCCCAAATACTAACCGTGGAATTGGTCACAAAGTACTTGATCCAAGTCGTAATGTTTTCCTACCATATCAGAGCATCAAGGACTGGGCGTTGTGGCTCGTCTCCGTGCTCCTTGTCTCGGCAGTCATATCCTTCGACAGTCTGAAGCGGGATTTCAGATCTAAACAACCTCTCATGCTGGAAGCACCTGCTATTCAGCAGTACACATTGCCAGTCAAACGATCAAGTTGTGCTCAAGGAGGTACCCGTGGTGCCTACGACCTGCCTCTGCACGTTGCAGCCCTCTTCATCATCTTGGCCACTTCCAGCATTGCATGCGCATTCCCCATCCTTGCCACTAGATTCCCAAGAATGCATATCCCGCCCGCGTTCCTTTTTTTCGTCACCCATTTTGGAACTGGTGTCCTCATCGCCACAGCATTTGTGCATCTCCTTCCAACGGCGTTTACTTCGCTAGGAGACCCATGTCTATCTGATTTCTGGACAAACGACTACCCAGCCATGCCGGGTGCTATTGCCATGGGTGGTATATTTCTCGTTACGGTCATCGAAATGGCATTCAGTCCAGCCCAGAGTATCTGCCGTGGAGAAAACCAGGTCCCAGCGGAAAAGCCAGCTTCCTGCACTGCGGATGTGATGACAACTCCAATTCCAACCCTTGATGTCCATGGATATCCCGACCAGGCTAGAGTGCCGAGCTCACATTCCGTTGGGATGGATGGCCGATCTCATTTGCGAGACAAGGGTCCGCTATTTGGAAGGTCCGCGAGTATCAGCCGAGCCATCAATCGTATGAGCGAAGGAACTGAAGATATACTTCGAATTGCATCTGCATCTGATGTCAGAACTCATCACGAGAAGAAAAACGGAGCTATTCAGACAGACGTGGAGCATCATGACGATACATTCGCCTTAACCCCTGGGCAGAAGCAGAAGAAAGAGACCATGCAGGTCTACCTTCTTGAAATGGGTATTCTTTTCCATAGCGTTTTTATCGGCATGTCACTCAGTGTATCTGTTGGCAGTGAATTTGTAATTCTCCTGATTGCCATTGTCTTCCATCGTGAGTTCTCCGCATCCGTCCACTCTATCGGAGTAGCAGATTTGACTTAACGAACTACAGAAACATTTGAAGGTCTGGCTCTTGGGTCCCGTATTGCCTCACTTCCCTGGTCAGAAAAGCAACTCCAGCCTTGGATCATGTCCCTTGCGTACGGATGCACGTAAGTCGATTTCCCACTCCGTTTAGACTCAAAGGTGCTGACAAAGGTCTAGAACACCAATTGGGCAGGCTATTGGCCTCGCAACCCATACACTCTACAGCCCCGACTCGGAGGTTGGTCTGCTCGTTGTCGGCGTCATGAATGCCATATCAGCTGGACTATTGATTTTTGCCTCGCTCGTGGAGTTAATGTCGGAAGACTTTCTCAGTGATGAGAGCTGGCGCATTCTTCGTGGGAAGAGAAGGGTTTTTGCCTGCATCCTGGTGTTTCTAGGTGCTTTCTGCATGAGCATCGTCGGCGCCTGGGCCTAAACGCCCCCGGGCTGTGGATGCTCCGGACAATTTGGTCTGTCACAGGCTGGACATTCGTCTCATCAGTAGAATCACAATTGGTTTAACTTGGCCGTATTTAGAACTTTGGTAGGAGACATTTTATAGTTGACTTTCCAGTATACATAGCAAAAATTTAGTTACCGACAGAGGGGTTGGTTGTAGCCCCGAGTGTCTAGTTCGTTGGAATGCTATCAGCGTATCTTCTTTCCTCAAGACTGGTTCAATGGTAGAAGAACCAAAGCAATATGGTTGTTCCATGGTATTAGAATATCCCGTTAGATGGAGGTACCCCGCTGCTATGCCCAAGATTAGCTGAGGGAATAAACTCGAATGGTAAAGGGCTGGTATAGGGAAGGGGGAGAAGGAGCAGAAAAAGAGAATTCGTGTCTCAACTACTCCTGAAGAGGTTCGAAACCCTGGCCAGTTTCACTAATGTTGACCTTCCTAATTCGGTATTACCCGTGGTCATTATTCAACCCAGCAGTAAAATGACTCCATGTCTCTCACCCACTCGGGCCACGATGGGAGGATTTTGCCAGAACACTTTGAAATAGAGTTAAATAGGCCATTTAGGAATCATCGAGGTGAGATATCCATTAGCTGACATTCACCCTTTACCACCCACCCCACCGGGCTCTGCTCTCACGCCCATATTCTTCTTCATTGTAGCCATCCCATTCATCACGCAGATCACTGGCTGTTCGGACACAATTATCGATCCGTTGCCCTCGGAAATGCAAATCTCCGCAGCAGCTTATCATTCCAATAATATCACCATCACCCAAAAACTCAATCCAACCTTCCTGGTCATCTGCAAAGCTCATTTCACCCTCACCGGTCTCTCTCCCACGCCACTTAAACGGAACTTTGTCAAAGGAGGGTTTCATAGGTCGTTCTGGCATCCACAGTACACCCTCAAACATTCCGAACTCGTATGTCCCCCAGATCTCCTTTCCATTGAGGCGCAAGGATAAGGTAATTCCGTCAGACGGCATAGCGTGCGGCCAGTTGTCTTCAATATCGAAGGAATGGACTTTGTACGTCCCATTGAGTAGGCCCAGGGTGCATTTCAGGGTTCGGGGTGGAGATGGTGGGTCAAATGCCCCGGACGCGCTCGCATAGTCAATGTCCATCGGGTCATCTAGAGCATCGTAAGGTTGTTCTCCGTTCTGCTCGGGTAAATTAGTTGCGTGCCCTTTGTGTTTGTGAATGGTGGAGGAGATATTTACTATTCCGCAGGCGTATTCATACGATGGAGGCACATCATCATACTCAGGCTGCTCAGGCCATCCACTCGGCTCGGAATCCTTCCTGTTGTCTTGTGTCTTTTTGCCATGCACGCGACGTTTGGCGGTCTGTGATTGATTGGGTTTCTCCTCATCATTCAACACCCTTTTTCTCTTGACTGGGGCAAATTTAGGTGTAGCAGGCTTGACAGCAGCGGGTTTATCAGCAGCCTTAATCGCAGCCTTGGTCGCAACCGGTTTTACTGCAGTGGCTTTGGGCACAACGGTCTTAGGGGCGGTATTCTTCTTATGGAAAGCGGTTTTGGGCATAACAGCTTTAGTGGCCGCAGTTTTCACAGCTGTGGCTTTGGCAGCAGCCTTTGTCGCCACAGGTTTGGCTGCGGCTTTGAGTGCAGTAGTCTTGCTCTCAATGTTTTTGGATACAACAGTCTTAGATGTTGTAATTGTCTTGGTGGTAACATATTTCGTCGTTGTGATTTTGATATTGACTTGTGGCTGCTCCTCCGAACCCTGTTTCTTCCATTCTTTCTTCAGATTCTTTTCGATTTGTAGGCTTTCCTTGGGGACAGTCAATGCCCCGTCTTGCAGGGCTTTCAGGAGCCTCATCTTAGCAGTCGCCTTGACCTTCGACGGTGGCAGGCCATAATGAAGGAGCTGTGCTTCATACCAATGACCTGGGTGGTCTGGTGTGCTCTTGTCGGTAGTCGCGGTATCATATAGGGCCTTTATCTCAGCCGGCGCAGCACGACGGTGGATCTGTCCTCCAGATGCGGTGACATAGAATGTGTCGACATTGAAGGAGAATTGACCGTTGGTGACAGGCGGCATGATGGGTCCAATGTTGTGTAAACACAACGAAGACACGGGGGTGGATTGATAGATGCGGGGCATGCCCATGGATCACGGCCCCACCTTGATCTGCCTCATCTTTGCATCATCACTCCTCGATACTTTGTTCATCACATCTTTTCTGGGGATTTCTTCTCTTCCAGCATTTGTCCAATTCGTACGTAAGCATCACTTATGTATTTATGCGATGTAGGCATACAGATCTTGCATGGATTTTCAACCCTGGTGGGCTCATTTCGGCATGAACAGTCAACGATTTGATGTCAACATTTGGGTATCATTTACGAAAAGTCCACCGGAGGGAGCTTTCTCTGCTCTAGAGCTATCTGAACACTGTACTGTATGCTCTCTATAGCTTCTTCCCAGCTTATAGTTCCCTCGGGCCGGGATCCTCGTGGCTCTTTAGACCCCTGCTGCTGCGAATGATCATCGACCAACCACATCAACCAACGTACCACTGAAACAGCTTTGTCCATATCCTTCTCTTGCAATGTCACACTGGACAAATATTTACATAACAAACTAACATCATCACCATAAGGGCCATCAGCCGCAAAGACTTCATGCCATGAGCCAACAGCATCTCGCAGATCTGGTAACTGGGAAAGGCGCTGTGACGTAAACACGGGACGCTTGGGGAGAGGCGGTAGAGATAGAAGTTTCTCTACGGTGATTGGTGCAGGGGGAGCCTCCTGTGCCCGAGACGGAGGTCTTTTTGCGGGTTCAGTAGCTCGCAAGCGCTGTTGCATACGGGAGCGGTTTTGTTCTTCAAGGAGTTCCTGTCTGATGTCTTCAGGCAGAGCAGCAAGAAATTCGGCTGAAGCTTCGACGGGCTCTTCGAAATTTGGTGACGCTTGTCTAGACATAGCCTCTTCATTGAGACTAGCAGATACGGCTGCAGGGTGAGGAAGAACGAATCCAAAGCTTGATTGATTCAGAGGCTTGGGCTTAGGCTTGTTCGCAATCGCTGCCGACTTTGGTGGGCGGCCACGCCTCTTTTTGGGTGGTGAGACTGGCCTTCTCGGCTTGAGAGAACTAGATGTTGATGGACGCGACTCTGGTACTGCCGGCGCGAGCGGCGCCGGGGTGTTAGTGGCTGGGTGACTATAGTATTCCAATACTTCTTGACGAACATCTTCAGGCAATGCCGCCAACGTATCAGGGTCCAGCTGGGACTGCGGGGGAAGGTTGGCTTGGGCAGGTTGTCGTGCTTCACGCGGGAGAGGACATGGAGAACCAGAGCGAGAATCCTGGCGCGGCTTTGCTTGTTGCACAAGCCTTGATCTGATATCCGTGGGCAACTCGGCAAGGACTTTGGGATCTGCTTGAGTGGGCATAATAAACTGGGACCCTGAGATGTTGAGTGGCTTATGGGCACTATCGCTGAGTACTGGATCCGCTTGGATACGAACAGAGTCATCTTTCTGCGGACTCTCCAGCTCGTCAGGGTCTGCATCTAAAATGATTTTCTTGCGAGGTGGAGACTTCTGGAAGTTGAGTTGTCGCTGGCTGCTCTCGGGGCCTGAAGGGCCAGACTTGATTGGTTCAAGTTTGGTCATTTGCACACCAAGACCTCTCAAGTCTCCAGGTGAAAAGTTGAAACTTCTCAACATCGATATCGCCTCTTTCCCAATGACTTCTGGTGCATTGGTCGCAACACCAAGGGCGACACTCTTATTGAATGTGTCACACTTTCCATGACCAAGATGCTTGACCGGTTGCAGTGGAGCGTCTATCGATCGACGCATCACTTTTAGAGTAAGTTGTTTCCCCTTCATCAGATTTTCCATCAATCTTCGATTTAGCTCCTCGCATAGAGAATGCACAAAGTCATCTGCTTGGTCCTGATTGACAAATCGAATCCCCCAGTTGACCTCGGCCGAGACAGATTTCCTCGTGGTTTGATCGCCGACTTCTGTTCGGTCGATTCCGCGAGCATATTCCCATAATTTATTTCCAGTTTTAGGTCCCAGGCTGGATATCAGTTTCTCTCTCGGGAGATCTCTGATGTCTTTCACAAATCTCACACTCAGCTCTTCGAGTTTGATTGCCATGCTACTGCCCACTCCAGGAAGATCACGAACAGTGAGGTCTCCAATAAAGTCCAGAACAGCATCTGGCTTCAATTGAAACTGTCCAGCTGGCTTGGCTTTTTTGAGAGACACTTTTGCGAGCAGAATGTTGTTACCAATTCCGACAGAGACTGCGCACCCTGTCTTCTCTTTGATTGAATCGCGTAAATTTTGGGCAATTTCGTCCGCTTTAACTTGCTCACGATAAATTGATCCTTCTGAAATAGCCTTTCCATCTGAGCCGCCAGCTTCTAGACACGAATTTGTGACATCAATCAAAGCCTCGTCGATACTGACACTTTGCACGGTACCATCAATGGCAAGTATCGAGGTGTAGAACTTACGACTCGCATCTTCATAGGCAGGGAAATCATACGGCAAGACCTTGAGATCGGAGCACAATTGCAAGGCAGCTTTCATCCACATCCCATTCTTAACACCTCGAGCACGTGCAGGATAATTACAACTAGCAATCTCAGAGCTTGATCCAGAGCCGTGGGCGATAGCAACCGGCTTGCCTTGGAGCTCGGGATGTTTTCGAACTGAGACAGCTGCAAAAAAAAAGTCGAAGTCGACATGTAGAATGTACCGTCTTGATCCAGGGACAGGTTTCTTTTGTGATGTCTGAGACTGTGCATTCTCCTTCGTTGCAACCTGCAGTTGGGCTTTCAGATCCGCCTTCCAGGTTGACAAATGATGGAGGCGAGACTCCCTATAATACTGCTGCAGAAATTCTGGATTGACAACCGAGGACTTCTGCATCCTTGGGTCAGAAAGGAGCTTTGCGTTGTATTCTTCAGAAGTCAAAGCGGATTTTGGTAGACTTTTTTTGTCGAGAGGCGAGGTTGACTCGAGGTCTACCAATGGATCTGGTAAAGTGGGCACTTGATCGGAATTGGGAGCTTGATGTGGCATTGTAGATTGTGTTATATCACTGGCTGGTGTCTCTTGCTGATGTTGAGGTTCATGAACTTCGTCCTCTTTCTCCATAGTGAAGCTAGGGAAGTCACCATAGTCTGACTGGGATGATTGGCTCGGCATGGTTGATGAAACCATCTGCGGGGCTTTGGGCCGTGTAGACGGGGTCACAGGATTTGATGAAGAGCCAATAACCGCTTTGGTTATACTCATATCTCGGAGCTGAGAGCTATACCAACTGGCCCTTGATTGTTCTTTGTAACCTGGGCGAGGGCTATTCATATGGCTGATAAACCGGCCATCATCAAACTTGAGTACCCTCTGTGCCTGACCTTCATCTACTATTCTAAATTCATCCCAGGGCAGGAGACGTCCTGCTTTGATACTGTCCGTCACCCACGTAGGTTTCACTATGCGGTAGCGGCGGAACTCTTCACGCTTCTTGGGTGTCAAAGCACTGGCGATGATGTGAGTAGCCGCAGTCTTACCATCTAGATATTGAAGAAAGCCACCCCCATGGCTGACAATCAGATGGTGCAGGTCTTGCAAGGACGGTTGTGTGTACCCATTGACATGAGCAACTATACCCCGGAAAATTGGCGGGCAATCTCCAGCTGATGCTCGAATTTCCACGTCAAGATTCTGTAACTTCATTTTTTTTCGGCGCATGTAGTCACCAAACCCGCCGAAGCTAGAGGCCTCGTACTCCTCTCCTGCTTCATCATTGAAGTCATCTGGACACGGTCAGATAAGAGCGGGGACTGAAATTCGGACTAAACGTACGATTTTCAATGCTTTTGCGCACTGCACTAGATTTAATCTCATGACGGGAGCCCATTTTGGGCCGCAACGACCATGATGACCGATAAGACAATAAAAAGGCAAAAGAGAGAAGAATGCTCTTTCGCGCGAAGCTCAGCAATCATCACGTGGATCCAAGCTTCCAGAGAGCGGTCAGAGGTGGCAATACACCGGCGGTGAAGGATCCATTGATCTCATTGACCGAATTTTTTTCTCCAATTTTTTGCCGCATTTGTTGCTTGGTAGCATATTTTCTTCTCTTCTCTTTTCTTCCCTTCATCCACACATTTTTCCACGTGGTTCATTCTCCTTTTGAACTTGATCTTTTTTCATCTTCCTCAGTTTATTCTAATTATTCACAATGTCTGCCGTTCAGCCTGTCGCAGTCTATGCGCTCCGGGTTCCGCCTGGTGCCATGGTTCAAGCAGTCCCCAACGCTGCTGCTTCGGTCAGCCTTGCTCTGATCATCAATCAGCTGATTCCTCATGCTAATATAGAGTCTAGTTCCGCATCACTATGGCCGCTATCGATCCCGATGAGGCCCCAGAGTACGAGGATGACCAGGACTCAAGCAAGCCTTCCCGCTCCACTCTGAAGATTGTTCGCGCTCCTCCCGGTCTTGACCTCGACGAGGATGATGAGGATGATGAAGACTACAGTGATGGGGACGAGGAGGATTCCGATGAGGAGGAGTCCAACGGTGGCCCTAGCGATAAGGAGAAGGCCCGCAAGCTCAAGGCAGCTGCTGCCCTCAAGGACCTCGAGGACGCCATGGAGGAAGATGATGAGGAGGAGGATGATGATGAGGATTTCGACCTGAAAGCTGCTATCTCTAAGCTCATCAAGGGTAAGGGCCCCGCCCTTGACGATGAGGACTCCGAGTCCGAGGAGGGCCTGGAGCTTGATGAGAATGTTCTTTGCACTCTCAGCCCTAGCCAGGTAAGACCAACACTCTCTTGGGTACAAAATGTGAATATTGACGTCAAATACCTCTGTAGAACTACCAACAGCCTCTGGATATCACTGTCTGCGAGGGTGAGCCCGTGTTCTTCAAGGTCACCGGTAACCACACCGTCTTCCTGACCGGGAACTACGTCATTGGTCCCGATGAGAGTCACGACCATGACCACGAAGATGAGGACGAGGATGACTACGACCTTTCTCCCGATGAGGATGAGCTTGACATGGATGACCTCATGGCTATGCAAGATGATGAGAGCGATGACCTTGATGACATTGAGGACCCCAGAATCACTGAGGTCGAGAGTGAGGAGGAGGCCCCTAAGCTTGTTGAGTCTAAGAAGGGCAAGAACAAGCGTGCCGCAGAGGAGGAAGTCACTCTCGATGATCTGATGGCCAAGGCCAACAAGGCCAAGTCTACCAAGTCTGAGGAGCCCACCTTGACCAAGGCCCAGCAGAAGAAGCTCAAGAAGAACAACGGCGATGCCGCCGCTGTTGAGCCTAAGGAGGCCAAGAAGGATGCTAAGAAGGATGCTAAGAAGGATGCTAAGAAGGATGCTAAGAAGGAAGAGAAGAAGGATGACAAGAAGGAGGCCAAGACCGACAAGAAGGTCCAGTTCGCCAAGAACCTCGAGCAGGGCCCTACTCCCTCCGGCGACAAGCCCACTGGCACCCTCGGCGTTAAGGAGATCCGTGGAGTCAAGCTTGATGACAAGAAGCTTGGAAAGGGTGTTGCTGCCAAGAGCGGTAACACCGTCGCCATGCGCTATATCGGCAAGCTCGAGGACGGCAAGGTTTTCGACTCTAACAAGAAGGGCAAGCCTTTCACCTTCAAACTCGGAAGGGGCGAGGTCATCAAGGGTTGGGACATCGGTATCGCGGGCATGGCTGTCGGTGGTGAGCGTCGCATCTCCATCCCTCCTTCTCTCGCATACGGCAAGAAGGCCCTTCCCGGCATCCCCGCCAACTCTAAGCTCATCTTCGACGTTAAGCTCCTCGAAATCAAGTAAACTGCTCGATACTGCCATCCGTCTTTTCATCGGGGTGTTTGAGGTTACCGGTTCAATTGCATCATTCCTGTGATATCCATTGCTGTCTCTTTTTTCAGTTCACTCCCCCACTACATTTAGCAGGGATGAGATGATCGCGAGGAATTTGTATCCCTGCATGGAAAAAGTGACCATCTATTGCTGTTTATTATATACTTTGTACTAGTCTTCTTATAAATTGATCATATGATTGAGTCTTAATGTCTGTTCCAGTGTAAAAAGAGGCTTCAGAAACTTGTTCTCTAATGATTCGAGACTGTATGCTTCGTCTCCTTACCCTTGCAACATACGTCGCAACAAATTCCCCGGTGTAAAAACCGCATATGAAATAACAGATTTCAAGGCTGCCTGATGCATGGCCTTCAATTTTTGCATTTGTGAAACGTTTGCGTTCTTTTTTTTTCATACATCTAGTCTCGGATAACAGTCCATCGGTGATTCTCTTGGCCTTTTTGAGTCTACGGAGGCGATCACTGATCAACGTCATTGCCTCTTTACCACCTGCCGACCTCTAGAGCCTCCAAGGCTCACTAAATCGAGAAATCACCTTTCGATCTTCCTTTGTTGCAACACGTTGCGTTGCCACGTCCGTGAAACATTTACCCACATCACGTCTTTGTCCAATGAAGTCATGGTCATCTAGCCAACTATGATCACTCCCCGCAGACAAGATTACGACTTGTGACTGTTCTGGTGCTTATCGATTTTATCGGCTTCAATCCTAACATCATTGTTGTACAACGCCTTATAACTCTTTACTTGTTTATCTGTATCGCGACATGGACAGCAGCGACCGCATGTTATGTCATGCCTGTGGCGGGGTTTGGATTAAGAATGATGATTTGACGTGCCCGCACTGTGAATCCGAGTTCACAGAAATAGTACAGAGGATGCTTTCTCTCTTGATTTCTTTCATTCTAACGCTGTCTTTTACTCTTAGATTGAGATTCCTCCAGAACTACCTGCCGAGGGCTTCCCCTCACACCATGCTGACTCCCCGTCGCCTCCACGCGTCAACCCATGGATAGATTACAATCCATGGGAACGAGACACACAAGAACGGGAAGGCCCTGAGCTTTTCGGAAGGAACACTCCTCCACTTTCCTCCTTGCGCACATATAGATCACCCGATGGCCGTTTCTCCTTCAGCAGCGCAACGCTGGATACTGGAACTCCTTCGAGTCAGCGGAATAATGGCCCGAACCCTATGGTTCCGATGATGATACAAAGCTTCGATGCAATTTTACAAAGTTTTATGGAGCCAAACCCTCGTGGATATAGGGGATTTGGGGAGGATCCCTTCCATCCTCAATCCTCTACCTCTCCCGACTGGCTTGAAGACGATCACCTCACAGGCCATCACCCAGGCCTATCTCCCCGCAATGCAGATGCGCCGCAACGGCATAACCGCAACCCGATGGACTTGGATGAGTATGCAATGACTCTCTATGTTACGATGATTTGCAGACTGATCAGAAGATAGAATCATGGACGCCATTCGCGCTGACCTTGGAGTACAAACTATGCGAAGCTCACGTGGAGCTCGTGGCCCGACAATCCCACATCCACTTTCATTATTGTCCACGTTTCTCAACATGAATCGAAGCGGGGATGCAGTATATTCGCAACAAGAGCTCGACCGAGTCATCACACAACTGCTTGAGAATACTGGGGGGACCAGTACTGCGGCACCGCCAGCATCGGATGCTGCTGTCCACGCTTTGCCAAAGAAAAGGGTAAATGAAGAGATGATGGGATCGGAAGGGAAAGCCGTGTGTTCCATTTGCATGGATAATGTTGAACTCGGTTTGGAAGTCACGGTGTTACCATGCGCACACTGGTTTCATTTCGACTGCATCCATGCATGGCTGACCCAACATGATACTTGTCCACATTGCCGACGTAGCATAAATTCAACCGCCGCGTAAGTCTACGTGAGTTGTATGCGCAGCTGTATGCACAACCTGAGAACTTTCCGCTGACAGTACATTCCACAGAGGCGGAGAAGGCACCTGTGAGAATCCGGTAGTGATTCAGGATAGTCCTGAGCAATCGAGATCCCACAGGCGTTATAGTTCTACTCGCACCGCACGCAGTGGCAGATCTTCGTTGTCTTCATTGCACGGTCGCCTGTCCCCACAATTTCCACCCCGCCGGTCCCCTACGCCGGAGGGTGGGCAATCCAGCAACCGACGGTCCAGCCGGGGCGAAGGTAGCAGTGGAGGGGGATTCACCAATTGGTTTACAACTCGATTTGGAAGCAGTACACGAGAAGACTCGACATAGGTGTCAATCTCGATTTATGTTGTACACACAGCGAAAGGGGGGGGGGGTTTCCCTTGGATTTGCATCTCCTACATTAAGCTTCTGTGTTTGGATTAACCAGTGCATAGACCCTAGGAATTTTCTCCTTCGTAGCAACTTTTGGATGTTTGTTTCATCTTCGAAAGCGGTGCGTGGCTGTACCAGCAGCCCCTCCTTGCATCACATCTTCCCTGTGCCACTATTTCGGATTGATTGTGGATGAATCAGTACTGTTGTATATGTTGGTAAGCCTCTATTGGATGTAAATCAAATTTCCCTCATGTATCGTGAAATGGCAACCACTTCCATCTAATTGGGCTTGTGGTTTAGTGGTATAATACTCCCTTAGCATGGGAGTGGTCCGGGGTTCGATTCCCCGCGAGTCCATTTTTTTGGGGGGGGGGTTGAATATTGATCCCGTGCTTGAAGACAAATGAATTTTTGTTTTTAATTTTGATTTTTGTCAGATATAACTGAAACCATCCTTTTGTTCTATTTCAGACATGCTCTCTTTTACCAATGCTTTTGGGTATTTCAGCCACGGATGCCCATGATTTTCGTCTTTGTTAGCCTCCATGTCCACATCAGGTGCTTTGCACTCAACAACTCCAGCTCCCAGGCTGTCAGTTTCATTTCATTAATTCTGTCTTCTGTAAGTATGCTTCTTTCTAGTGTATAGCACCTCTTCGGTACATGCTGTGTTTTGTAGGGTTTCCCAGTCAATGTTTTGGGAGGTTATATATCCCGAACCCCTGCTGGTCGGTGGACAGATCGGTGAGAATAGCCCCTGATCTTGACTTTATACACTCCCATGGACTTATCCGTATTCAATCACTAGCAACTTAAGTTATTCTTCAAACTTCCCGTAAGGTTGTTTTTCAGAGAAAAGATCTGGCATTTTATCCCCAAGATCCTCACATGAATGTCGAAGACACCATCGTGTTCTCCAGCTTCAGCACACATGCTAGTTCCGAATGGGTACCCCTCGGATGATTGGAGCAGGGGGCGTCAAAAGCACCCAGTACAAGCGCCGGGTATGACTCGAACCCCTGACAGCTTATCAGTGTCATGGGTAGGTCATTTTGTCCTTTAAGATTCAAACCAGGTTATCTTCGTGGCTGTTGTACAACAGAGACTGAAGATATGCGCAGAAGTGAGTTCTACGTGAACGTGCCGTTGTTCATCGGTACCCCAAGAAGGAGTCTGTACCCCCCCGTACGGCTTGCATGACTTGATGGGTTGTTCTGCTAGAGGCGAAGAGATCTGCGTCGTGAAAGTGACTACAGCGGCAGCTGCCGTCGTATGATCTTGAACTGGCCATTAGGGTCCGATCTTCCGAGGTGTGTGGTGCGCTGCCTCCCCTGCGTAGAAGGAACTTGGATGGTGGCGTACAGAAAAAAAGATTCTGTGAGCAGAGTAAGGATTGTCTTCTCCTATGGTGACGTAGGCTATCCCCTCAGATGCACCAGTGATTCACCAAGGACTCCGTACTTGGTTCTCTGATATGCCCGAGACACGTTGGGTAAAACTACGGTGAATTACACTGCGTAATGACTAGAACCCCAGCTACTCCGGGCTGTGTCTCATTTGCCATCTACGAATCTTTGGCTTCTGCAAAATTGCATTCGAAATGAGGGGTTGTCTCCACGTCACATCTCATGCGATAATAAGCCTCGCGGGGTCACATCACATACCCTACAACATAAAGATACCAAAAAAAAAAAAAAAACAACTTGACCAGTTTCAACATTGGTGCACATGACATTGAAACCTGGGTGTTTGGAGGTTGAGACGAGGTCGTCCATGCGGGGATCAGGCAGGCCATCCTGACGTTTCAAAGCAAAAAGCAAAGATGGATTGTGTGTTTGATTAAGATAGAATGACGTTTAAAATGCAACCAGCGAATTTGAGAGCCATCCAATCTCTCAGACCTGCTATACGTTGCCGGACAGCAGAACCCGTTATCACAATCCGTTATACAACCCGTCATTTGACAACGTCATGTATCCGCCCCCACAAGGGCTGGATTGTCATAAGCCATGACCGACACGGATTGAGGAATTTCTTCCGCCGAGCTGCTTTGAGTTCTCGCTCACTACGCTGCATGTCCATCCAAACGGTTGGGGTGATGATGCGAGGAGGGGGTGGGGGGTAGTTGGAGTGGAGCGTTGTCTCAAAACTGGAACTGATTCGATCGAAGTCGTCCTCGACCTTTGATGTCTCTGTGACTGGATATTCTGCAGAGGGCTTACCGACAGTTGCTGAGCGTGATATGGGTGCATTGTCAATCTTCGTAGAGGGACATGAGATTGGGAACGCTACGGTGGTTGGTTGGGGCCTTGAATGGACCGCGATGTGCTCGGGAGAGGCATGAGAACCCGAAAATTCAGATGTATCGTTGGTTTTGAGATTCTGGGCCGTGTGAGGGGATGGTGGATTTTCACCTGCCCCCTCTGTTCCCATCGATAAGTCGAACTTCCTCCTTATGCTTGTCGTTCCTGATAGCGTAAAGGTTTGACAGAAGGTAGCGTACGACTGACGAAGATACATCTCTCTCGCTGCTTCCACGTCGAAAAAAGGGCACTCCTCTTCAATTCTCTCGTGAATAGGGTCATATGGTGTCATCTCGTGAGCGTGATGAGCTGGCGAGCATAGATTGTATAGATCAACATCTGTTGCAATGTTGAGATCTCTGAGATTCCTTGCACTCAGCGCATGTTCTTGAGATCTGGCCCTGACGATTGCTCGAGAAATTCTCTTAGAAATCCTCCTCGAAAACTGGGAAACCGTGTTTCGTCGACGGAGTGAGTGGCATGGTTGATCTATCGAATGTCGAGTAGAGAAGGTGTCACTTGACGCGAAAGAAGCACTGTCATTGACAATGAGGAGGTTAGGCATTTTGATTTGACTGCTGATTGAAAGAAGAAAATTGAAGGTCAGGCTGGGAATAAATGATTTCGCAGTGCTGCAAACGCTTTTCAGGTTGACTGAGCATGAGTCGAATGAAAAGAGGTTGGGATTATAAAATCCTACGCAACGAACAAAAGAGAGCGGTGAAATCTTCTGAAGTACAGGTGAGGTATTCCGGTACTTATTGCAGATTGCAGGTATACTCAGAAGGCCTCTATGTGCAAGCCTGTAGGGATTTTATACAGTTGATACAATCCATCCCCTCTTAAGTAAGACAGATCTTCGATAAAAGCAATACTGAGGTCAATATCGGTTGAAAGAATGTCCTCCATCTTGAAAATTGACACAAACTACACAAAGAGCATGTGCCCTACCGGTGCAATTCAACGGCAAAACCGTGCTTTGCCTATTGTCGTCGGGGCAGAGAAGGGTATACCGTCACGCTAAGGCAAGCCACCATGCACAGCGAAAGAAGAAAGACGTCAGAGGCATTGAGACTGGAGGATGACAATGTGCGATGAGGCTTGTTGGTTGTGGGAAAGTCATATTTTGCCTAGTCTGAGTTTCCTAGTCTTAGAACTATGCCGAGAGGCAAAACCGATTGTCTATTCACGTTCATGTTGGAAGACTTGTTAAGCATCAGAAACGAGATTGAAAAAGTCGTAAGACACGAGACAAGGGTGTAGTGAGACATTCTAGTCCTGTCATCGCCAACGCCAACAACGGTGGCGCTACTTAGGACCCTTGTTTCAGACATGGCATCCAATGTAGACCGGAGAATATTGGATTGCCCAACCTCCTACTGGATAGGTTCACCTGTAGCATACCTAGGTAAGTAGCACATGATTCGACGGTAATTATTGGTCCACGGTCAAGAGACAGTTCGAGCCCTAAGAGTCTGATTGCAAATATCACAAGATCAAATCATATCACGCACCTATGTTTATTTACAAAGCTTTGAAAGACAGGTATAGATACACTCGCGTCACATTATCCAGACACGCCCTCACGTCCGAGGCCCCAGCGACCAACCTCACGCATGGCCTCGTCCCCACCTTCAGCCAGCCGTCCGTTGGTATTAGAGGGGTTGCTGCTTCCCAGGACACCGGCTACACATTGCCAGCCATTACGGCCACCCCCCCAGCGGAGGACTTCACGTTTGTATCGCTCTCCGGCAGCACGATCAGTTGCTGCTTGACCAGACTGGAACACGTCCTGCCAAAGTTTGTTCGCGATTGCGCGGTCAAAGATGTAGCTGTAGTACGTGGCACCGTAGCCATACAAGTGGCCGAAGAAGCCCTGCCAAGAGGTACGCGGTTTGACATTGTTTGGATCAGGCAGACTGGAATACTCAGAAAAGACTCGATGATAGATGGCGGTGGAATCAATGCCAGCCGAGCTGACTTCGGCTGAGATCGAGTGATAGGCCTGATCAACGAGCGCCATGAGAATCTGTGCTTCATTCTCAACGGCACCATAGATGGACCCATGCGCAGTGCGGTCTAGTTCCATACTCTGCATCATACTCTCAGACAAAGGCTCGTCGGTCTTCCAGTGTCTCGCGTAGAGGCGCAGTACCTCTGGCGCAGTTGCAAAGCTCTCCATCAATACAGATGGAAGTTCGGCGAAGTCCGTGGCGCATCGAGTACCGGAGATGGATTGCAGAGGTGTCTGGCCCAGGATGGAGTGGACGGCGTGGCCCATCTCGTGGAACAAGGTGCGAACACTCTGCTCACTCAAGAGAGTTGGCTGGCCGGTGCCATTGACCTGAGGTTCCTGGAAATCACACACGAGGGCAATGGTTGGGAGTTGGCGCAGTGTGTTAGTTTGTGGATCTACACCAGTGGCCATGCCATCGTTCGGGTGGGCGGATTGGTTCATGGAGGCACACTCGGCGATCTCCTCTGCAGAGATTTCGCGTGAGCAGCGCAAAGTAAAGTGAGCCGGATTTGGGTGTTTGCTCGGCCGTGTAAACAGGTCACAGTAGACGACTGCAATGTGATTCTCCGATTCATCCACCACGTCCAATCGACGAACGTCTGGATGCCAAGTCTCGCCAGGAGATGCTTCATGTGGGACTAGACGCACACCATACAAACGGTCAAAGAGTCGAGAGAGGCCTTGCATCACTGTTCCCAAAGAAAAGAAATCATTGACAACACCCATGTGACGAGAGCGACGAGCCTGGGAATACTCTAGGACGCGCTTATGAACGTAGTATGCATGATCCCAAGGGCGCAGGGAGGAGCCACCTTTCAATTCCTGCAGTTTGGAAAGTTCTTCCCGGACTGGACCCTGATTGCTTGACACAAGCGAAGTCAAAAAGTTTGATACTGCCTCGGGTGTTTTGGCCATTTTGTCGCCCAGAGTCATATGCGCAAAGCTCTGGTAGCCAGTGAGTTGTGCCAACTCTGCCCTCTTCGATAGAAGTTCCTCCAGTCTTTGAATTTGGCGCTTGCTGGAAGTTCGAGTAGCGAGATAGATGTCTTTGCGAACTTCCTCATCATGCACCGAGCGCAGAGCAAGCCGAGGGACAATCCCCATAGTCGGAACTGGAGCTTTCTTGTTCCATCGCTTGATTTTGGAGATAACAATAGGATCCAATCCTTGTAGGCTGTTGGCACCAAAAACAATCTGGGACTTTGCAGGCTCCGCGCCGTTCATGAAATCGGAACCCAACTGGCTCACATCATTCGAGAGGTTTACAAAACGCTGCCTCACATTGGGTGGCATATGAATTGCAGAGTTCGAAAAATCCTTATTGAGGATCTGTGCCACGATCCGTTCTGCCTCGGTCCAGTATGATGTCACGTCGGGGTTGTTCAAGGCCTTGTTAAGCTGTTCATGAAGCCCTGTAGTTGTGTTCAAAACGTTCATATATTCAAACATAAGAGCCCACGCCTGCGTGGCTGCTTCTTGTATCCGTGGGTCGGGGTGAATGGTTCGAATGAAGTCGGACAGATCGATGACGCGACACAGGAGATCGCTCAGCTGGTCCAAGTCTCGTGCTAGGGCCCTATATTCCTCAACTGTCGAGGCTGCAAGCACCTTGGCTACGATAGCTTGGCATCTCTGTAGCGAGACATTCGCGAATGTCCTAAAGCCCTCGGGGCTTGTCAAGTATTGGTTTTGGACCAACCCAGCTCGCCGTGGAATTGTGGTGGTGCTCTGCTGGGAGAACTCATTCCAAAACGGTTGGGAATCAAAAACGCGGCGTAGAGTATGGTCATCGATCTTCTTTCTTGGTGCACTGTTATCGGCTGGAATGTACTCAAACGACGTTGACGGAGAAGATGCGGCGCTCTCGAAGGCTCGGGATTGGAGCCGCAGATGTATGCATTTCCGACATGTCCATGTTCGTCGCAGAGGGCGAAGCATTGTTAATACTGTATTAAAAGCAGATTGAAACCATCGGAAATTAGAAAATCACAAACTCCCTATTGCAAGACATAAGAGTGAAAGAGAACGGGCAATGACGGAGTTTTCTGGTGGTTCCGCCGAGCCGAAGAATTCCCGTCCTGCTCCAACACGACTTTGCTTCATCCTCACTACCAGCTCCCCCCCCCCCTCTGCTCTTCCCCACACCCTCAGGATGTCATTCCGGCCGATGTTGCAACAGGTATGTCTTTGTTTAGTTTCTTACTCTAAAGTTGGATGCAATTGATTCCAAAATGCCGCGTTTCCATACTGACTTGTGGCCAGCGGGCTGTGGCTCCAATCGCAGCCACTCTTCTCGCGGGAGGTATTGCTCTGTTCCCCAAGAAGACCGCTTTCGCAGAAGAGCCCCGAGACATTGTATGATAAGATCTGTTCCTAGCTCTATTGAAAGTCTGAAAGGCTTGGTCTGACACACGACTTCTTCCCTAATATAGCGGAAACCTATCTACGATGACTTCTCAGCCGATATTCCTGAACCCTCCAACCCCTCTCAGCTTGCTGCACCTGTCACCCCCAAGCTGATATCCGCGCCGGCTGCGCAACAAGCTCCCTCTTCGCCCACCCCGACAGACATTTTGACCGCTCAGGTCCGACAAGCTCGCCTCTTCCTCTACTCACACTCCCTTGCCGCAGAGCAGGGCTTCAACAACTTCCTGTCCCGGGCCCTCAACATCGAAAACTGCTTCACCAACACCGTTGCCTCGCTCGCACCTTCTGCCGAGTCCGGCGAGCGTCTTTTGCCCGGCGGTGTCTATGTCGTCGTGACCGCTATGGCCGGCTCGATTGTCTCGCGTAACCGTGGCATCTTCCTCCGCACTGCATCTCCACTCGCTTTCGGTACCATTGCCGCCTATACTCTCCTGCCCGTGACGATGCGGAATGTCGGAGACTTGGTTTGGGAGTACGAGAAGAAGGTCCCTGCCGTTGCAGAGAAGCACTTGGCTTTCCGTGAGCGTGCAGAGCACATCTGGTACACCGGCATTGCGCACAGTGGAATGGCGCGCCAGATGATGGAGGAGAAGATCGGTGACACCCGGAAGAAGTTGGAAGAGCTGGTGAGCAAGGGCCACTAAACTTAGCCCGGCTGTTTGGGGCTATAGAGCAGATTTATTTGTCGCATATGTGCGCTTAGAACTCTTAGATCCGAAGACATAACCGGATTGATTCCTTTTGTTTGAATCGTTCAGTCATTAAGTAAGTGGTCTGACAAGAGCACCTTTAACGTACGCTTGCAAATGGGAACAGGTAGCTTGCGATGATCGACATAGTTTGATTTCGTCATTCTCTACATTAAGTTGCTTTCTGTTTTCTCTATGCCGTTAATTCAGTCTTCCTGCGCAATTCCTGGTGATCCCTCCGGCGCAGGGCTCCCCGAGTGAGAGGGCTCGACTCCTACCTTCGGCGGCGGAGGTAGAGGAGTTCCATGCCGTGACGGCGTATAGTCTTGCTCCCGACTTTTCTCTTCACCCTCCGCAAAGTAATCATCAAAAGCTCTATTAGGTGATGCCGTCGGCCGTGGTCTTCCTGTACGACGGGCGGCGGGCGATCTGCTCTGTAACGGCGAGGTACCTCTTGCTTGAGTGGAGGCTAGGGGTGGCGGGGCTGTGATGTTTGCTGGGACTAGCAAGCTACCTGTCATGCCCGGCATAACGCCTGCAGGGCCACCCGCCGGGGCAGCAGTGCCATCCTCGCGTGTCTCGAATACAACCTCCCCTGGTCCCTCGACCTCTTCTCCAAGTCCAATGGGTAGTCGGTGAAGAGCACCGTATCCCAACTCTGCACCGAGGGCGCCTTCACCACCCCAGCCTCTGGTAGGAACGAGCTCAACCTCGCGAACCACATCAAACTCGCTGTTGTAAACCCACAGTACCAGCGTGCGATTTAGATGATCTTCAACCAACTCCCCGAGTGCCGACTCCCCTCTTAACGTCCCGCTGGGGGTTCCAATGATATAATCTGAGTAAGGAAGCAATCCAGCTCGGTATGCGGGACTAAGTGGGGATGGGATTGCAATGACATGCCAGATGTTGTGCGTAGAAGAGAGGGGGGCAAGCTGCAGCGCGAGGCCGAGGGAGGGGTTCGTTGGCGGTATGGGATGAGTGACTGTGTGTGTTCGTTGACCCTGATAGAATATCAAGTTAGCTGGAATATTGAGGTACCCTCTAAGTATCATTACCTTCGCACTCCACACTTCAAGTGTCACGCTTCCCCCAGCGCAATTTCGGCATTCTGTCGCAAAGAGGTTCGGGTCCGGATCTTCCTGTATATCAGTGTGAGCGAAGCTATGATGCCGGAATTAGTCCTCTATACTCACAATTGTATGACCATTGATACCCACGATAAAGTCAAACCATGGCTCTAGTGGTAATTCTGGGTCTTTGTTGCGGAGGACCTGGAAACCAAATGCGTTGTCACTGGGGCCGTTGCGAGGCTGCTGGCCAGGCTCCCCGTCTAGCCGGCTGATGAAGCGATTTAAAGCGCCGAACATAGTCCCCTGCTATAATTAAGATTGCGAGAGGCGATTGAATGAGGCTGAAAAGGGGAGCTGTCATAAGGAATGTTTTACCTCGTGCGAGCTGGCCAGATACACAGGTGCAAACCATGCAAACGCCGCCCATCTTTATCAGTTATCGAGAATGGATCGATCATTTCGCTTTATCGCTGCATTGTATCATGGCAGACGAAGACGCGCCTCCAGAGGTGCATCACTACAGCAGCTTGCACGAAGTGCCCTGGGATATCCAGAAGTAAGTGTTCTTGTCATTAAACAGCACCAAAGCTAACGCAATTGCCAGCTACTGGGCACAACGCTACCGGATCTTTTCCAAGTACGACGATGGTGTGTGGTTGACCGATGATGCTTGGTTTGGTGTCACTCCAGAACCAGTCGCGAAGTTTGTGACTCTCTTCTTATATGTCAGATCTTCTGCTGACCTGTGCTCAGCGTAATAGCTTCGCAAATTGCCGGATCAGCTCCTGCTGGGCGTAGGATTCTCGTGGATGCCTTCGCTGGCGCAGGCGGAAACACCATTGCATTTGCCTTGACTGGAAAATGGAAACGAATCTACGCGATTGAAAAAAATCCTGCCGTGCTCAAGTGCGCAAAACACAACGCAAAAATTTATGGGGTGGAGGACAAAATCACTTGGTTTGAAGGCGATTGTTTCGAGATTCTCAAGAATCAACTTAAAGATCTGGCGCCGTACAGCGTCGTCTTCGCCAGTCCTCCCTGGGGAGGTGAGTTCTATCGAAACTTTACTTCTATGACATGAACTAAATGTAGCAGGCCCGGGATATCGTTCGGATCAGGTATTCAACTTGAAGACCATGGAGCCATATTCCCTCCAGAGATTGTATGATGAATACTCAGTATTCAGCAAGCACATAGTCCTTTACATACCAAGGACCTCTGATTTGAAACAAATTGCAAAACTGGTCCCTGACGGTGACAAGGCTACAGTAATGCACTACTGTATGGAGGGTGCAAGCAAGGCGTTGTGTATTTTTTATGGGGATTTCAATGTGTCATGACTTACGGTTGCTATTATTTGACAATTATGTCATGAAATGTATATTTACTTCCAAACTTGTTTTACTATCTAATTTTCTTCATTGTCTTTCTTGAAAAGATCCTATTGAGTCCATTCAAGCACTCCATGTTAAGACTTCAGGCATCAAGCTGATTGCCTTATCGGGTTAGCGTAGATCCGGTCCCTTGCGCTTTTATCCTGGAAACCTCTTCGACCACCTGTCCGACACGCCCCTCCTCTTCTCCTCTTTCTCCTGCGTGACCAGAGCCACGGCAAAACCCACGTCCAAACCGCAGACTCGAATAATACCCAGATGTGCACATTCTGAATCGCGTCGTCGCGTTGTCTGGCTCGCGCCTACATTCTTAACCACACGATTTCTCTCATTAACTTGTTGAATCTGACGCTTTCTTCCTTTACAACACTTCTTTCGCCTTCAACACAAGTGTACTTACACATCATGCCTCATGCAACACCGAAGGCCCCGGAGGGCGAGGACGATACCGATTTCGACGATGTGATGCGACAACTGAACAACTACGAAGATACCGGACCCTCTTTAGATTTCTTGTCGCGTGATTTGGAGGTTGGCGAAAAAGCCGACGATGCAATTGACTACGAGGATTTCGAAGACGATGAACTTCCGGAGGAAGAGATTGCCGGACGCCCAGCCCCAGCCCTGTCTGCAGTGAATGACAATCAAGATCATTTCGCGAATCTGGGATCAGACGACGCAGCTCTCTTCGGAAACGGCGACGATCTCTTCGGTGACCAGGTAGAGGGGGCTCATGCCCAGGATGACAATCTCGATGATCTCTTCGGCGAAGGTTCTTTTTCGCCTCCTCCTGCTGGACAGGAAGATTCTACCCGTGGCCTTTTCGAAGACGAAGAAATGCCCTTAACAGATGCGCCCGTTAACCTACCACCCATCCCGTCAGCCCCGGAACCGCAACCAGAGCCACCTCTGATGGAGGAAGATGAATTCCAGGATGATGACAGTATCATGTCGGAAGACATGAATCCTGTCGAACTCCGCGCATGGAAACTTCAGCAGCAGTTGTTCGCGATGTCAGGCGTTGAAAACCCACCTGCACCGCCTGAGAACCATGAAGAGCTTTTACATTCCTTGTTTCCCTCGTTTGACCGCAACACTCTTCCACGTTGGCTCGAGTTGATTCCTCATAAGAAGGCCATATTCATTGGAAAGCAGCCGACCAAGCCGCCTAAGCCTGTCTTACCCACGAAAGTGAATATTGAGCTGGCGGCTGATCAAGAGCGTGCATTCAGAACGGGCCAACCCTTGAAGCGTGGCCTCGATCATGAAACTCATGGCTTGGTGATGATTACACGATTGGACCGTGAAGAAGAGGGAGATGAGGCAGAGGAGGATACAAAGGATGATATTGACCTGGATGATGTGGACGGAGATGAAGTGCTGCCGGGTGGCTTCACCATGCAGGACCTTCGAACGATTTGTGTGGACTGGGATGTGAAGGATGACATCTCCAACATTGACCCGGAAGAGAAGCCGTTGGCACAAAGAAAAGATGGTATATTTGATGACGATGAAGCAGATTGGCTCATGGAAACTGAGCTTCCAAACAAGAAACGAAAGACTGGCCCGACTCCGATGGATGTCATTGCTCTATCACATATTGACATCCCACTACTGGATGATCCAGAACAAGCCACATTGAAAATCGCAAAGAGAGTGACAATCGATCTCAACGATCCCAACATTCTTGTCGACGAATTAAGAGTGGACGCCGTTGCAAATAAACCGAAACACGCCGCTCCTCGCACCAGGGATGAAGTAGACCTGAATCTGACGCGCCGTCTCACTCAGCGATACAACATTTCGAATGATCAAGCATACGACATGCTCAAACAGAATCATCAGAACAAGATCCGCAGTACTCTTGGCAATGTGACACTCGAGCACGGTCTGCCAGCCCTGCGTCTGCAATGGCCCTACTACAAGACTGAGTTGGCCAAGGCTGAAGCTAGATCTTTCCACCGACCTGCTTTGGCCTTCCGGCCTGGGCAAACGTCCTGGTTCAAGAATCCCGCTCAGTTTAGACGCAAGCACCTGCGTGGCAAAGATGCAAAAACTGTCTATGATTCTACAAAGTCATTGTCCATGGGAGATAACTCCAATGTCTTGCTGGTGGAATATTCAGAGGAGCTGCCCATGACGCTAGCTAATTTTGGAATGTGCAATCGCTTTATCAATTATTACCGGCGGAAGAATATTGATGATCCCACTCGCCCAAGGGCAGACATTGGCGAAACAGTTGTTCTCTTACCCCAGGATAAGAGCCCCTACTCAATCTTTGGCCATGTTGATCCCGGCGAAATTTCCCCGGCAATCTCAAACTCCATGTACCGAGCACCGCTATTCCCGCATCAACCAAAATCTACGGATTTCCTCGTGGTCCGCAACACTACTGGATCCGAAGGTTGTCATTACTACCTGCGCAACATTGAAAACTTCTACGTTGCCGGACAGCAATTCCCATCGGTTGACATTCCTGGACCGCATTCGCGCAAGGTGACAACTGTCGCCAAGAATCGCATGAAGATGCTGGTCTATCGTTTATTGAAGAAGAGCCCAGATGAGCGACTCGCGATCAGCGATGTTACAGCCCACATACCAAACACTACGGATATGCAGAACCGACAGAAGGTCAAGGATTTCCTTCAGCATGACAAAGACACCAAATATTGGAAGCCACTGGATCCAGTCCTCCCCGACCAAGACACAATCCGCTCTTGGGTCCAGCCCGAAGATGTTTGTCTTCTCGAATCCATGCAGATTGGACAGCAGCATCTCCACGACACCGGTTATGGCAACGATGCCGAAACTGGGGGCGAAAACGAAGAGGACGAGGAATTGGAAAGCTTCGAGCAGCAGATGGCTCCCTGGAAGGCAACCCGCAACTTTTTGTTGGCCTCACAAGGTAAGGCCATGCTGAAACTTCATGGCGAAGGAGACCCCACCGGCCGTGGTGAGGGCTATAACTTCATCAAAACAAGCATGAAGGGTGGGTTCAAGGCCATCGGTGAAAGCGTTGAAGATAAGCTGGACGCGCAGCGACTTAAGGAGCTTGGAGGTCACAGCTACAATGTTGCCCGCCAGCAAAAATCATACGAAACATCTATTCGTCGGATTTGGGATGCTCAAAAAAGCAGTCTTTCCTCCACCATCGAGCATTCCGACCAGGAAAGCGACGTGGACCAAGAAGACGAATACCAAGACCAATTCAACAAACCAACACCCCGATCTGAAGCACCGACACCCGGACCATATCGTCGTGACGATGAGACAACAAGTCAGTTCAGCAAGATGAGTTTCAACAGCCAGCGCGGCAAAGTGTTGCGCATAACCCGCCAGATCAAGCAAGAAAATGGCGAAATTGTGGAGCAGGAACAACACGTTTTCGATCCACGAGTCATCAGACATTACATCCAACACCGTCACCACAACGAAGCCATGCACACAAAGCTGGAATCCCTCCAACCCACGGGCGATCCTGAAGTCGATGCCCGCAACCGGAAGTTGATCGAGGCCGAGCTTGGCCGTCTCAACCGCAACAAGGAGCGTCGTTTCGCCCGCGAGAAGCAAAAGGGCATTCCTCGTTCTGGCGACCCGGATGGCAAGCCAGCAGGTACTCAGCGCAAGTGTGCCAATTGCGGCCAGGTCGGACACATCAAAACAAACAAGAAGCTTTGTCCATTGCTCAATGGGACTATGAAGCCCGAGGACCGTGTCACGGATTCGGCTTTCTCCATGAGCGCGCCAGTCCTGTGAGCTCGGTTCGCTTTTTTGCCACTTGTGCATCTATCTTTTTTAATCATTCTCCCCGTCATATCCATCTACTCCGAACTTGATACCCCCTTCAAAGCTTCTCTGTACTGAGTTTGCTCTCCGATACCCTGTTTTCCTACCCACCAGACGTGATTTAAGACCTAACATTGGTACTTTCTCCTTGATGTGTGTATGAATTTCTCAGCATTGCCTCAATTTCTTTTGGGTATTCCGCTTCATTCTTCTTTGACATAGTATCATAGGAAATAGGATTATTCAATCTGATGCCGATTTTTTTGGCACAGTAGGCTAATATCTTCGGTCCGTAACATATATTTGTTCCTAAGGATACACGAGAGGGAGAGTGGTGTGAAAACAGTAGTTCCAAGGACGGTGAATATGTCACCGATGAGAGAGCGAGGCACTTTACAGAATGCAAAGAGGTTTTTATGGATATGCTTTGACTCGGTGAAGGGACGGTGGTGTGTCGCATGAATGGAAATATAACAGTAGCTAGCCAACAGGGTTGTTCCAAGTCAAGTAGGGCGTCAATTTCCCCTTCCACAGCTTTGTCTTGTATAGTCACGATGTATACAGGCCAGCTAATTGGTCTCTGGTATAGGGTTGACGTCCTCGCTCTATGCTGAAAGCCAAGGCAACATCGTTGGGTCGCCGGTAGGTATACCCCAGAAAAGCGCCCCTTTTGCGAATGTCCAAGGCTGTCTTGCTCAATTGTTTGTCTCGAAGAATTTTATCGCGGGGCCGCTTCTTCTCCTTTTGATTTTCGGCATCTTTTTCCTGCTCCTGTACTACGTGTGGGATTGTTTCAACAACTGGCGGCGTAAGAGCGTCCTCCGCTGGGCTGATTTCTTGATTCTTTGGGATGGCCTCGTCAGGCTCTTGGCCACGATCCTTCGAGTCACTACCGACAGCATGCTCGACACCATCGCCGGCCGACTTCCAATCGTCAAAATATCTAGTATCCTCCCAGTTCCTGACCCTAGGGATCATTGGTGGTTGGCACATGTGGAGATTTTGCCACCGGATACCTCGGAAGAATGGATGAATCTTGATGTCTGCTGCATCGTTAGGGTATACGTAGTAGCTCGCGATGTTTCTGTACCGTGCGTCCATGGAGTACAGCATTTGAGTTGAGACAGGGCGTCCATTCAGTATATCATTGGCTTGGTACTTCGGAGAGCATAGGCGATATTCGCGCTCTTGGAGAATCCTGGTGATCAGATCCATGGCTTCCTGGGAGACTAACTTGTCTGTGGATTTTTCCTGTGGAAATCGTAGAGTCCTTGCGTGTTGCTTGAGAAACTTCAGAATGAGAGGTTCGCCAGAAAAAGGGAACAAAGAAGACACTCACAAGGATCTTGATCTTTGTATCATGGCGATTTTCACAGGCAAAGGGTGTGAAACCATATAGACACTGGAAACACCATGAGAAATTGACACACAAAAGGAAAAACCGAGCGACCTACCTCGTATAGAATGATACCCAAGCTCCACCAGTCGCATCGCCCGTCATACATTTCGCCGCGAATGATCTCAGGAGCCATGTATTGACTGGTTCCGACAACACTTTTTGCGAATCTGCGTCGCCCCTTGCTGTTTCGCCAATCCAATAAACTCGTCGAGGATGGCCGATGAAGAGTATGGTCATCCAGACTGTGCAATCTTATCTCAGGCGCAAGCTCTTTCACTTCGGCAACCTCCTGCTGGTCTTCAGAATCACCATTAATATCGATGCCAAGTTTCTCCAGCAAAGTGTAGCGATGGCTGTTATAATAAGCTTGATCATGAGACCAATGCCCATTGAAAGCCAGACCGAAGTCAGAAATTTTCAGATGACCCGACGCAGAGATGAGGAAATTGTCAGGCTTGATATCGCGATGAATCCAGAAAAGTCGATGTGCCTCCTCAATGCACAAAATCATTTCTGCGACATAGAATCGTGCCCAGTCTTCGCGAAGTGTATCTTTTCGGATGAGTAACCCCAAAAAGTCACCACCAACCATGTAATCCATCACAAGATATAGATTGCTGGCATCTTGAAAGCTGACGATCAAAGGAACAACCCAGCGAGAGGCCTCAGAGGCAACAAGAAAATCTCTTTCTGCTCGAATATGGCCTTCCTGGGAGTTGCGGATCATCTCTGCCTTTCTGATGACTTTCATGGCATATACCTCCTTCCTTTCGCCGGTCATATACCTTCGACGGCTTTGCTTGGCACCTTCTACAGCAGACATCAGGGCTCCAAGAGGATTCGACCTGGAGTGGACAACGTTGTCTTTGAGGGACAGAGGGCCATCTTCAGGGGAACTGTTCAAATCCGAGCCATTCCGCCGAACAAGACGCACAACACCAAAGCTTCCTTTCCCTAGTACCTTTATGGCTTGGTACCCTGCGACAGAGATCGCGCTTTCGCTTTGAGGGCAGCATCGATTGGATTTGAGCACACGGCACTGTCGAAGATGATCGTTCTCTCCCAAGGCCCAGTTGTGTCTTGTCATCAACCGCTCCTCGGGTGTGAGATCGAACGCATAGATATGCTGCTCTAACTCGAGTTGACGTTGCTGACGGGGATCTTTGTTTTGGAAAATGGAGTTGAAGTACAGTTCCAGGTAAACTTTTGCCACTGATGTCGCTTCCACTGTTTTTATAGACGGTGTTATAGCGATTAGATTGGTATCTGAAGCGCTGGCAGCTTCATTCATCTCGGAGAGAGAGGGTAAATGCATCACGGATGTTTCGTGTCCATCGTGCAGCTTGCCTTTATCCGAGGAAGGAGACGGGCCTCCGGAAGTGAGTGGAGTCAGTGAAGTTGACTGCCCGCCGGCAGGAGATCTACCACTACTGCGGCTGGCTGATGGGCTTGAGCTATCATTGGCCCCATCACTTTGTCTGCTCAGATCATCTGATACTGGATTGAGGCGAATAACGCTCGGTCTTGACCGAAGATGCACACGACGTATGACAGTGGGCTGGCCAAACGTTAGCGAGATCCTTTGCGAGAAGCGATCGACAAATTTTGAATCTGTTGAACTTGGTTGCTCAGTGATAGTGGATGGCAGAGGGTCCTCGTTTATGGTATGTTGCTGCACGTCGTCAAAAACAGCCAATTCACCCTGACTCTCGAGTGACGGTCGCAGGTCAGGGAGTGGTTCAGACAAAGTTTCAACCCCTTCAGTGGGAGTGCTGAGCGAAGGTGTGACAGGAATGGGCTCACTTTGAGGAGACTCGACCGCAGTCAGATATCCTGGGGTATCATCGCCATTACCACTTGGGGAGGATGGGATTGAGGGATCTGGGCTTTCGTCACCGGCCTGTACGGAATCACAGCAATCAGTGTCGACGCTAAACCCTTTATTGCCTACGAGGTTGAATCAGTGAATTGTCTGTTATAGAAAAAGAGATACCATCACTCACTCTTGGATGAGCCACGCAAACCCAGTAACAGCAGAATTTTGGAGCCACTGCGAGTCAAACGAACCCGAAGCCGATCTTTTCCCGCCCTTCGGATAATCGGCTCTGATGCCGGGCTTTCTGTTGCTCCAGAGCCAGTTGGGGATGTTCCAGAGACGACAACTTTAGTTGGGATCCAGAGATTGAAAAGACTTCGTCTTGTTGTATCTTTTTTACTGGAGGCTGCCATCTTTACCTCTCAGAGTCAATGAATGATGAATTTAAAAATTGCTGGGCCTTAACAATATGTTTGGTAGATGCATGAAGCATGAAGTGTGAAGTATGAAGCCCAAGCTTTTCTAGTTGAAGTCATGTTAGGGCTGGCAACCGCGTAAGAGGGTAAGCACCACCGGACTTTTCGTCGGACCTGATAAATTTGATATCTACTACACATGTTGTAGGTAGATATGGATATATTGAAGACAAAACTAACAAGAAAAGGTCCCTGTGCATGAAAATACAACCAGCTCCACGTGAATAACGTGAATATGCACATAGCCACGACTGATGGGCAGTCAATAACCAAAACTTCCCAACGCCAGATCCGTCCCCGCCGGATCCTGCTCATTATCAACATCCTCAATCCTCGGTGGTATAATGTATAGCGACCACCGGGGCACGGGCGAGGTCCGGTCGCCCTATCTCTTCGTCTACCACAGCCCGGGTTGCTGGAGAATCGGGAATTAAACGAGAACTGAACTCTGAGGCGCAAAGAAAATTTGTTATTTTCATGGACTTTGTCCAAGAGGCCTGCGGTAATGAGTACGCCGTAGCAGAGCTGATTTTGAAGAAAGACAGAATTCGCCGGGAGCATCTTCAACATCTGTTCAAGCCCAATGAAGTCCCAACTTCGAACCAAAATAAAAGAGCACATTGATTATTTGGCCAAGGACTGGCCATTCCGAAGCATAGACATCCATGACAACAACCCTTATTGGTGGACCAGTGTCCAGACCTGGGACCTCGAATATCAGCCGCTTAAAGTGGGTTGTTTGTCACATAATTCTAGCCTTGCTCTACCCGACAGTGAGTCGGACAAAGAGGGTGCTATCACAGACAGTGCGGTATTCCCTATCAAATATGCCCCTGATCATCTCGGGAGCTTCAGCGTCGTGGGGAGATTTTCTGGACAATCTGCACACAGCAGTATGTGTCATATCGGGCAATTGAGGAAAAAAGTTTCCAGACCGTGGTATGTGTTTATTGTCAGCCTGCAATGAAGAGCCGAACTTTAAATTGCTACTAAGCCGACGATCGATACATCATAGACGTGAAGACATACAGCAGACTGCATCAAAGCTTGACCGGGTATTGAATGACGCTTATGCAGAAAGACGCTCAATGACCGAGTCGTGGCCAGGGAGCAATCCCCACAAGAGCCGCCCAGGATGTTGATGCCTCCGAGGGTGACTGGCTTCAACCTCCATCGCAAAAAGTGGTTCAATCTATCCGTCGACCGCATCTCGCATGTCGAGTGGAACAAAGATGCCCTCGAGAGTCGAGCCATCGACTCCAAATCCACAGACCGTATCGAGTCACTGGTGACCAACCACGTCGAGCCCGAAGACTCCGTCGATCTGATTGCCAGCAATGATAACGGACTAATCTTGCTTCTGCACGCTGGGCCGGGAACAGGCAAAAACACTGACCGCAGAGAGGGTGGCTGAAATAGCCGAGAGGCCTCTCTATCGAGTCACAGATGGCGACATCGGCATCAAGCCAGATAAGGTGGAAAAGTGCCTCGAGTCCATGCTACACTTGGGTAGGATCTGGAACAGCGTGGTCCTACTCGATGAAGCAGATTTTTTCCTCGAACAGAGCGGTCTGGAAGACCTGAACCGGAACGTGCTCGCATCGGCGTTCCTGCTCTTGGTGGAGCATTTCAAGAGAATCTTGATCTAAACCACCAATCAGTTGTCCACTTTCGACGAGGCACTCAAATTGCGCATCCAGCGGGCACTACACTATCCCTCCCTAAGCGAAGAACAGAGACGATCCATCTGGCAAACTTATATCAAACGCCTGGATGGGTTTGATGAAGATGCTGTTGAAGTTTGAATATTTTGGGGAACGTGCATGTGCTTCAGAGGGAGAAGTTGAATGGTCGGCAAATTCCGAATGCCGTTGCTACTGCTCGCCAGCACGCGAGGTGGAAAAGGGAGGTTTCCTCGTATGATCACCTCAAGGGATGTGATTAAGGTGTCTGCGAGGTTCGATGGCTATTTGGAGAACACTCACCGTGATCGTCACATGCAGGTTTGACCAGACACTGTGTTGAAAGAAGAATGGCCCAAATGTGATGCAAAATGTAGCAGGATATTTGCAATTGGACGCGATTTTTGGCTATGTGGCTCGTAAGCTACATACACCCGGGGCCTAAAAGTTAATTGTGGAAGGGTCATTAGGGAGATTGGAAAAGGCCTAGAACAAAGTGTCAACAAAAAGTGCATACAGGCGAGCGAGATTCCGCACTCGAACTTGTCAGGAAAGGCATACTACATACCCATGAGTCAAGCTGAGCCCACCAGATTGATCCCTCAAGACTCTCAAGGAAGCCTGCATCATCTCCCGTATTCATCCCCAACTCGGCTGGGGGGATCGTGAAATCACCTGCCTGGGTGTCAAACCGGACCGGGTTTACATCTGCATTCTGTAAACTCTCTCCCGAGACGCAGAGAGTATCATTTCCACTAGCAGCATGAGCCCGAGTTTCAACAGAGACCTCATTAAGCCCAGTCTGTCGATGAACTTCCTGTCTCAACTCCTCCAGAATAATCGCGTAGCGACGACTCGGACAGTTCTTACGTGTAGCATCAGCCAGATGTTGCTGACATGATTCAGCAAGAGAAAAGAGCTGGCGCAATTTATCAGGGTCATTGGGACTTCCGCCCGAAGAGACAGAAGACGATCTAGATCCACCCAATGACTTATGGTGCTGTTGGATGGCATGGATATAAATTACCAAAACAGCACAGAAGCACACATAGTGCGTGAACCAGAAAGATTGGATTAGCACACCCTGATGAGCAAGACCATCAGTTATTGTCATGATGTCCTCGGCAGCTTGGATGCATTTCTGGACGTGCGAGCTGACCATCGGGTGCAGGACTTTGGGTCTGCGGCTGAGGTCTGTGAAATCGTTCAAGAGGAATGAGCGAGTGACGTGGATCATGGCGTGCGAGTAGGCGAGTTGGAGGACTTGACTTTGACGGCAGAGGGGTGGAATTAAGCTAGTTGGGTGAACACTTTTGAATAACGGTGGGACGGTTTCTTTCCATTTTTCGAGCTCCAAGGTTAGGCGGATTGCGGTCTCGAGGGGGGAGTCTCGAGAGAGGGTGTTAATGCTGTACAGTTGACGGGATATCTCGCCCAGAATACGACCGAGTCTGGATTCCGCTTTAGATGCCCAGGTTCACTAAAAGAGTAAAAGTACAGGGCACATATAAGAACTCACCGGTAGTGAAGAACAGAGGCAATCATCATGCTGTCGGTGGATCCTGTTCTTAGAGTCGGATCTTCTTCCAGTAAATCATCGTCGTTCGTCTCTTCTGGCAATTCTTGGTCGATGTCCTCGTCGTGGAGCAGTCGAGGTCTCCCAAACATAATGCTCAAATATTTGTCTAGAGTGTATACACTCCAGAAGATGCGCCTGCGGAGCTCCAATTCTAGTTGCGAGGACCCATTATTCGAGACTTTTGCCGGCCTCTTCCTGTGCAACCCGAGTGCAGTCACAATCTGCATTGTCGTGCCGAATGAGTACCAGCATTCGTTAGCCCGTGACGATGATAGTAGATACAGGCACTGGCCCAGTCGGGCCTGGATGGTTTCCAGTCGCGGCGGACCTGACTCGAGAGAAGACATGCATTTCGACGCTGCATACCAGCGCTCACTGTCATCGCTCAGTCAGGCTTCTTTGTTGACCAAATTGCGAGACAACTAACCTTTCTAGCCTTTCACCCCGCGAGCCAGGCGTCCCCCCCGGCCTCATTTCCATGTACAAAGTACTCACAGCAAAGATCATGAGAACGATAGCAGTCCGAGCAACCATCTTTCCCACAGGGAGATTAGAGAGACTGATGCTATCTCGGTAAACCTGTCTAGTCCAATCTTCCACATGGCCCCTATGCACAAACCGATAAGTCACCATAGAGTAATCGAAATATATTCCCACCAGATCCAGCGCCCTTTCCAGAGATGGGAGGGTAAATTCCGCCTCTTGGGGATTGGTGTAAGGCTTATCGCCAAACATAAAAACCGCTGTATTCCGCGAGGACTCATTTTGGAGTCCATCCGGATAGTGCGTCCTTTCATCTTGATGCAGACGGCTCCACACACGATTGATAAACGACACACCGGATGCAGGGCCAAGGTAATACCCCTCAAGGTCTGTTGAGCCTGGCTCTGGTGAGTTCCGTGCTGATACCATATGTTGGTGCTCATTTTGGTTTTTGTTTGGGGTCGAAAGCAACTTGTCGGTTACAGATGAGTCTTGACTATTGCCCCGTAGATTGGGGCTGGAGGTGCGCCAATTTACATCCTCAAATACAGGATGCCCAGTAGGAGTCAAAATGGGACTCGGTGATGCAGGAAGAGGGTCTGGTGGTAAGCCCCGAGAGTATGCGGCGTTGTATCTGCACGGCAGTGACAGCCGTGTACATCTGGAGCATGGTATAGTACCAGTACACCGGGTTTTCTTTACTTTGCACGAGTCGCAGGCTCTGGTGATTTTCTGGCGGTGTGTAACACCATCCTTTAATGTGTCAGATGTTTTCCTCTTGTTAGACGTGGGCAGCTCTGAAGCTTCATTCAATCTGATCGCGGGCCGAGATTGCATGGCAACGCTAGCGGTTGTTATCTCGAGATCGGCAAGGCCGATCCAGGAATAAATATCCGAATAATTTCGAAAGGAAATTGACTTAAAGGTAGCTAAGAAGGACAAGTATCCGGGAAGAGGGGGAAAATGGATAGGAATAAGATCTCGGCAAGTCTCCGGTCGGCGCTCCACCTCCCCGGACTCTTACCTGTGCACTTGGCTTCTGACAGATTCCTAGGTGCCCAACGAGGTACGGTACGATAAATTGATCAGATCACTCTAACCCATATGATAAATCTGCCTTTTTGGCCATTGTTGTAGATAAAGCTGATTAAACATAACATACATTTTATGGAACAAGAGAAGGATAAAGTAGATTTCCGCACAACTTAATAAAACCCTCAGGCATCTTAAATTAGGCATTTAACATCATAAAATGCTAAGATTCTCTGACGATGTAACTTGTATATTCATAGGCTACAATTAAAATAAATTCTACTTATTTCTATTATCATGAATTTCGATTTCACATTTAGTTTGATAAATCAGCCTTTAATTTAACTCTTTTGGAAATAGAATTTTATACATCTTCCGGATTCTAGGCTTTATTCATGTTAAAAATGTCTATTAGATGGGGACTAAATCCCATTATCTGTTTCCTTACTACTACCAAATTAGGTACTAGCGAGCTCTAGATATAGAGAGAAATATAGAACTTGATAAAGGTGTAGTTAAAAGTAAGTTTAAGGACCATTGACGTAAAGTAAGTATTGTGTATACAAAATATAAAATTTCTGTTTTTAAACGAAACAGGCATTTAAATTGGTGTTAGAAAAGATTATTTTATTATTACTAGATATCCAAAAAAGAAGCTATTCAAAAACTTAGTTGCTAACTGGGAATCTACTATGGTTTTAGAAGCTACTTCGGCTAACCATTTTGTTAGCATAATAGTGTGATCCCAGTGTGGGGAGAACCACACTATATATACCACGGCAACCAAGTCAATTCATTGAATTGACTTGGTTATGACCTTTTTGTCTAATGGATAACTGCTTGGAGTAGTGGTCGGCGGATCTAATAGTACTATATGTAGTATGATAGTAGTGTAATACGATATACTATGGTGTGAAGGAGAGCTAAATAGATTTTGCCGGTACTGTCTAAGGGATCCTTGGAGATATTATGGATGGTAAACTGTATTATGACCCACTCACTACTGCCATGAGTCTTAAAGTCATTTTATATTAATAGCAGTCATTCTACATTATCTCACGATAATGTAGTATCAATATGAGGTAATATCCTAGCCTATAGTTGTCTCCGAACGAGCTGTATAAGGAATCAACATTTCTGACTAGCTAGTACATGATGAAGAACAATAAACACGTCTCCTACCTACTACAATTGCATAGCAAACCTCTCTTATACCTTATATTTAACCATAATATAAGATATAATGCTTCCCTAATATAACTTCCCATTAAATATTATAACCCATAATTAGGCTATTATCTGTTATCTGCTAAAGTGCCAATAAATAAGAACACCGAACTTATCTCCTACCTACTACAACTGCCTATTCAGCTGAGTATAGCCTCCCTCGTACCTTATACACTACTACTATATAGGGTATCAGGATAGTAGGTTATATTTGGTTATGTACGATAGACAGAAACTCCATAGGGTAGAACTCCTTACTATAAAGGAGGTAATCCACATAGAGGATTAGTATATCGATAGAGACTAGTTTTAAACTATAATGATTACCCATGGAACATACTCATAATACCAGAATGATATAAGAGAGCATAGTAAACGCTTAGCGCGATAGGTCGCCAAGTTCTAGTGATATTTTCTAATAATCTAGTACTACAAGGGCTTAGGAAATTGTATAGCGGACGCTATTAGCCGCTACGTCATTTAACAATACATGTATCATTTACAGCAGACTGTATAAAGCGGTGTCAAAAGGGGTGCTAATTAGGGCTTTTGGGCACCAAACTCTTTCCTAAACGGGGACTGGAACCCTGAGCGCTAGACGTCTGCGTAACTCCAACCCAAGAAAAAAAAAGGTCTGATTATGACAAGCTAAGAACTGGGTATCTCTGGGTATATTTTCTTTAGTCCAGGTGTAACGGGACTTTCCGCAGTTTTTGCAATCTTCTAAAGCCTCTGGTTCTAGGATGGCCAAGAATGTTGGCAACCAAAAAAAAAACAAAGACAACATCCAAGGCTGGGTAGAGAGAATAGGAACAGTCTGGTTTCTTTGCGATATCTCAATCCGTCCCGAGAGATTGCAATTAATATCAGAAGGGGGCAGGTTACACAGCCATGAGGAATTATGTGATGGTTGTCTGAATGACTTACTCCATCCCAAACAGAGAAGCGACATGAATAACAGCTAAGAAGGAAACGCTCTGGAACCTCCACGTTCAATTAAATGTTCGAAGACAAGAGATCGAGAAGATTTGGCGGGGGAGGATTCACGATTGCGGGGGTAACGCTGGCACATTCATCCAGATGCGTATACTGCCCGAGGAGATTGGGTTGATTCAGCGAGGAGGGTTGAAGTAATTACCCAAGTTGTTGGGAGTGATATTCAGATTCAGACTTAGGTCGCGCAGGTCTGAGTTTCGGGAGATGGTTTGATTCTCATTGTCCAAGATGCTTGTGAGGGCATCTCGGATCTGCCCAGGGGTTGCTCCTGATCTTATGGTATTGACGATGTATTGCACCGTCTCGCCGTCACCGTCTCGGATGAGCCCGATAAGATCGTCCACAAATGACCGGAAATGGTCCAATTGATCTTGGGTTCTCTTAGCGGAGGCCTTACGGCGTCTGTCGGCGGCTTCATCGAAGACACATTCGCGGGCGTGGGTTGAGCATTCGGTGCAATGAGGAGGGCCGGTACACTAACCGATATAAGAAAAATGGCATGTCAGATTAATAGTGTAGAGTAGATCAAATAGAGGGCGGAGAAGTCAAGGGAAAAGAATAGGAAGTGTAGTGAATGTGTACCCTGGTCCGGCGTTTTTGACACTCCGTGCAAGCTGTCGATGCCCGCCTCATACGTTTTTCTTCTGGTGCACTCCTACCAGCTGAACTCCCTGCTGCCTCTCCTCCGTCTCCCCCTTTGAGTAACCTGGTACGAGGCGCAATAGGCCTATAGCCTCGAGGTGTCTGATCACTCATCAATTCTGTGCAGAAAACAAAGAGATAAATAGCGAATCAGAAGCCCAACTCTCTGTTTTCCCAACCACCATTTGAAAGCATGATAACCAAGTAAATCACGTGGCAGACGGAAAGGTCATGGAGAGTGATAGAAGAGAGGAGTTGGGGCTGCGCTAGACCTCTGCAGTGAATTCTGCACTGTGCGCTGCCGAAATTAAGAGGGCATGAGGGCAAGTGCGGGAAAAGGGAGTGAACAGGGAAAAAAACGAAATCTAAAAAATAAAAAAAATGAAGGTTGTGAGGTGATGAAAATACCCGGAAAATCACAGGTCAGAAAATAACATAAAAAATTGGAAGAAAAATAATAAAGGAAAAAGAAATTATTCAGAAAAAACCCCCCCGGGCAAAGTGAGGAGAGGGATCGAGACGTGAGTGGAGGATGTGGGCCTATTTTGTTCAGAAAATATGCAAAGGATTGTTGAGGCTCAAGGTAAGAATTGTTGATCTCAAATATCAAATCCAAGTATGAAGTTTGATCTGAATGTTGTAGATGCTTGATATATCTTTCTACCGAAACCCGCATAGCAAATCTCTTCTTAACCTCTGCGGTTGTATGGAAGTACGGAGTAAAAGGGTCGTAGCGGAGCTAATGGCCATCTAAGGACGAGGTACCAAGTTCTCCGTAGAAACGACTGAATCCCTGTTAACCTATATTGTCTGATTTACTCCGTACTATGTGCTCTTTTCCTTTCATTCTTTTACGTTCGGACTGTCATTCATAGCCTTTTATGTACGGAGTACCAGTTGACATGTCCGGTCCTTATCCACTACCCTAATATATATCAAGCTCGGAGTAATCTTCCGGGGTAATTGATAGGCTCAACCGCTCAGATTTCCATAGACTCTTCACCCTCACACCGATGGTGATCACTTACACTGAACATCATTGGTTGATCTCAAATCGGCTTTGTTGGTTCCCTTTCTATGTTTGGAAAAGAAAAAATGGACAGAAGCCCTTCATTCGTCTCTTTGACATTTTCGGTTAACTTTGGCGATGGGGATGGTCTAGACTCTGATAAGAATCTGTTTCTCTCTCTCTCTCTCTCTGAATGATCCCACTCTATTTCTGGACTTCATAGCTTCCTGCGCAGGGTTTCGGGGGATGATTCCAGGTTCCCTTCCCCTACACTGTTGAGCGTGTATCCATACATCCTAAGATATCCTGTTTCTGTTCCTCTCGGGGGACATTTACCCCTCGTCTAGAAACTCCACCTACAATCTGCCTAAACTATGCGGTGGACAATGTGCAAACCCCACTGAAGCACTGTAATATCCCTACCATGCCTATTTGCCACACAGGTGCACCAAAGACATGCGAGTCGCTAAAGTGATCATTTTACTCAAAAACGTGCAACTTACACTATAATCTCTACTACATCATGGGATTAATTTGCAAAGGCCGCCATTGAATAAAAATTGAATGCCTCTCTCGTCACTCTTAGTGCTAAGTAGCTTAAATCTGTCTGGAAACTTCATCCGTCCCCAAGTGTCACATACCATTAATCGAGCTGAAGAGAGGAATACCGCCATAAGTGTATAGAGTACTCACAACGGGGGCTCTAAGCACTGTCTTGGCTACCACGGTTTGTTCATAGTGATTAATAGGTGAATCCCTTGACTGCCCCATTCGTCTTAACTCCATCATATGTACTCCGTACAGAGTAAACATCAGTAAACAATAGACGCACCCTGTGATAAGCTTTTATGTTTAAATTGGACCATCCTTCAGCATTCTGACTGGTGTCGGCAAAGAGTTTCTATCGTCTCATTTGAGAAGGTTTCAATGTCCTCATTCTGTTCCTGACGCCGAGGCTTTTTTGATGTTATACGAACTTCTGTTCTTGTACTCTAAATACCCAGAAGTTATTTTAGTTCAAAAGCGAAGGTATTGAGAGACAAAAGTCCGTCACCGCAGACTTAAACACGGCTGTTACTATGGCATTCAATAACTTTTCGGGAGAATACTTTCCCACTAGACATTATTTGCTTCTTACTGAGAAACCCTTGAACGCATTCAAGAATCTATTCACAACCGTTGCTTTTGTTGGCTCATTCAACCATTGCTCAAATAGCGAGTGAAGGGGGTCTGCAGAGAGGTGAACAATCGTTTCTCACCCGCTATTCATTCAACCTCATTCATATGTTAGACTGCTGACTCGATAGAAGCGAGTCCAACGGAAGAAACCACCAGAGACATATGTTGTACTCCGTAGGTGTATCTGCAATCTGTGCAATATTACCCCATATCAATACAACCACTCTCCATAATTTACATATTTCTCCACTGTCCTGACCCCCCACCCCCCCCGTGCTTCTACCGACGCACATTTCTGGAGCCCGTTCACCGATCTTCGGCGCCACGACGCTACGTGGCCCCTACCCAGTACAAATTCCAACTGTGGAAGTAGAATTCTACTTCCTTCCTAGGGCTACATACGGCTGTGCAAGGAAGAAAGCTTGCGAATGTTACCCCAGAGCAAGCAGTCGCCCACACTAAACCTACTAGATCATTACATGTTGCCCTAACTTACTGCATCTCGGCACTCAAGAGAGCGGGGCCGGAGATGAGAACGCAATCTTGTGAAAAAGGGTAAAAAAAATGATCAAGACCTTGCGGAGCACTGGACACGGAGTACGGATAGTGCCCGTATCCACTCCGTTGCCCTCAGCCTTTCTTGATAGGATGCCTCCATTGGATTACTCCCCAGAAGTGGCCAAAATCGGGATTTGCTACAAGAGGCATAATTTTTTAGGGCTATCTTACCTTCCCGATGTAGGTACTTTCGTGTCAGGTGCAACGTCCCGTATACCCCAAACACACAAAAGCAGCCCCGTTTCCCTACAACATATGAAACCTCTTCCCCCAAACAAAACATGGGGGCCGATTTGATTAGCTGACTGGCTAGACAAGAGGCCCTTTTTAACCTCGGGATTTGAAACCATGCATCTAGCTGTCAGGTATCAGTTACAACATAATGCTTCTCTCTTCTTAAAGGGTCTTTGCTGCAATACCTACCTCGGCGATGTGCGAAGTGAGTCTCGCGTATCTGTATGTTGCAGATACACTTTTTGAACCACTGTGGTGGTAGACACACATTTGCGGAGCAACTCCTACATGAAGTTCTGTGTAATTCCCTACGGAGTAGATGGGTTCCCGATGCTATTTCAAATTGTGGTACGGAGTACTCCGCACCTATATACGTGAATCGCGCGCCTTACAGTACATAGTGTCGTCGAGGCAGCGCTGCTTGATCTGAGCTTCCAATGAAATGAGTGAACATGAGAAGTGATGTTCGAAGCTGTCAATACAAAAACTTCTCAGGAGACCAAGACCTAAAAAAGCAACAGACAGCCTTTAACACACACCCTACACGTCCCAGTAATCAGCTCGGCCAATCGGCGTCTAGACCGTTAATACAAACCAAGGCACACAGGGGACTAGGGGTTTGAAATCAACGGGGATGTTGTTTAATAAGTTTGATGCGGAGTACGTTGGGCATCAAGAATGGGGACGGCCAAGAGCGAGAGCGAGAGCGAGATGCACACTTACTTTCGAACCTGCAGACAGGCTAACTAACTAGTTCTAGACAGAGTGTGTGACTGACCGAGATGGATTTCAAAAGTACAGTATTTACTTCATTACACCTTTGTTCTTACCTGCATAGAGCGAGTGCTTCTATACTCTTCGCACTGGTTACACAGTCGAACGAGCGTGCCAATGCCTGCTTTGGTCCACATGGCCGTTGACCGAGCGACATACAACATATACACACAAGCAATACCGGAATTTACTGTGGGTCTTGATCTTTTCACGATCGGCTGGTATTGCATGGGTCATCGAGCTGAAACACGATACTCTGCCCTTGGTGGTACGGAGCACTATACGCACTAGGAGCACTGAATGTGTGGCATTCTCCTGGATTGTGCGCATGCAACTGGAGAAGCTCTAGTTCCATCGGTGTGATAACAGCCCTTAAGATACAGATACCTGATGGGGTGTGTTGCATACAACATCCGTGCTGTGCTTGCCATACTGACAAAAATCCGTGAAAGGGATTGTAGAAACTGCATTATTTTATGCATCGTGCGCAAAGTACGAAGATCGTGTCTAAGAAAAATTAAAGATTTTGATTGGAATAGGTGATGGAACTTGTATGGACAAGAAATAATATGTACTGATGAGGTAGGCGAAGAGAACTGGGAATAAAGTGTGTTAAAAGGACAAGAAAACCCAGGAAAACAAGAGCCACATCTCATACGTAGGGAAAGAGAAACGGGTGCGATGTCATAAAGGATACAATCACAGCCGAGCTGCGTGCATATAACAAAGGTACCCTCCAGACAGCAGGACAAGAATCAGTAGATCGGACGGCTCTCGTCCCAGCGGCGAGACTCTCTCGGACTAGAGATAGACTCGGGTTGGCATTCACCCGCAGGGGTGTGAGGGCTTGCCACCATGTTGCCAGGTGGAGAAGGGATGGAGAATCGTGCATTCTCACGGCGACCAAGATTTTCCGGCTCGCCGACAGCGTTGATCCCACCGATCCACTCCCAGACTCGAGAAACATCACCGCTACGTCCTTCTCGCACAGAAGCGCGGACATTAGCGTTGCCCTCGACAAAGTTGCGGACCCGTCGCCAGAGCTCCTCGCGGCGCTTGCCTTGGAGTTCAAAGCGGAGGACGTCATCGCGAAGCTGACCTATAGCAATATGCGGTTCTTTGGCATCGCCGCGGGCGTATAGTGCAGCTTGCGTGGATAGTCGGTCAAGGGTTGTAGCTACTAATTCCGGCACGCGAGCAATGTCAGACCGACGTGCGAGGACACGCGCACGAGCGTACACAAGGAGACCAATAGCCATGATTAGAACTGAAATAGGGAGTCGATATGCGAGGAGAGCGAGTCGGAAGTGGCGGCGGACGGCGCATGCGAGTGGGAGCCGTGCAATGGAGGTAGACGAGAGGATGAGGATGTCGGAATTTCTGTGATTGCGAACGCGTCTCTGTCAGTTCCGGTACACAATGTCAGACCAGATCTTTATTTAAGAAATTCCGCTGGATGTGATAATCCAGAGCGATGAGGGTAGCAAAGGAGACACAAGAATCCCTCCTAGAATGGAGAAAACTTACTGCTTGGTCTTTCTTGTAACTTCATCTTTACCAAGGATCTCACCAATGGCGCCCTTCCACAGCTCGTCAAATTCGGTGTCACTCAGGCCCTTGCGGCGTTTCTTGGCCACCTCTTCCCTCAGCTCTGGCTCGCTGATGTCTGGAGATCTGGCGCCCTTGCCGTCTTCCTTCAGCTGACCGCATTCCCACTTTGCCCGGCGCTCACGAAGCTCCTCAATCGCTTTATCAGCAACAGCCTTTACGCGGCGCTCCTTTTCACTATCGGGTTCACATGTTGGCGGCAACGGCACCAGGCCTCCAAGGGCAAGAGGATGGGGCTTCAAAAGGAAATCATTTTCACAGCGCACTTCAAAATCCGGGTAGCAGAAGGCGTGGCTTGGGCATGGTTCGCACCGAGGCTCCAGAACATTCGCCCACTCAGGAACCTTGGTCTCTGCCAAAGACCAGGTGGGCTTTCCCAGGCCGCAATATCCAATCTCAAGCTTTTCTTTGCGCCACCAGGTACCAAAACTGCCAGCCAGTGATATAATGACCATCCACGGGGCTAAGCGGCTGAGAGTTCCTTGATTTTGGGGTCTTCGCCTAGGCTGAATTTGTCGCGAGTACTGATCATTCTCCATAGACATAGCGAGCTGTTCCTCCGGCGTGAATTCCTCACCCGCCCCAATTTCGCTTTCGTCGTCATCCTCGGATTCTTCCGATTCCTCCTGCGGAGGCATCAACCGAGAGGCGAAGTCAAAGGAATCCCGCATGGGTGGCTGGAAACCATTATCTTGCTGAATGCTGGATGGGGTTGTTGATTTCCGTGACCTGTATCCGCGGCCCCGAGCTGGGCTGTCGGTGGATAGGCGCGAAACGCTCTTCCTCTTGCCGTCATAGCTCATCCTCGCGCTTTTAGGGGCCTCAGGGCTTCCACTCTGGAAAGGGTTGTCATCCGTGAATGTGCTCTCATCGCGTGGCTCTGACTTGACACCAGTAGGATTGTATTCATCCACTTCTGTCGAGGGAAAGACCTCGTTCCGTCCTACCTTTCTAGCTGTAGATTTGCGAGGCGTAGGGCGAGTAGCAGCGACCGGAGTGGCGAATGTGTCGTCGCCAGTTTCCGTGTCAGATGTGCGGGCGTGTTTACCCACCGAGCCAGCAACGTTCGTACGCTTTTTATTTCTGACAGGCGTGGCAGGGCCAAAACCATCATCAATTTCTACAGTAGAGTGACGGGTACTGCGTCGCGATGTACCTCGCTCGCCTCTTCTCGTGGATCCGACTGTTGAAGGTGTTGGTGGAGGAGGCATCGACTCTCTGTCGTTCGCATCGCTAGCCACCGACGTCGAACGACTGCTCATGTCTGTAATCCCCATACTGGTTCGTCGAACCGTGTCACGGTCGCGTAAGAGCTTTCTGGCTTGCGGAAGGACTTCATCTTCAAGGATGCTGATCAGTTGAGCCTTCTTTGCCGAGGCAGGGTACGGAATATCGTGGCTGACAAGGATGGAGCGGAGACGAGGAACGGTGAGAGAGTTCAGATCGAAATCTGGATGGAGGTATTCCAGTTCATCCGCCATTTTGTGTGGCGTGCAGTGTGCGACGTTGCGGCCTGCTTAGCGCGCGAAAACCCCGACCGAGATGGCGTAGTCAAGGGGGTTTTTGTCAAGATGGACTCCGAACTTGCAGCACAGGTGCGTGGCTCGATGATGTTGCAATATGCAAGTGAAGTGCCACTGATCGTTCCCTTTTTTGAACTTAACTGGGGCAGAAGAAATGTTGCTTTTAGTCGAGCTGTCAGTTCGATCATTCGTTCAGTTCGTAGCCAGGGCAACAGGCGGGGCGGGAAAAATGGCTTTCGTTGGGACTGACGACTTGAACGATGTAAAGGAAGTAACAAAGCTCAAGAAACAGACGTTTCTTCCTTTTAATCTTCTTGAATTCGGCTTACCAGGTGAAGGGGTGAGCAGATGAAGAAAAAAGAAAACAAGGTCGATGACGCACGCATAAACAATGACACGTGACCAGTCAAAGGTGACGTTGACGCCTCAGGCCAGCAGCTATGATCACCCTGGAGACGACAGTTCAGCTGACCCCTGGAATTTGGCATCAAAAAGTCGGCTGCTCATGCGGTCTCTATCCTTGACGAAGTAGGACTTTTTAATAAACTGATCCATTAGGTATATGGACATACCGACATGTATTTGGAAGGTCATCTTAAATGTCTATTAGATTTGTATGAATGCGGTAAAAAGCACAACCAATGCAAGGGACTTTGCTTGGAGCATGTGCTTGAATTCAAAAGAGCAAAGCATTGGGATGCCAAGCATCTATCTTATAACCTCCCTATCGGAAAAATGTGTTTTTGTTGTGCGATGCTCACATTGATCTCATGATGTCCATGTCTATTGTGAAGTCTGTGCTACGAAGTCAATTTACCTTTCTGGACATTATAAATGCCTGTAGCAGGTATCCACGGGTGACTTTACTGAGGCATTATCAAGATTGAAGAAAATGACAAGACAAAAGCCCATGTAAGTAGTTGCACATTGAATGTAATATACATTCACTGCTCGAGTCAGGTACAGCCCTAAAACTCAAAGATCAAGGCCAGTAACAAAAAAAGATACCGAAACAATCACCGTGGCTCCATAACATAATGCTTTATATAAACAACCTGCAGACCCCCTCCCGCCAGTGGGACGCCACCCACTAAACCAAAGCCAGAGAGATAGAGCAAGAAGGGAAAAAAAGTCAAGGAAGCAAGTTAAAGGAATGCAAAAGTAGGATTTAAATTAGTGCGATAAAGCAGACGGCGGAAATCAGTGCTAGCCGCGGCCGGTTTCAAAAGAGTGATTGGCATCGCTGGGAAGGTGGAGGAAAGAGGACGAGGTGGAGGTAATACCGCTGTCGATACTGCCTGAAGGACCGATTTTGACATGAGTTGGTCGACCGCCGATGTTGCCCGCAGCACCAACGGCCATCTGCTCCTTGAGAGCTTGGAATTCGGCGAGTTGTGTTTGTAGTTGCTGCAGTACATCGCTGATAGGTACGGCGTGGTCACTGAGGGTGTCGCCTGGTTTGAAAGGACGCATCATGTGGCGTATGGAGAGTGTGTTGATGCATACCTAGAATTTGTTAGCATTGGAAGTAAAGCAAAAAAGGAGTTGGTGTAATAATGACCTCGATGCGGGTGACTTGTTGGTCGACTAAACTGAGAACGGTCGAGTCGTTGAGCTCACCGCCGTGCCTCTTGACCATGTTGAAGAGAGCGAAGTTCGGCTCCCTGAGGCTTGGTTCACTTGGATGCTCCAAAGCACCGCAAAGTCGTTCGAGACGGAGTGTAACTTCCCAGAGACGCCAAATGATGTTCGTTTGAATGTCAAGTTGGTTATCTGGGCTGATAGTTGCGACAGAGCTGTCACGATCCTGGGATTCGTCCGAAGAGATCATGCGACCAGAAAGTGCGGAGGGGTAAACAAGGTAGAGGGGTTCCGGATTTTCCAGACCCTTCAGCTTTCTTTCGCCTTGATCCTTGATGACGAATCCTTGACTATTGAGCTGTTGCAGTTCGCGACGAATGTTGTGGCCGAGGCTATCGCCGCGGGAGTTGCTGTCAGTCGAGCTGGTGGATGCAGAACGCTCAGCATCCGCGAAAATCTCGAGGCTGCGGTGGATGTCGGTCATGAAATCTGATGAAACGAAAATTTGACCTCCGTCGGCGACCGCGGAAATCCGCGACGCGCGATTCACCATTGGACCGAAATAGTCCATTCGACTGGTGACCGGATCTTTCGCGCATACAGGCTCGCCCCAATGACCACCCATGCGCACAGACAGGCCACGGAAGATAACATTATTGTCCATATCTACCACAACCCGGCACTGAGGTTGATCGAGAATTTCCGTAGGCCATTCAGCTTCAAGGAGTTGGTTTTGACAGTTGAAACACCATAGCAGGGCAGCCGTCGTAGTTGAGAAAGCTACCATAAAGGCATCACCTTCTGTCTTGACCTCGTAGCCACCGAAGATTGCAAGTTGCCGGCGCAGGATGTCATTGTGGATTTGAATAGCAGAGCGCATCGCGTCCGGACAAATCTCCCATAGACTCGTGGATTTCTTGATGTCAGTGAACATGATAGTCAATTCACCCTCGGGGGCATTCACGTGTTCAAAGCGCGCGAGTCGCGAATCCCCAGGACCGTCACGCTTCTTGGGGCGCTTGGCTGTGGGTATGATCTGCTCCTCAGCAAACGTGGACGAGCCAGTGTTGAGAGAAGGACGAGGCTTTGGCCGTCTCCTTTGAATTTCCCCAACGCCGAGAATCATAACCATCAACTTGTTGGTGGCACCAAAGGAGATGGCCAAATCACGTAGCTTTTGAGCTGCAAACATCAAGTCTGGCTGTTCTCTCCTAGTGATGTCAACCACCACCTCGGGAGTGACAAAATCCCAAAGTTCTTTTGATGCCAATACGATCATCTCATCTTGTTCAGTCAAGACGGTATGCATTGTGGAAGGGGCCGCAATGACAGCAGGCATCATAGGGAAGTGTCCAAAGCACCTTGATACGGTGAGGACATCATTGAGCTTCCCAGTGCGAGACACAAAACCTCCCGCTTCACGAATGCGTGCGCGCTCGTTAGGTTCTGCGGGATCATGATTTTGCGTTAAAGAAAGCATTGAACCATCTGACCGGATCAAAATAGCCTGAGCATCACCAACGTTGGCGGCGTACAAGTCCATATTGTTCAGATACAGGACAGTAGCAACACCCCCGGACTGAATATCGTCCTGATTAAGCATCTTGGCCGCAGTCGATCCTCGATGGTACTGCCGGACCTCACGGTCATCGATGGACCTGTAGGCAGAGCCAGCCATATTCTTATTCAATGCTAAGAATGACCGTCGGAGTGCATCCAATGGTGTTTCACCCTGATCTCGCTGGAGCTTCTTAAGCTCAAACGAGAAGGTAGAAGTGAAATTCTCGTGCAAGTACTTTGCGACGCGAGAACCACCACTGGAAAGAGTCTGTCCGTCGAACATTCCCAAAAGCGTTTCCACGTTATCTTGCTTCAACCGCGGAACAATCATATCGATAATGGATAGATGCTCGGTCTTACCAAGAGAGTCGGCCATACCGTAGGCAAGAGTGCCAGCAAAGGAGGCAGATGTTCTTACACGGCGATCTTCGGTTTCCTCTGGAATGGTGGGAATAGTAAGTGTGACATCCATCAGTCCCAGTACGCGGAGATGGGTCAGGGAGTTAAAGTCAGTCAGGTCAGCGCCATTGGCGGCCGGGGGACCCAGTGACGCGATATTTGGCTTGATTTCCAGACGTTTGTTGCCCGAGAAGTTCAGATACTTGAGATTACGGTTCCAGTTCCAATTCCAGTCATAAGGCCAATTTGACACGTTGTATTTGAGCCCGTTACTCCCCACATCCAAAATGGACAGCTTGCTTACCTTGCAAAGTTCTGCAGGCAAGACTTGGAAGCGGTTGGCATTGATGTGTAGAATTTTGAGGTTACTTCCCTCTTCCAGGTCATCAGATGGGAGAGAGGTCAACTCGTTACCCGACAGGTACAGCTCGGAAATCAACGGCCACCTTTTGAGGATGCCTTGCGGTAATTCCGTCAGGTCATTGTAGGAAAGATTGACAATGCGCAGCTCTGGGAGCAAGGAAAGTTCCCGGAAAACATCATCTTCAAGTCTGTTGTCGGCAAGTGAAAGTGTTCGAAGGGATGCCGCAAACGTCATTGCAATCTGCTGAGAGAAGTTTGAGTCCTTCCGGGTCACTGAGTTCGTGTCGATAAATGATGGCGACACCGTCGATACCTTCCTACTGGATTGAGCATTTGAAGGATTCCGGTACCCGTTCGGTGACACGGAATTCATGACACCATTCGACGTTTGACTCGGTCGACGTAGACTTGGTTCATCCAGTGGGCCTATATCTTCATAGCTGGGGTTTCCAGCAATGCCAGGTGTAGTCCCAGGTGTGGTTGAAGGCTCACCGGGGACTTGAGGGTACGGAGCACCGCACTTTGGAAAGCTCGACAGGATGTTTGAGGATACGTTGAGTATTTCCAGCTTAGCACAATGCCAAATTTCAGCTGGCAGAGAATTCAAATTGCACTCCCTTAAATTTAGATGCTTGAGCTCTGCAAGGCAACCCAGAGTTGGGGGCAAAGACGAAAGTGGGTTCTTGATCATACTGAAGTGTTCCAGCCGACGCAACTTGCCAATCTGAGCCGATACCGAGGATATGTGGTTTTTGTCGAGGATGAGCTTTGTAATATTCGGGCAATTTTCGAAAATGGTATCCCTGAATTGGGAAAGCTTGCCAGAGGCGAGGTTCAAAGAAGTCAGTGTTGGAATAGGAGCATCAACATCAAATTGCGTCATAGGGCAGTGGTCCAGATGTAAACTTCGCAACCTCGGGAAGGATCCTTTGAAACGTGATAGAAGATTATGACCGAAGAATATCTGCTCTAGGCGTGGAAGACTAGAGAGAGCATCGATGTTGGTGATAGCATTGAAGCGCCCATCAAACTCCTTGAGATTCACAAGTTCCCTGAAGGAATCATCGAGAGGCCCGCTCAAATTATTGTTCGTCATCCAGAGGCGTTCAAGAGTGGCCAAGCGGCCGATATTGGGAAGTTCTTCTATGCCATTGAAACTGATGTCGAGATCAACCAGACTCTTTAAATTGCAAAGGAATTCGGGAAAGACCTTGAAACTGTTTGAAGACATGTTCAGGCTTCGCAGGTTTTGGAAATTACCGAAAGAGCTGGGAAGCTTGGTTAACTGATTGTTCGCCATCTTGATGCTAACAAGACCAGTCAGTCGATCGAGACCCGCGTGATCC